CGCCCGCGGTGTGCGGCCACCACGGCGGGGGGAGCGCCAACTCGGACGACGCGCGCCGCTCGATGATCAGCTACCACTTCTTCCACAATCTGTCGCAGGACGCCGTGAATGCGAAGCAGTTCGGGGTCAAAATGCGCCGCACTGTGTTCTTCTTCAAGACGCCCGTGCTCTCCGACCCCGCGCAGGTCGAGAAGCGCGCAAACATCCGCGTATCGGGCGTGATCGGCTTCGACCATCCTCTCGCCGACGAAACGGGGCGCAATGAGCTCCTACGCGAGTTCGACGTTCCGATGGAGTATGTCGATGCATATACGCTGTCATCGCCCGTCATCGACACCGATTCCGCGCTGATGTCGATGCTCAAGCTTGTCCGCATCAAGGGCGCCGAGATCATCCATCTCGACCAGCCCATCTCGTTCTTGCCGCTCGTCGATGGCAAGCCGATGGAGCTTGACCCGTCGCAGGACGGGAAGGCGTTCGCGGATGGCAAAGATCTTTGCGTGCAGTACAATGTCGACGCCGTGGTCAATGCGACAGGTCTGGGGTCGAAGGACTCTGTCGGGGACAAGGAGGTGTATGGGCTCCAGGGGGCCGTCATCCGACTTGAGAATGACTGGAAAAAGTTCCACCAGCTGCAAGAAGCGCTCGTCGTCAGTGCCACCGAGTCCGACCCGTTCAGAGAGACCAAGTATGTGCTTATGAGCCCACGTGGCGCATCCCTGACACGCAACATCTGTGCAGATTCATCTTCATCGTCCCTCGCAACGACAATACAGCGATCCTCGGCGGCTTCACGAAACCACTACTCAAGGACGAAAAGGAAGAGTACTACGAGGTCGAGCACGAGGAGATCATCAACCTCCGCGAGCGCTGCAACCACTTCATGCGCGGGGCGCACGACCTGAACGGGATCCACAATGGGGAGATGAACTCGGGGTATCCGCTCGCGCAGGGCACGCGCCCTGGACGCGCCGAGGTGTGCCTCGAGCGCAACGGGCGTCTGGTCCACAACTTTGGGTGCGCCGATTCTCTCTGCTCTCTCTCTCCCTCTCGTTGGTGTGTTCGTACTGATGGACACGAACCAGACATGCGGGGAGCGGCTGGAGTCTGTCGATCGGGTGTGCACTGGAGGCAGTCGGCCACGTCCAGGATGCGTGTGGGATGTAGAATCAGTATCTGTGCACAGCGAGCTGTGCCATCAGTGAAAGAGCAAAACCCGGTTGAGGCCTCGACCACGTTTCTTCAAGTGTCTCATTAGTCATCACCTGTCATCACCAGCATAGCCAGGCATTCGCCATCTTTGATCTTCGCACAGGAATGCTTCCAACGACATCATAATGATTTTGCGAGCTCGGATTCGCGTCATACGGAGCGATGAGCCTCGAGCTAGTCTAGCAGATGGCTCATAACTTTCCTACATAGGGGAAAAAATCTGGCAGCCGCTGCTTGGCTGAGTATTGGCGACGGAAAATATGCTCTATCTCCTCGAGCATCTATGCTGCTCTCGTCCAAGAAGCTTGCAACGAAAGACGCTGGCTCCCTCATTCGGAGCCCGATGTCTCGTGCTATGGCACTCCTAGATTGCTGCCGGTGTTTCAAGGGTCTGCACCGGGACTTGGTTGATGTTCTGACCAAGATAGACTTCGAGTTCACTGCAAAAAGAGCCGTGGCTCTCTTCTTCGACGTTCGTTCACGTTGCCCTGCTTCTGACGCCGTCATCATCTGGAATGCACAGGCGATGCGATGCCATGGAGTCTCTACTCATCGACATCACAGTGTCGACAACGAATGCTGTCAGCTGATCACCGGATCACCGTTGGGAAGATCGAGGCCCACATTTCGCTTACACCCCGCGCACCCCATAGTAACCCCAAGCACACTGTAGTAGATCAAATAAGTGTCAAGGATCGCCGCGATGGATACTGACGCGATGGGCTTTGCAGTGGGCAGCAATATCCAGGCTGATCACATCGTCCGGACTCCCGCCTGCGATCCATGCTCGCAGACGACGATCCTCTCACTCATGGATTCGGAAGTGAGCCGAACATCAGCAATGCCGTCTTGTTCTTTGGTAAATCGCTCGAGGATCGAATCGGATACAAGATATGGGGCTGACCTGGTGAACTCGCGCGATTCTTCTAAAATAGGTCTATGCGCATTTCCGGCACTCCCGATTCCGCAGAAAGCATGTGAAGCACTTGCTGTTCACTGCATGTATCTTGACCGGATGCAATCTCAGATCACTGGACATCCCGATGCCCTTGATTTCACTCCTCGCCGCTACAGGTCGATCCTAGCTTGAGGCTAAGCGAGCGAGCGGCAGACATAGCAGTCCACCATGTGACAGACATACCTCATCTACAACATCTTCCCTCTGGAATGGAGCTCCCACGAGCCAATGAATAGGCCAGAAACTGGAAGCACTCGTGGCTCATGCGCCCATACTCCTCGAAGAACGACGCGATGCTTTCCCAAAGGCCCCTCCCAGACATCCGGAAAGGACGCGCACGCGTTTCTCACGTGCGATTCATGTGACCTCGACATCTCATGTTTCGGATCTGCGGCCTTGTGCGATAACCGGACTCGTTTGATGGCATTCTTAGTTTCTGGGGCTCGTTCCAATTCAGATTGAGGCTGCGAGTGAATATCCTCAGGAGGGAGTCAATACGTTGTCAAACCGAGGGTAAGGTATGATACACGCTTTGCATCGTCATCGTCTAAAGGGCTACCGTTCTCGATTCCTCATTAATGGCACATCGGTCCGGAGGGCACTTCGTGCTTGCGATTCAGGCGGATAGAAGAAATATCGAGTTTGTGCAGCTGACCAGCGGGGATCCAATTAGCAAGAGAAGGCTGCGAGTAGAAGCCGGGATGGGCGGGACAGAGCACTCGCGGTCGCTGTCGTCGCATCAATATGATGTTCTAATTGGTTGTTTCAGAGTTCCCACTGAGAATCTCTCCAAGTGTTTTTAGGAGGATTTTTGTACTGAGACTCGGGTTGCGAGCCAAGCAAGAAGCAGTCGCTATCGCCTGAGGACGCTCGCTCAAGGAAACTGAAGGAGATTGCAAGCACAGTTGCAAAATATGACATTGTTCCCCTCGGCTAGACGTGTTTCAAATTCCAATGGCCCTTCTCTCTTCTGAGCACTGAGAACTGGCACCGAGATGCTCCACCGGCGATCTTCTATCGCCTGACCTCGGGCATTCTCGACACCGGTGTCAATGAGCGAAATAAAGGCTGGGGTGAAACTGAGCATCAATGCTCATTCCCTCTCCATCCGACGAATCAGCTCTCTACCGCAATGCGTCAGTACTAAACAGCTCTCTTGATCCAAGAATTGCAGAGCTTACAACAGCTTTTTCCTTCCAGAACGCCCTGTCGTAAACGAATTGCTGTCCACCGCGACTCAACCGCTGATCAAGCCCTCCGCCAACGCGAAGACCATCCTCGTCGTCGGTGCGGGTGTGGCCGGCCTCAGCACTGCTTGGGCACTCCTCGACCGCGGCTTCAAAGTCAAGATCGCCGCTCTCGACTTTCCCTCGCGCGACGCCAAGCGCATCACGTCCCATATCTCGGGCGCTCTGTGAGTCCGCGCCATCCTTCGTCTCTAAACCCTCTTCACGCGCCCGCCACAGGTGGGAGTACCCGCCCGCGGTGTGCGGCCACCACGGCGGGGGGAGCGCCAACTCGGACGACGCGCGCCGCTCGATGATCAGCTATCACTTCTACCACAATATGTCGCAGGACCCAGTGGATGCGAAACAGTTCGGGGTCAAGATGCGCCGCACGGTCTTTTTCTTCAAGGAGCCCGTGCTCTCAGTCCCCGCCCAAGTCGAGAAGCGCGCGAACATCCGCGCGTCAGGCGTGATCGGCTTCGAGCACCCTCCGGCGGACCACACGGGGCGCAACGAGCTCCTGCGCGAGTTCGACGTCCCGAAGGAGTACGTCGACGCGTATGCGCTGTCGTCGCCAGTAATCGACACCGACTCCGCGCTGATGTCGATGCTCAAGCTCGTCCGCATCAAGGGCGCCGAGATCATCCACCTCGACCAGCCCATCTCGTTCCTCCCGCTCGTCGATGGAAAGCCGATGACGCTCGGGCCCTCGCAGGACGCGAAGGCGTTCGCAGATGGCAAACACCTGTGTGCGCAGTACGATGTCGACGCGGTGGTCAATGCGACGGGGCTCGGCTCGAAGAACTCTGTCGGGGACAAGGAGGTGTACGGGCTCCGGGGGGCGGTTATCCGGCTCGATAACGACGGGAAAAAGTTCCACCAGCTGCAAGAAGCGCTTGTCGTTAGCGCCACCGAGCCCGACCCTCGTAAAGAGACCAGGTGCGTCCTTACTACTACGTCCACCGCATCCCTGACATGCACCATCTCCGCAGATTTATCTTCATCGTCCCGCGCAACGACAACACTGCAATCCTCGGCGGCTTTGCGAAACCGCTCCCCAAGGACAGCAAGGAGGAGCACTACGAGGTCGAGCACGAGGAGATCATCAACCTTCGCGAGCGCTGCAACCACTTCATGCGCGGGGCGCACGACCTGAACGGGATCCACAATGGGGAGATGAACTCGGGGTATCCGCTCGCGCAGGGCACGCGCCCTGGACGTGCGGAGGTGTGCCTCGAGCGCAACGGGCGTCTGATCCACAACTTCGGGTACGTCGCCTCTCTGATTCCTGTCTCTTTTTCTGGCATTAGTGTGCTTGTACTGATGGACACGAACCAGACATGCGGGCAGCGGCTGGAGCCTGTCGATTGGGTGCGCGCTGGAGGCGGTAGGCCACGTCCAGGACGCATGTGGGATGTAAAATCAGTGACCGGGCCGCGAGATGTGCATGCAGAATCAATGATAATCATATGTTGCCATTCGTTTGATCCACTGTGGCTTAGGAAGAGGAAGACTCGGATGACTCAGAAGTGGAAGGCAGTGTGCGAGGGCACGCAGTGGCGATAGGACAACTGATCGGATCGGAAGGCGGAGAAATGCATCTACTCGTGATCAACAAAAGTGTTGGCACCTGATCATTTGATCTCGGCCGTCATCAAGAAAATTTTCATTCGCTACCATGCACATTATACACTCGATCTCAAAACTTTGTGTGCCCACCCTTCACCTTCAAGACAGCCTCCACGCGCTCTCTCATCTTCTTGGTATGCTTCGTTATGTCTTCCAATGGCATTCTCTCCCACTCCTCCTGAATGGCTATTTTGAGAGTTTCGAGGGTAGTTGGGCGTGGCTGATGGGCACGCACACGCCTTTTCAGCTCCTTCCAGACAGGTTCGATCGGGCTGAGGTCGGGAGAGTTTGCAGGATGTGGGAAGAGGGCAATTTCGTGGGAAGAGAACCACTGGTGCGTCACCTTGGCTGTGTGTGATGGAGCCCCGTCTTGCTGAAATCGCATACCAGGCCATTTTTTCTTCGCTCCTTCCATTGCCTCCATCAAGACACCCTCTAGGACCTGCTCACAGTATCTGCCTGCTGTCATACCCCCGCCCTTGCCCCCAGGGTACTCCAAGATGATGAGTGGCCCTTTCCACCCAGTTGTGACACATCCCCACACCATTACCCGGAGCGCTGACTGTTTGAAGGTCGGAATGAGGCATGCCTCATTGTACTCTTCATTCACGGTGCGTGTCACATACACCTGTCCCATTTTGTCGTCCATCTGGATGTAGCATTCATCTGACCACATGACAGTGTCCCAGTCTTCTCCCTCCCGTGCACATGCCCACTCCAATCGTGCCTTCTTCTGCTGCTGGGTTAGGAAGGGAACCTTCCTCGCAATCCTCCGGTGCATGCCCCGTTTGTCTAGTGCCCGTGCAACTGATTTATCTGAGATTTGTGGCTCAATTTCGTTTGCAATACTTCGGAATGGCTTTCGGCGATCTGCAAGTGCTTTTCGGTGGATCTGTCGCTCCATCTGGGGTGTTATCTTCGGGGGTCTACCACTGCGAGGTCGATTTTCGACCGACCCAGTCTCCTGGTACTTTCTCCATATCTTTTGTGCGGTGTCATATGGAATGCCAAATGTATGTGAATGTTTGCCGAGGTGCTTGTCAATGAGCATCGCACCAATAAATTGGTTTTTGATCTCAGATGAATGGTAATATTTAGAATTGTCCTTAGGCATGAGTTTGTTGCCCGAGAGTGTCGATGGAGTGAGTGAGGAACATGTACAGAAACCACATCAACTAACATCATGTGATGTGACGCCAACACTTTTGTCGATCACGAGTATTTCGGTTCACTGTTTCATTTGCACTCAATCCGTGGTAGAGCGTTCACTGAAAATGAAAACACCGGGGAAAATCGAGTATCTGAAGACGCGATCTCCTTCGCTTTCCTAGAATCAAATGATCGTGGTTTGGGTCACTGAGACAGCCTCGATGCGACTCGCATGCCAGGGAATAGTTTAGACGATAGCTAAGTTGCGTACAGGGTATATGTAATATTCAATCTGCTCAAAACGGCCCGTTTGCCTCCTGATTAGCCTTGCCCATATCATGCTGAGCATTGCCTACCAGGAAAATTGAATTGAGTCACATCCAAACGCCGCCATCTCCAAATCTTATGGACCTACCATGGATTTGTCTGGCCTGGTCCCCGGTGATCGCACCAACAACAGCGTCGACCTTTCCCTGCACCCTGTCGACCGCACCCTGCACGTACGCCTCGGCCTCCGCTGCTTGGACCTCCCCCTCTTCGCGCAGATGTTCCTCACGCCCAGACTCCTGCCACGATGTCGCGCCCATCATGTGCCCGATCTGAGACCGCGTATAAGTCACTGGAACGCGGGAAGCAGGGAAAGAGACCCGATCACCATCTCGATGAGTGTGCCCTTGACCGAGTGGAATTGGCCCCAGGCCTTGCTGCGCGAATGTCAGCTGGTGTCCAGTTGCCTTTCTCAGCGTGAGCACTGAGAGCACATACCTGGGCTGAGGCCTCAGATCGCCGGAAGGCTCGTTGGAGTTGGGGATATCAGACATGGCGCGAGGTGTTGCCGGTTTCCCAGCAATTTATGTCCAAGCCGCCACTCGGAGCCAACGAGCTACGTCATCGGTTGAATGATGCAAGAGTGGAAATACCGACCACTTCCCCTCTCTCCGCATGGGACGAGTCTGGATTTAGAGGCATGCGCTTCTTTCACGTGCTTTAGATTGGAAAACCATCCTAGCGCTTCCCAGAGCCTCCCAGAGCAAGCAGCAGCTACCCGAAAGTCAAGACGCAAACCTTGGGGTTCAACATGACGTCAATGGCACGTGCTCTTCTCGCTCTTATCGAACGCCACCAACAACAGGCCAGTCTGCGCAAGCACCGATTTCGCGCGAAATCAAAGTTAAAAAACATGATAAAAGGCACGAAGCCCCATTCATCCTTCCTGATCTGACCACCGATATCGATCTCAAGTTCACTGCCGGCGAATCGCGGCAGAGGACACGATTCCCCTCCGGCATTCAGTTCTCTGGCCCGATAAACCTGTGTCCCACGTTCTGCTGGCAGAGGATGCCGCGGGGTGGCACTACGGCGCCCTTGAAATCGCCGCGGACGCTGCATCCACCTCGGCTGCCGCTGGGCCCCCAGTCGCGGTGATTTCGCTGTTTCGCGAGGCCTGGGAGATCGATGAGGACAGCACGACGGCGCCGGCGGTGCGCGCCATACGATTCCGCAAATTCGCTTGCGATTCCGCGTCCCAGGTTCGCCCTTGATCTTCCTTGCCTTGTGTGTGTTGTGTGCGGCAGCACGGGGCTGACGTGTGTGTGGCTATCGGATTTCAGGGACGCGGGATCGGGACTGCGCTGCTCCAGCATGTTATCGCGGTGGCGCGATCCGAGTTGGACGGAGACGTGCTGTGGTGCGACGCCCGCGTGAGCTCTCGTGCGTGGTATGAACGCCGGGGGCTCGAAGCCTTTGGCGCCACATTCCACAAGAGCTCGGTCGAGTACATCCGCATGAGGATCGCGCTTACATAAATCCGAGTATCGTTCGAAGGACCGGTTTCGTTATCCCCAGTGCACTGCCGGTGATGCATCCCGGGCCCTTTTACTCTGCTACTGAGCGCGCCAAGTTGGGGCGAGGAGAACACATGTATAGTCATCTAGATGATCTGCAACGCCACTGAGCGCCAGCACGGTTCTCTTCCAACAAAACGGCCAAAATGCTCCGGCCGCTATCTGCGCTGTCAGAGTCAGTTTGGAGTGTCGTCGAAACACGGTATTGGGTTTTTCCGAGAGACTTAGTCACCGCAACCGCGCGCGCGCGAAAAAGACATTATCATCACCACTCGGCCGATAGTGCGAGAGAGACCGACTATAAAAGCAGCGCGGGCTGCACTGGATGTATTTGTCCGTCCACCGGCTAGCCCGTGAGCGAGCTCTAGACGAGTTCTCCGTCTCTGTGCGCCTGTTTTGCTGTGAAGCATGGATCCCCCCCGCGCCGGTGCTTCGTCGAGCCCGTCCCGCCGGTCCCTGTTCATAGCCAAAATAGTCGGGCAGTGAGGGGTCCCTCATCATCGTCTAGGCGAGCGATCGGCCGTCGCGCATGCTTGTTTTCCTTCTGCTGCCCGTCATCCGACCCATCCACACACCATGAGGCATGGCCCGCAGCATTTTTCCTTGCGAGCTGGGTGCCCGGCTCGCGAATGGCTTACTTGGTTTACTTGATACGCTTGGATAATGGGACCAATGTCAGCCATTACTCTCCACGAACAGCAGCACAGCCGGAGTAGAGCCACCTTCGATTGTGATTCCCGGAAACTGGCGCCGGTGTAGCAGGGGAGATGGCGTGCCACGAGGTTCTGAAATCCCTCACTCGCGTGCGACATGGAAGCCACCCACACAGCCTCTCCCGTGACCGTGTCTCCTAGTCGCTTCGGGACTTCGCGAGGCGGTGCGAGAAATGTGTTATTACAAGTAGGATGGATGGATGGATGGATGGATATAGATGATGAGTACAGTATGCGTATGATAGCGGTGAATAGTCCGAGGTGTGAATGTCAGTCAGTCAGGTAGTCAGTTCACGGAGCAGGCGTCACGACCGCGTCGATGGCTTCTTCTAATCGCCGCACAGCGCCTGTGCACAGGGGCGCGGGCGGGCTCACACTGGATCCAATCCAGGGATCCAGATACGTGCACCCGGGGATATTCGACATCATCCCCGCTGTGTCGGCCGTAGGGTTCGCCCAGCCGCCGCCCGCAGACACGGTCGTCGTCATGACCTGCGAGGCAACAGCAGTGAAGGTCGGCCCGGGAAGCGTCACCGGTGCTCCGGAGGGCGAGTAGCGTGGCAGATCAGTCGCCGCATGCACATCCGACTGTGCGAACGAAATGGACTGGGGCGGCCACGGTGACAAAGCCGACTGCACACTGGCTGACATCGTGCCGGCACCCGGCCCACCGGTCTGCCATGCGCTCAGAGGCCCGTTGAACGGATTGGAGCCCCCGCATTGCCCCAGAGACTGTCTGGGGTCTTTCGGGATCCATCCGTGCTGCAGCCCGAGCAGATAGGACCACTGCGGGGTTTCCACCCGTCCTGCCGTCGAAGCACCGACTTTCCACGTCCAGTAGAACCAGTTCTGGGCATCAACCACTCGTCAGTCGAAGATCGATTACACGCCATCATCCACATACCTGGAGCGCATCCATACTTGCCAGAGCAAACGTCTGGTATGCGGCCTTGGTCGGCTTGTCCCAGTTCTCCCAGTCCAGCCAACCATCGGCAGCACAGTCGCCGTAGACCTTGCTGTACCCGTCCAATGTCCCTTCGTACCGGGTACCCAGTCCAACCCCGTTCAGATACAGCCCGCAGTCTGTCACCGCGACACTCCATTCCCCCGCAACGATCAGCCCAAAGTCCTGCATCGTTGAGTTGATATCGTAGCCCCACGCGGAGCACGGGCGCGATCCATACGACGTGATCGGCTGTGCACTCGGAGTGCCGAAGCAGAGATAAGGGTGGTAGTCGAGTGACACGCGGTCAGCCCCGTCGAACATCCCGGAAAACTTGGACAGTGGGTAGAGAAACCCGTTGTGGAGCGAGACCATCGGCCCGTTCCCTTGACCAAATCCACTCGCAAGGCGGACCTCCTTGTAGGCTTCGTAGTAGCTAGAATCACATCAGGAACGCCGATTGTGAATGCCAGGAGCTTCCCACTCACAAGCTGGACAGCTGCTGCAAGCCAATCTGGTTACCCTGCGGCTCGTTCATGATCCCAAACATTGTCACGACGTTGCTGTACTCGGGCTGGCTGATGAACTCGCTCAGCACACGGATGTAATCGAGCGCCCGCTGCGCATTCGCCAAACCCATCGGGCCGTAGATGACATTGTAGCTACCCAGGCGGCCGGAATGATTCCATCCGTTCTGCGAGCCAGGCAGGGAGTGTAGGTCCAGGTTGATCCTGATCCCGTATTTCCGGGCCCACTTGACCGCCTTGAGAAAGTACGTCCACGAAACCTTGGGCAGGAAGCCCTCCCCGTCCCACATGTCAATAGCCCAATACGGCAGGGGGATGCGCACAAAGTTGAGCCCCGCAGCTGCGATCTGCATGAAATCCTGTTCCGTAATGAACGTCTCGTAGTGGTTGATCAGTTGCTGCGTCCCGCCGTTCGCCGTGTCGAGCTCAAGCGCTTGCATCAGCGTCCATTCGTCGACAATGTTGATGTTCGCGTCGGCTGTCGTCTTCCGAGATTGGATGGTTTGGTACAGCGCAGGGACGATGAACTAGGAAACCATCAATAGACGAAAATAGAATACCGGGCCAAACTAACCGGTTCGGTGACAAGCCAACCACCCAAATTGACCCTGGGAGAAAGGCTCAGATCGTTATTGAGTGAATGCAAAGCACACATACCCTCGAACGGTGTCGATCCCATATCGAAACGTCTCATTCAGGGCGGGGCTCCAAGACTGCGGCCGCGCTCCATTATTGAACGGGTCGTTTACGTCGTAGTACCACGAGCCGCCGAACGAGTTCACATACGTGAAGGTGGTCCCATTATCAGCGGTGATGGTGCTTCCGTCGCCACCCGTGACGAGCACAGCAGCCGCGGGCGGCACGGAAGAAGAGGGAGAAGCCGCTGCGCCAGTGGAGGAAGAGGCATCTCCGGATGCGCCAGAAGCAGAAAAGGATGTGGAAGCGCCGGCAGCGTGCCGCGACAAACCCACTCCAAGGCCGACTCCCAGCGCGACTGCGAGGATCAGCAGGACACCCGCGAGAATAAGGTAACCCCTCCTCCTCCGGCTCGGTTTTCCGCCGCCGGCACGTTTTTCCGATACTCCACCCTCCCGCGTGGCGTGATCGGGATCGTGTGCGCCAGGGTAGACCGCGGGCCCTGACAGCCCGAGCAGGCCACCCTCCGTCTCGATGGTGCTGGCAGCGCGCGAGTCGTCCTTCGCGTAGCCCGCGGCGGAACCACCGCCGAGCGTGGGCTGCGACGACTCGGAAAAGTACGAGTCGCGTGCGGGTCGGCCAGGGTCGTCCTCGTAGAGCGCGTGGCCCAGGAACCGCTGACCCGGTGTGGACGGGACGGGCATGTACGCGTCGGGTGCGTCGTTGTGCATCTCTGCGGCCGAAAGAGCGGACAGGGTCGGTGTGGCAGAGGCAGCGGCGGCAGCGGTAGGGGACCACGACGAGGATGCTGGGCGGGAGGAAAAATGTGGGTCGAGATCAGCAGGCGTTTGATCAAGAAGGTCATCCATGTTCCGTGGTGTGACGTCAGATGACGCCGGGTTCATCCTTCACGCAAGTGGGAGGGGAGGGGGAAGAGGAGGGGGATATGCGCTGAGGCAGGAGAGTGGAAAGCCACTATAGAGGGAGGAAGGCAGGCAGCGGGCACACATCATGTCGCCGTCCCGCGCGTGCCTCACTCGACTCAAGTGAAGCGAAGTCGCACATGATCACAGATCAGATTCAAAAAATTAGCGTGACGTAACTGAGATCCGCAAGGGAATATTCGGATGCCACCTCTGGCAGTTTGTAAAACTCAAATGTAGCTTTTTGAAGATCCAGCTTCCTTATTTGGTAATGAAAGACCGGGCCGAGGAGCGAGTCGAATTCGCGTGACCGATCTGTGTTTCTTCCCACAAGTCGACCGGACAAATCATCCCGCCTTGTCGGCCAGGCCAAAGACATGGAACTCTTATCGCCTTGCGGATACCACTCCTGATTATTGAACCCCAGGAGGATTCTGCGTACTCAATAACAAGCCATCAATACAGCTGGCCGATGGTAAAATTCAGTCAGACAAGCTTTCGTAGATAATCCGGAGATCACACAGATCAGTGACACTTTAATCGAGAACTCGGATCAACGGTATATTTAGCCCCAGATTTCGCCTCCGAGACAGCCTCTAGTAAGAAAGTCGAAACCCGACAAAGCTTGCATGCAAGGTGTGTGTGTGAGCCAGTGTTTCAAGATCCGAGTGCAAAGCAAATTGCCCCCTGCGACAGGCAGCAGGCAGGGCCAAGCTGTCTTGGAAATGAGCCCACTGACCTGCGCAATTCGAAATACTCCCAGGAACCGAGATCGAAATCACGGCATCGCTATCACCGGTCCGGAGTCACTGCCACTGATGCGCGCAGCTTTACTTCGAACGAACGCTACGCTATGTAAGGCTGCTTTCGATGCTGGGTATATCAGCCCAAAACCGAATGCAATTCTTCACAGCCTGTGCCCAACAGTCACTTTGACTGCTGTCACTGCCATTTGTCGGCGTCGTGCCAAGCAGGAGGCCGTTGTCATTCATTCACAGCCTGTGTGGCAAATGCCATACATCGATCTCTGCCCCTCCCACCCACATCCCTGAGCCATGGCCACCACCACTGCTACCACGACCACTCCCCCGACGTTCGAGGGCCCCGAGATAGTCGAGCTGCGCTCTGTCTCCGCGAGCAAGATCACGAGCGTGAGCCTATACCCCTCCCGCGCCGAAGTGACGCGGGTATTTAAGTTCGCTGTTAAAACGGGCCTGAATCAAGTGTCTATCGCGGGATTGCCGAGTGTCCTGGAAGCCGAGTCGCTGCGGTACGTCCAGATCGGCAGTACCACTCATTGAATTGCTCTTGTGCTCAGACTTGGCGCATGCAGCGTGGAAGGCCGTGGCGCGGCAACCATACACGACGTGACAGTCTCGACCGAGAAGGGCGAACACGTGCCCACCACGTCCCCCGTGCTCGAAACACTCCTGGCCACACAGGCTCTCGCTGAAACGGCGCTCGCGCGAACCGAGAGAGCCATCGCTTCACTCGAGACGTACCTCGGCTCGGTGACGGTCGAGCACCTCGATGTTAGCAAGCTGGACTCCGTGATCGCCGCCTACGATGCGACGGGCGCGCGGCTGGACGCGAGGAAGGCTGAGTTGGGTGCGCAGTTGCTGCAGTTGGAGGGCCAGGTCCGCGAGGAACGGGACCGGATTGCAGTCCCGCACGAAAACGATCAGCTGAGGGTGAGAGTCGCCATCGGCGTGTTCGCAGATGCGGCAGGGGATGTCGAGATTGCGTTAGTCTACGGTGCGTGTGTTGCTCGTGCCGCGTGGCTCATTCACGAGGTCCTCGCAGCTGTCCCGTGCGCGACTTGGTCTGCCTTCTACGATATCAGGGTCGATATGGACACTAAGGAGGAACCAATCAGCCTCGTGTACAAGGCTGCTATCCAGCAGAGCACCGGCGAATCCTGGAGTGACGTACCCCTGACCCTCGAGACGTCGACCCCGACATTCGGAGTCGGTGTTCCGGAACTGCTGCCGTGGAATCTCGATATCCAGCGCTGGACGCACGCATTTGGGGGCAGCATGAAGAAGTCGAAAGAGTCCGGGGTCCGACTCGAGTCGCAACGTCGCCGGCGCTCAGTAATACATGAGGAGGACGAGGAATCAGATGCCCTAACTTCTGGATATGGGGAAGCACCCGGCGCAGCGCCGTTGATGGCGTACGCCGGTGCCTCTGTCACCTCACGAGGCAACGTCAGCGCTACTTTCCGGGTACCGGGAATGGTGACGATCCCGAGTGACGGAGAAGTCCACAACTTCACCATCGTCGAGCTGTCGCTCAAGGCGGCGATGTCCTGGGTCTGCGTCCCCAAGATGGGCGCCAAAGCACATATCTTGGCCAAGATCACGAATGAGTCGGAATACACCCTGCTGGCGGGGACGGCGAGTGTCTATGTCGATGGAAGTTTTATCTCGCGGTCAGAGATCCCGGCTGTCAGCCCGAAAGAGAGCTTTGATTGTCCATTAGGGTGCGCATATACAATTTCATCGTACTGTCTAGGGACTGACATACTCGAACAGTGTCGACCCGTCCATCCGAATCACCTATCATCCCGTGTTGAAGAAACAGTCGCAGTCCGGTTTCTACACGAAGAGTGCTACGCACGCTTTCACGCAACGCATCACGGTGTTCAACACCAAGAGCATCGCCGTGGAGAGGCTCAAGATCATCGATCAGATCCCCACGTCGCAGAACAGCCAGATCGAAGTGAAGCTGCTCAGTCCCGCGTTGCTGCTGCCTGCGGAACTCGCCGCAGCTGACAAGGGCAACGGTGGACTCGGCAGTCTGACGCTCAAGAAGTCGCCGCAACCGGCGAGCGGGACGGTGCCGCAGACGATTACTGTCGCGCGCGGTGTCATTGCTCAGTGGGACGGGGTTGGAGAGCCGGACTGCGACGTCCAGACACTGGGACTGGATCGGAAAGTCAACTGGATCTGTTCGGTGCCGTCGCAAGGAAAGCTGAATCTGACCTTGGACTGGGAGGTCACCGTCTCGCCCGCTAATCTCGTCGTGGTCGGAATCTAAGCTAGTGACAGGTTACCCAGTTGGCTAGCAGGCTTACTTGTTCGTTTGTTGATACTAGTTCTTGTGCTAAGACATCACGTCGAGCTAGCAAAGTGCCTGGCATACTTCCGTCGGTACCTTGCAAAGTTGCAAGCCGGTCAATGGCGAATGAAACCAATCTGCGCACTTCTCCTCTTGGGTTGTTCGGCAATTTCTCGCCTGGCACTTGTTTACAGGCGGAATTGCCTTGAGTACGGCGCTCTCGAAGATAGATGGGTCTAGGGATTAAAGGGCAGTCATGTGCTCACACGAGTCTTGAGTACTTTGCGCTCCCTAGCTTATCCCCATCTTGTGCATTAAGTGCGCCAAGATTCTGTATGACCTCCGAATGACTTTCAGCAAATCCTTCTAAGTGACTCATGTCAATGCAGCGCGTCCCCGCTGAGGATATCTGTGAAGGTTGCTTGGCCGTTGGATGATTTTCTGATGACCTTGTATGGTCCTTGTCTCTCAGCTCATTCCCCTTCATCGAGGCTCACGCAACTGCGGAACGAAAGTGAGCTTTGTCATGGTGGTCTCGAGCGGACTATGCTGTCCTGTGGCCTATCCGGCCCCAGATGTTCTCGCGCGTTTTCTTCTACGGTAGTCATATTGTCGAGTCACCCCGCACAACCAAGCCCAACTCACTCCAATCTCGCTGCAGAAACCTGGAGATCAGTTTGAACGACGAGGGACAACCGTGAAATAGTGAAGGGTGCCAGAACTCAAAGACGGCATGTATGCACTCCTTCACACCTGTATGGAACAATAAAGGTGAAATTTTCATATTGAGCATGAAGGTTGGAATGAATGTTTTTTTTTGCGTGTGGTCTCCAGTGGATTGCATGAATACCAGAAGTTGAATTCAATAGGTCTAAACCGATCACATGGTAGACGCGTGACAGGCACGTGCGCGTTCTTTGCGCAAGCTTGGCCCGACGCGGTTCAAATACCCGCCTGAACGAACGTACAGCCCCCATTGCATCTTGGCCATTTACCACGAGCATCCCTGTTCTCTTCTCCCAGAAACATCTCCTTGATTCATCACCTCACGATGCTTCTGCTCCCCACTTTCATCCATGGCCTTGGCCTTCTTCTCGCGATCACCGCGTCCTTCAAGTTCAACGTCGTTGCCCCTGGGGATCTCGTCCAATGGCTGCTCGCCCCCGCGCCACTGTACTCGGACCCGAAACTGTTCGAGGAATATGTGCATCCGATGCGCAGACTCGATGTCGTGGACTATTACTGGCAAGAGGACGACGCGCAACTGCGTAGGGTGCTCCCCCTGATGGACAAGATCGCCGTACTGTTCAAGGAGATCGGGTACACGAACTACACTTGGGACTCGGACGTGGTCGCTGGGGCATACACATTCTCATTTGAGCGACCTCGCCGAGTGTACGAGAACGACACGGACGACGACGACAAGGATGGAAAGAAGGTGACCCCCGTTCAACACGCTGCGCCCGGGTGCACTTGTCTGGGCGATTCTGTGATCTCGCCCAGTGTGGATCAACCCCAGACTCCTTCTCCCATCACTGCAAGCTCATCCACAGTTGTGGTCGTGCCTCGCCCGGCGCCTAACACAGCCACCCGCACCCTGGACGTCGATTTGATCATCTCGCCCAGTGTGAATCTTCTGGATGGGCTTGTCTCCACTGCGACTGCCATCAGTGCGTCTTCTCCCCACGCTGCAACTCAGATGTCTGGGACCGCGTCCGTTACTCAATCTGCGCCCTCATCTCAACACACATCTGAGCTCAATCTTCTGGCTTCTTTGCTTCTTATTGCTTGCTTCACCGTCTTCTGTATCATGTACCGACTGCGAATGCTTGACTTCACTTGCTTGGCTGAGACAGACACTGCACCCACCACCACCCCTGTCCTCTCGTGCTCTCCTAGCTTGCAAGTCCAGGTGGCTGCGACGACGGCGGACGACGATAAGACTCAATGCATGCTGGTTCTGGTCGGGCTCGCCTACCTTGCTCAAGTCGCGTCAAAATCAACTACGAATACTGTGACCGACGAGCGACTGTTCCGCTCAGCAAGGCTGGCTTCTTGAACGCACCCACGCACGAGATCTGCAATGAGGCTCACGTACGCCTACCTCCTTGTTCGTTGGAGCCTTCCATTGACAGCGTGTACAGTCGTCTTCTTCGTTGACAGTGGTTGCGAATGTACCTAGCGCTGCGGATTTTGACGACGTGCGCACTTCCTTCCTCCCTCAGCATGCTCATGCTCACCTGTTTCATCGCTCAGCGCCGACCAAGTTTGTTGTTCCCAGAGAACGTGGGTCCATGCTTCATGGAGTTCGATGATCGAGAGGTATATTTGGTTCGCTCTGTCTGCACTCCAAATCTCACCTGCATCCAGTTTCTGGCCTCTTCATCCATGCCTCGCATCGTCGAGCTCACGAGTAACGATTCAGACCTGAGTGCAAGCTCAGACGAGGTCGATGGCATCGAGGTGCGTCCGTCATCGGTTGTGACGAACTCTTGCTCACATTCATTACAGTTGCCCCCCTCAGAGTCCTGTAAGCATTCAGCTCCCAACGACGAGATTGAGATTGCCTCTCTGGAGGTACGGATTATCCTCCTCCTGTGCTTTCTTCGATGCTCACTCCCAATCAGTCCCAGCAAGCTGCCATTGAGCCTGCTATAGCTGCACCGTTTGGAGTCCCCCAGCCCACTACTTTGCAAACCATTCTTCCCAGTCAAAAAGCAAACCACTCTTCGCCGACGACAAGGGCCCCTCGAAGCTCCGTCAAGTCACGACTGCCAGTGCCGATCTCGAAGCAGGGGAAGGCCCCGATGTCCCGTCGTGCGCATGAGCCGCAAGTCGTGCGGGAGACTGCTGCCGGTCGAGATCCTGCGCCAGCAAGCGTATCACGCTTCCGCTTCGCGCCATCTCAGTACCAGCCGACGGTCATATATGCAACATCTCGCCTTCCCAGCATCCAAACTCCTCATTCGTACGCATACATCCAGGGACCGGTGCAATCACCCAATCAATCACTCACTTCCTTACGGCCCACCCACCACATAAACCACCCCCGGGCCGGGGCCTGGCAGGGTTGAGCGCACCACTCGCCACGACGATAGTAATGACGACGACAATCTGACCAATGCTTTGAACCGGAAGAACCGCATCTCGCTGCTCTGATAACCCAGCCACTGCACGCGACTGATCTCGAGTAACGTGCTCAGACGTCGCTGGCCGTGCCAAGAAGTGGGGACGCCCCTTCGCGGCACGGCGGCAATCTGGCCGTAGCGGGGCTGACGGGCCTTTGCTGCGGTGCAGAGGGTTAGATGATGAGTGCGGCTGTGTGCTCCATGGTGCGAGCTTGGGAGGGGAGTCTTCGTCTGTCTGTCGTCCGCGCGGAAATCAACCACTGCTGTCTCGTCTCGGTCTCGGTCTCGGTCTCTCTGTGATCTCTCTTGGATTTGGATCTGCTTCATCTTGGATTTGCACGAGTCTCTCCCTCTCTCATAGATTCGCTCTGTAGATCAGAGCTGTGCTCCATATATTGCTTCATATAGAATGGATTTTCGTCTCTGTCTGGTTCTGGAAGTAGTTGCAGGCCATAGCCCTGTAGTATGCGGACCTCGCGCCACGCAAGTGTCGAGATCCGCTAGTGACATGAGCAAATGGACTAGATCGCCCTGCATAACTGAAAGATGGAGAGATGCAATCGGCTGCATCCAACGATCATCCCCTACAGGTGGACACCGGGTCCGAAAAATCTTGTCCAAGCGCATACCGAGTACTCGAGAATCATTCAGATACTGGCAAGCAACTGCGATCAAGTAGAACGCACCTCTCACGAGCACATCGTGCTATGAGATTTCCATTTTGTCGTCCTCGTCACCTTCGTCCTCCTCTGAGTCTTCATCCCCGCTGCCAGGCCGCAGCGCAGTCTTGATTCCGTTCAAGACGCTCTTCGCTGCTACCAGCGCCAGACTTCTGGCCTGTGCCAGCTCGTCCTCGTCGAACAGCCCCTCCGGCGACACCGAGCGCCAATTGGACCACACGCATCTCGGCACGTCCGGCTCGCCTCCGAACGCGAACGCGAAGCACCCGCTGGCGTCAAGCGGACCCTCATCCTCGCTGGGGTCAACGACGAGCGCTGCGCGGGTCTTTCCCACGGCCACTGCGCAGACGACGGCTTTCATCGGCACGGACCCGGCGTTGAGCAGCGCGACGGTGCTGGCGTTGATCATCGCCGCGACGAGCGCGTCGGGGGTGTTCTTCGCGGGGCTGCGCACGGGGCTGAGCGCCTGAACGACGAGCTGGATGAGCGTGCGGGGGTGCTGCGAGAGGATGAGCGACGGGAGGAGCGCGGCGCGGATGGCGGCGGCGAGGGATTTGCTTTGCGTGTTCGGCACGTTGGAGAGCGGGCGGAGGAGAACTTCAAACGTCGCTAGAGACGGGTTCTCAGCTGCGAGCCGGACTTCGACGGGCCCCGAGATCGAGGCGAGCGCGACGGTGGATTTGCCTTGCAAACGTAGGGGTTATTTTTCATCGCGGACGAGAGAGTGGGGACGAGGGAGGTACCGAAGCTGAATCTGGCAGAGCCGTCTACTCGTGCGAGTCGATCCAGAGATATTTTCATGCTTCGAAGGGTTGCAGGATCTCCGCTAGGACCGCGACGCGATGTGTCCTCCATGAGGAAAAGACGGCACGATCAATAGTGCACCGCCACCATCGCTGGATTCCCTGGGTTAGCCTGGCGACCGTCCCTCACGACCACTCCTCCCGAGCCTCCGAAGCCGGCCCGCTCTGAAGACCGCCATGATACGTTCGAAAGTGGAGTCTGAAACGCATGTTCGAGATGTGCAATTGATCTCCAGGCTGATTAGCAAGTGTGAATCCCGGATCCAGACGTGCCCGGGCGGCGGGCACGCTGCGGCTGCCGTATCGCCCCGGGCGGTCATTGCGAACTCCCAGCATTTAAAGATGCACGAACATACTTGGGAATGCGACCCTGCTACGCACAGAGGAGCCTCAAATTTCAATCAATGCGCTGTATGAAGTGAGTCCCGAGAGCCATTTTGTGCCTGGTGCGAGGGCATTGGTTTATAATTAATTCATCGAGAATAGCCGCGAGCCGTCATGACAACCTGATATCTTCTCGCGTGGCCATACTTGGACGGGAAAACAAAAATCCAAAAAGCTCCGAGCGTACTTAAGGCGGCTTGTCTCGAGAACAGAGCCGCAACTTCCTCTCTCTTCCGCTCCTTTGTTTTGCTAGGCAAGACGGGTCTTGTCGTGTGTTTTTCTCTGCCGGTCTTCAGTACGTGCCTCGGTTCTTCGAGAATGACGTCCGTGTTCATCGTCCTCTCGCAGGTCTTTCCACCTACACTCTTTTTTCGCTGCTGTGCATCACTCTCTGACACCATGTTTTGGTACAAGAACCTTGTCATCGCCACTATCGCCTCTTCAGCATTGGCCGGCCCCATCCGTCGCAATGGTGAGTGATCGCGCCGCGCGTTGTGGGCGCCTGTTAAGTTGTCGACGCAGTGTTCCTGCAAGAGCGAGATATCACCACCACCTTCTGTGCTACAACAACAGTTCCTGTCATGACTGTCACGTCCACCGTCACCTCGACCTCGACATCGACACACGTTGTCACCGCCACGGTCTCCTCCGCGGACGCCGCCGCGACCACGGCTGTCGACGTTGTGAGCACCACCGAGCCCTGTGTCGGTACTGTGACAGTAACGGCTACCGACTCCGCTGCTGCGGCTGCTACGGACTCCGCCGCTGCTTCTGCGACCGACTCTGCTGCTGCTGCTGCCACCACCGCTGCTGCTGCCAACAACGCCGCCGCCGCGACGTCGACTGATCCCTGCCCTCCTGATGTCACGGTCACGGTCACCGGTGCTGCCGCTGCTGCCTCGGCTACCGATGCTTCGTCGGCGGTGGCTACTGATGCTGCTTCGGCGTCTGCTACCGATGCTGCTTCGGCGTCAGCCACTGACGCGGCCGCCGCTTCAACGGCTGCTGCTGCTGCATCCACCGGTGCCTCCGCTGCCATTGGCAACTTCGGTCAGTGATATCCACCCTTCCATTTCTGAGGGGCTCGCTGATCATCCTGCGCAGGCTCTTGCTCTGTTCCCCAGATCAAGTTCGCCACCGGACTTGATGGCCGCAGGGAGACCGCTTTCGCGCCGGTCGACCAGAAGTCTTACAACCACGGATCTGCAGACAACATCGGCGTCGTGACATCGTTCATCTGTCTCGCTTTGACTAACAGCGTACGTGGCCGGCACCCGTTCCTCCGATTCCTATTGTTGACTTGTGTTGCAGTGTGGTGCTGACGCCACGGCCAAGGCCACCTGCGCCAAGGCCCAGGCCCTCGCCGCCGCTCAGACTCCCTTGGTCGGTATTGGTGCGGATGCTTTCAACTCTGTATTCGGCATCACCACCGTGAGTGTCCTCGTTGTGACGGCCCGTGCCCATCACTGATTTGCTCGGCAGAACTTCAACAACGTCTCTGCCGTCAGCAACACCGGCACCCCCGTCGCCGGTACTACCGGGCTCAGCCTTGCAGCATGAGCGGTGAAGTCAAGATACAAAATGGTCCGACATGTAGCACTATCACGAACACCCTGGGGTGTTCCTTTTCCTTTTGCCCCCCCCTTTTCTCACGGTTCGACTGAAGAGCCTAGACCGGTATACTGTAGCTACACACACACATTGTCACCACCACCCTGATACCTAGCAATTCATCTCGTCGGATACCCAACCTTTCCGCCCGCACGTTTCGCATCTGTGTCGCGGCAAATGACAGCGATATTGCCGTGGGTCTCCACGGACCGCGTTCCTGAGTCGTGTGGGTACTTGCTGCGCAGTCATGATCCCTCGAGGCGGCTTGACATGGTCTGACCAAAATTAGGTGCGGACCTCCCACCTGAGAGAGTCTGGGCCTGGCACCAACCTTGCAATCGATGGCGGCTCAACATTCGCAAGATTCAACCGTGAGAAACGAGCTCCTCGTGGGTTTGCTAGAGACTAGTGAACTTGGTGACCTCTCGGATGCGCTTGGCAGTCAAATCGGTCGAGTTCCGTTTTTTCTTTATGTAGTATTCCAAGCAATATTATGCGTCACTCGTCCTCGCCGATCGAGTCAACGTCAACGTCGCCACCAGAATCTCCCCCAGCGGTATCGTGTAGAGTCCACAAGTCATTCGCCAGCTCTTTCATCTCATCCACGTCGATCCCGAGGCTGTCCACCGGGAACCTGCGCTGCAGCTTGTCGTCCAAGAACTTGGCGCACCCGGCGAACAGCTGTACGGTTTCCCGCGACGTTCCCACCGTGGACAGCACGGCGGTCGATCGCGGACGCGAGAGCCTGAGCACGCCTCCGCTTCCCAAGCCCGCGGAGGACTCGGCAGCATCACTCGTGAAGAATGCGGGGAAGGAGCTCGGTAGCGGGTACGCCGGGGCGTGGAGGCTGGGTGGAGATGAGACGGGAGAAATGATGTGGGAGAGGTGCCGGCAAACCTGGAGACGATCCCCGCATTGCCGGTTCTGTCGAGGAACTCGGTGTAACTCGACATCGCGGACCGACTGAAGCCTCGTGTAACATCACGTCGGAAGCCTCCATCAACCTAAGGCGACAGACATCGTTCAGTACGACATAGCCAGAAGCTTGTTCGACAGAGACACCAACAAAACTTCCAGACGAGCTTGAAAAATTGTAGATTTGGCGCAATCGATCCGGATTGTTGTCACCCAGAAAAACTCCGCCCAACTCAGCGAAAGGAACCCCAGAATGGTACGCCAGTTGGCCGCAGAAGCTATGCAGAGGCTCGTTTTGGCGCCTCAGCCTGCCAAGAGTCACGATAAGCAACAGTGCAGGCCGGCTAATCGAGCGTACCGGAGAGGCAGTGTCGCGGTCTCGACATTGGTCGACAAAATCGCAGACGTATGGTAAATATGCGCTTGCTGTTAGGCGCCCACCGTCAGATCGGGCACGTGCGGGAACGCGCGGAGACTTACGCCGGCCTGGATGCACTCATTGCGGCAGACGGCATCTGACCAGGTCGTGGGAGATTGAAGGGCAACGGTCATCGACGAAAGTTCACTCAGGCTCCGCAGCACAAATGCGTCGTTCACAGCTTTTCGAACTGCTGACTTGTCCTTGGGAGCCAACGGCGATCAATGAGGCTGAGACGCATCTCGAGGGTCACGCACCTCGAGGGAGATCTGGGGAACCGCATCTGAGAGCAGGGGTAACGTAATCATTGGCAATTTCGTGAACTCGTCGCGGAGCGAAAGCATCAGCGAATTTACGAAGGACCCGAAACTCGCTGTATCGTGCATGATATGCATCCCCTACGCCGGTGTCAAGGACATAAAATGGAGACCGGATCGGATTCGTTGTAAAACGCACCTGAATTGTCTCGCACTCTTCGACGAACAGCCGCACCGCACCGTCCATGAGATCATTATCCTGACAGACCACTCAGAAGGCTGCCATCTCTGTGTGCTGGGAGCAATAAACTGCCACTCACCTCGTCGTACCTCGTGAACAGATCGCCACCAAAGGCCCAATCTCCTTCCTTGCTCTCCCACTCTGCGAGATCCGGGATTTGCTGCAAAGTGCGTGGCGCATAGTATAGCCGGTTGAAATCCGGCCAGTACCGCACGTCTTTTAGCTGGGCAGTCGCGGCATCTTGAGCCACGCCCTCGTCAAGATCTTCCTTGTCGAGGTCGTCTTGGTATTGGCTTTTGGTGACGCGCTCTTGCTTGTATTCGATGGGAGCACCAGTCCTGCGAAAGACATAAGAGAGTGTAGCGCACGATCCGATCCCATTACGAACCACAGAGAGGAATCTATATCCTCAGCCTCCTCGGCAATCTCGCCCAAAGCGTTTGCTTGGTTTAACGTGCCAAATCGGGCTGTTAATGATCTTCACCAATTAGAACGTTGTAGGCTAAAACACAATCACCTTTGTAATCAAACGCAAGCAACCGAGGGCAGAGAATCGATTCTCCCTGCTTATTGCGTTCACATCATTAGACTGAACTGGGCTCGGCGCACCTTCCAATTGAATCCCTCACGAAAAGAGACCTCGTGATCGATATTCTGCGCTGCGGCTTCATCACCGGCTAAGTAGCTTTCTTGAGTATTCCAGAAGTGCGTTCCCACGTAATTCGCTGGAGTGCCGGCCTGGATGTACAAGATCTCTCTCATGATGACGGCAGAGCGAAACGAGGAACGAAGTTTGATCGATGCAGTGATCGGGGCGTACCGCTTTGTCATCGCGATCACATGCTCATGTTCAACTTGCAAGATCGGTCCGCAGGATCTCCCATGCAGCAACGAAATCCGGGCCGTTCAAGATCCCGTTTGCTTGGCCTGAAAATCTGACATGCAATTATTGATGGGTATCACATTCGGTATTATCATACATATCGTAAGTGTCCGCCTCTCTCAACAAATCCGGGGCACCTGCTCACACAACAATGTGGGGTGTACTGATCCTTGCAGTCAAACGACCACCCTGAAACTGTCCAGAAGTCGCCTGTCCTCCCTAGAAAGCGGTGTTTCGCGCCGCCCGTGCCGTCGTTCGCGTGCAGTTGGTGGGGTGAATTGGCTTCGAGGAACACTCGACCTGGACAGATGTCCCAGGGAAGCTAAAGAAGGCAGGCGCAGTTCCGAGGTAGCACACATGCCACGGACCGCCGAGTCGCCCAGCAACGCCAAGTCCTCTCGCATAAACACCGGAAGCGGCAAGACCAGGGACGGATCGCTGACCTCCAGGGATCCCAACGTGACGCGAGCCAGAGCGGAGAATTGGGGCCCATGTGGCTCTGCTGTCGACTGAATCGCTGCGTACGGCGTGACAGGCGAGCGGGAGCTCTCCCGCGAGTCAGCATCATCCGACTGCGAGCTCTTTGACGGTGGTGATTCGTTCCAAGTCGCTGGTGTCAGTAGGCCTGTCAGGTTCCTGGCAGTCGTGAAGATGCCGTCGGGAGGGTGAAAGTGCCGGAGATGCTCGTAGTCGTCGACGATTGGCAGTTCCGCGATTGACTCAGCCTGAGTCGACAACGTCAAGATCATGAGTCGGGTTGAGTGGTCGAGCACGGACCGAGAGGTAGGCGACAATGTGCCATTTCCGAACCTGGAACGAGTGCGGCACATGGACGACAACGGAGAAAGTCTGTTTGATTAGTCCGTTCGTTTGCGTCGGCCGATCCTTGCGCTTGGGAGGCCCCGGAAGGTCGACGGGAGAGTACGATGCTTTGTTTGCTCTGTGGCTGATGCATCAGAGCAAGCGCAGCATCGATTGGGGATACCGACCGCCTCACAGCCTTAGCCGTCCGCTCTGCCTGAGTGGTGGCGATCTTCTCCTCGTAGAACAGAAAATCGCCGCGCATCTTACTCTGGGACCTGCGATGCACCGAGCCCTTCATCCTCGGTGGGTCGCGACTGAGCGGGATGAACAAGACGTACCATCTGCGTCCATCTGTCCAGCGCACAAGCCCGCCGTCGTCGCCTTCCTCCGCGCTCTCCTCCCAGACGAAGACGTTGCCGCTGCTGAGCCCGGCGCGTTCATGAGGAAGGAGACGGCGGCGGACCAGCGGCAGGGCCCGGGCACGGACGGCTTCCAACAGCCGGTGCGCATCAGCGACATTCCGGATATCTGACCAAAGCATCAACGACGAGGTTCCACATTGTGGAACTCCAGCGCGGGACTCGTACGGAGGCGCGGGTGGGTGACGTGGGACTCGGAGTGTATGTCCTGCGGACAGCGATGGAGACGGAATGTCATGGAGAGAAGTGGAGCGGCGCGCGGAGGCAGTGGGCATCCCAGAGGATAGATGACTCCCGCATCTCTCAGTTTAATTAGCCTAGACCAAGAAGATCCCAGATCGACTCACGGTATGCTCTGTAAATAGCCCTGGCGCCTGAATATTGAGCGGCACTGCCTCACTGTCATCCCGATGAGATTTTGGGCATGGGAAACGGTCCGGTACCTGTTCTAAACCATGGAAGCACTTCCATCGCATCGGAAAAACTGGGCCTGGGAAAGCGGAGACGAACTTGTGATGTGCGAGCCTTGCAGTCAGGAGACTGGCAAAACTTCGGTCTCCCGGGTTTTCTCCATAGCTGACCAATCTCGAGCAATTGTTAGCCACCGATGCTCGAGTGGGTCTGAGTGTGTCTTACCCCTGAAAGAGTCAAGGTCAAGAGGCGTATCCAGTCGCTACCGAAGGAGCCTTTGGCGGCTGTGATAGAGTGCTTCCTGAGATAACAGGAAACCGACAAAGCGGATGGATCACTTAGTGGCAGAGCATACCAAGCTACTGGTAGACGATGTTACCAAAGTCTAAACTTTCTGGCCGATGGGAATCTGTCGGCTCTTCTAAACGAGGCAAACAAACTCGGCATCTTCTTCTTTGATCTTACCGTTTGATTAGTGGCTGATCCGGGTGACGAGGCCAATGCCTAGCCTGAAAGCCCGATCTGTACAATCTTTCCCAGTGCGACTATGAATGAGACGCAGTTCTAAGTCCGACTAGGGCGCTTGAGGGATATAATGCATCAGAATAGAATCATGCAGATATGTGTGTACGGCATTTGATGACCCTTTTAGATTTTGTGTTCCAGAATGTTGGAGACATCGAACTGACAGACTGCCTACATGAAATCCTCCTCAATCTCCTTCACAGACTTCCCGCGCGTGCTCTGATATTCATACTCGTCATCCGCATTGAACAGCGAGTCGTAAGACCGCGCTGCTTTCTCTGCTTCCCTGGCGCGGGCAAGCTCCAAATCGGCTTTTTTCTGTTCCGGTTGGTCAGCACACCTGAGTCGAGGTCAACAGCAGTGTCTCGTACCTTATCGTTGGCCGCAAGACGCCGTTCTGAGTTCTCACGTTTTAGACGGTCGATTCTATCCTGCTCGTGATCCACGACGCGCTCGACTTTTGTCTTGGTCAGTCGGTTGACGATGGGATTTTCGCGTTTGGCGACGTGTACTCGAGGATCATCAGAGGCGCTGGGACCTTGAGCTGCCTGCTACTCACTCCGCTTGACCTGCAAAAAATGATGCTGTAGAAAATCGACGATCTATCGGCACCGGACGCACTCTCTTATCGTTGTGGAACGACACCTGTCCCACGGCCATGTCACCCGTTTTCTGAAACGTAAGATCGTCGTCAAAGCTGAGGATCGGAGTGAGAAAGCGCCTGCCTTGAGATTGTCAGCTGGGGTGTAGATAATCGTCAGATTGTCTTTTTTGTTCCCTGGGTCGCAATGGTCAGAAATAGTTTCGGCCCCGACGGCGGACTTGCCCTCGATTGAATTAGCTTTCACTAATTGAGCGCAATCAATGAGAAGATTTTGGGGAATAGCCTCCCATGTTATCGATCCGTCTTCCGGCAGGCGGATGTACACGTGCGCAGAGGAGAGTTTGTCGACGTGAAACCAGATGTCGTTGGGATATGCATATTTGATGAGGTCTTCGTCTGGAGCGATATTTCAGTCCTCGATTGGTGCAAGATGAATACAAGGTTCAGAAGAACCAGAGGAAGGCAGACCGAAACAGTGGCATCGGTAGAGATCAGAGACAGAGAACACCTACTCTCTACTTTATCTTTGCCCATGTAGATAACCACCGAAGGCGATACAGCTTCGTTTGTCAGACCGATTTTATATCCGGAAATATGCACAGATACCTGTGGAAGTAAAAAATAGAACCATTATCACAGGCAGAGGTAAAGGTAAAGGTGGATTGATGACTAAGACAACGCATGATTTGCTCGTGACTAGAGCCGGCGCCGGACATCGCCGGAACGAGCCGACTGGTGACGATGGGACCGCTGTCGCTCGTAAGCCTGCTTGCTACATACATCATGAGTGCCGTTAAGCAAGCCATCTCTTCGTCACATTCCAGCTCTTTTCTCATGCAGAGGCGTCCAGATCCCTTGCTACTTGCCTCTTCTGTAAAATCATCAAAGGTGAATTGCAGTCCTGCGCGGTGTTCAGGATATCCTCATTACACGGCGACCTTCAGGCGAAATCCCGAGTATGAAGCTCGTGGAGACCGAGTTATCGTCAGTCCCGACGCTATGAGAATCCTCCCTCGGTCTCAGATCGCCTAGATACTCGTTCTTGGACATCGGCCCTCTCTCCAGGGGACATGCTCTCGTCATCCCCAAATGCACGTCCCGTCGCCCGCGTCCCGTCGCGTTTCTGACACAGGCACCCGACAGACCACTCCCATAAGATGCACGAGCTTCCGGACGAGTACCTGGCCGATGCCATGCCGATCGCGAAGAAGATCGCACTTGCACAGGGCGCGGAGAACTACAACATCTTGCAGAACAACGGACGGCTAGCACACCAGGTGCGTCCACATACCGATCCTCCTTCGCATGTGCAATGACCTTGCTCCATCAGGAAGTCGACCACGTTCATTTCCACGTCATTCCCAAGCCCACTGCCGAAGAGGGTCTCGTTGTCGGATGGCCCGCCAAGCCGTTGCCGAAGGAGGAGCTCAAGAAGATCCATGATGAGCTCTTGTCCAAGCTCTGAGCTCAACGGCGCATAGGTAGTACAGGGTGTTTGTATCAACAATAGTTCAAAGCTCGCGTGGTGAACCAACCACATGCGGCGGATGCCCCTCAGAAGTCGATCTTTTCGACAATTTCCTCGCCTTTGCCTTGGATATCAGCTAAAGAAGCGTAGCCTGAGAGACCCAGAGTCGCGTCTAGATCGGCAAGAGTGTGGAGGATGACCTGCTCGATTCCCGCCTGACCTGCGACGATCCCTCCGTAGAGCCAAGGGCGGCCGACTGTAGCTGTGAGCACCCAGCGCTAGCTATCGGACACCGACTCACGAAGGACCGCCTGGGCACCCAGCGCCAATGCCTTGATGATGTCTGATCCAGTGCGGATGCCGGAGTCGAAAAGAACAGTCAACGCGCCCGAAGTCTGAGCTTCCTTAACCTTCTGCGACTTCATGATCCGTTCCAGCGCATAGAGAGATGGGAGGGCGCCGTCCACCTGACGTCCACCTTGGGATCAATAGAATGAGTGGGGAACGAGAAGCGGTAGGGGCTATCCGCGTACCGTGATTAGAAACAACGATTCCGTTGACACCGTACTCGAGACTCTTTTCGGCATCTTCGACGCGCTGGATTCCTTTGATGATGAGCGGTCCCTCCCAATTCTCTCGCAGGAAGCGGAGGTCCTCCCAGCTGCGGAAGAGACCGGAGTTGCACTCTTTCAGCCATTCTGTGCCCAAAAACACCTGGTCCATGGCTTCCGCATCTTGCGCCTCCAGTCGTTCTCTCATCGCGTTCTGATCGAACGGAAACTTGGGCGGAGGCCCCGTAACAGGCTCTCTTCCGAATCGTCGCATGAACACCGGATCCGAGGTCCCGACTTGGTTCCCGACGCCATAGACAAAGGGGATGTATGCCGTCTCGAGGTCGTGCGGCCGCCAGCCGAGCGTCATCGTGTCGAGCGTTACCACGAGCGCAGTGAACCCACCAGCTTTGGCACGCGAGAGAAGCGATAGCGTCACCTCTTTCGTCGCGGGCCAGTAGAGCTGATACCACCGGTGGCCGTCCCCGTTGGCGGCGGCGACGGTCTCGATCGGGCGGGTCGATGCAGTGCTCATGACGAAAGGGATCTTGAGTTTCGCGGCGGCGCGCGCCGATGCGAGCTCCCCGTCGGCTATGAACGTCCCTTGTACACCGATGGGGGCGATGATTATGGGCGATGGGTGTGTCACGCCGAAGATGGTCGTCTGCGGTCCCTGAGAGAGATGCGCAGAGGGGGAATCGACACGCGACACACCTCGAGAGTACGCGTCGTGGCATCGACCAACATACGGGGTACGATGCGGTACTTCTCGAAAGCGCGTAGATTGGCGGCACAGGTCGAGCCGGTTCCTGCGCTGCCTCCGGCGTACATAAATGCTCCTGCAGGCGTAGTCATGAGTAACGATGCTATCTCTGGCTTGCAGGTTGCAGTTACCGGGGTAGTCCTTGAGAGCCTCCTTCGCCTTTTGCTCAATCTCTTCAAACGATACCGTTCCAAGAGCCTGTGGTCCCTTTCCATGCAGGTAGAGGCTGGACGTGAAGGTGGCCCATGGCTGCTTATCCGACATTTCGTGAATGGAGTGGTTTAAGGAATCGGAAGACGACGTGATTTCTAGGGAGTTGAGCCATTTTTAGCGGCGTGGATTTAGATGGAGTTTCCACGGCTGATCCAGGGCCCGGCATGCGGGTATTGAGCACGAGAGAGTTTCAAGACTTGCATGAGAACATGATGACAACGCATTGAAGTCATCTGACCGAAGCTTTCCCACGAGTGTCATCCACACCGTAGACTCGACTGATCTCTCGACTCCCCAGCAGTCCGAACTTTTGGTAATGCAGTTCACACAATCGGAGAGCGGTCCATTCAGGGAGATTCCGGTGATGTAACCCCTCTATCTCCACCCTTGAAGCCCCGGTCATTGTGACGGCCGCAGAGATCTGGCCGAGATAACGAATGCGGATCCCATCATTAGACAAGCATTAGTGGACCAAGTGACGGGTGCCTGCAGAGAAGTGGGCTTCTTCTATGGTTCTATCTTCTGATTGCCATTCCGAACCTCCCACTGATTCGTTCGCCCGCTGCAGTGAAGAATCACGGAATCCCGAACGAGGTGTTTGTTCGCACTCTCGCAGCTATGCGCCAGTTCTTCGACCTGCCGCTCGAGGACAAACTTGAGGAATTGGAATTTACCTGCTTGTTTCTTGCCTTCTCACCTTTCGCTCAGGTAGAGAATTCGAAGACTCCCAATTTCAAAGGATACAGTCCGCTACTTTCTGGTAACAACGACCCCAATGGTGCTGGCGACGTCCAGGAGGGATTCGAATTCGGATTCGAGCCGATGGATGATTCTTCCCTCTTCAATGCTGCGGAGAGTCAAGGAATCATGAGCGGTGCTAATATATGGCCTACCGGCCTGCCAGAATTCCGCGCAGCAGCGTTGAACTACTAGTCAGTGGGGCGATTTAAAAGGCGATTCGGCTGATAGATCCTGATAGCCATCACGCACTTGCCCTGGGGCGCCAATTGTTTCCTCTATTTGCGTTGGCACTCAACTTACCAGAGGATTTCTTTGCCGATAAAGTGCGTGCCGTTATCCGAATGTCTACATCGGCTACCTGATTGTTCCACTCTACAGACGCGTAAATCAGCCGCTCTTATGAGACTTTTGCACTACCCACCGCAATTCGGAGAGATAGACAATCGAACCATTGGGATTGGAGCCCATACTGAGTGAGTATGCACGATTCCTGTATCGCTGTAGACTGACCGTGTTCCAGCTGGGAGGTCAGTCGTTTCACTGCTTGATAACCTCGTTTTCAAGTGTCCAACTCAGTGCTTTACTATATTGTGGCAAGAACCGGGCATACAAGCTCTCCAAGTCCTCAATTCGTCGAAAGAATGGATCGATGCACCACCCTTGGAAGGAACTCTGGTCATCAAGTGCGTCTTTTCAAAAGCCCGTTGGATTACTAACATTCGGGATAGCTTGGGAGACGAGTTGGCGCGATGGACTAGTGAGGCAGAACTTTGTTACGATATTCTCTAGGATCTGACCCCTCATGGAGACGATGTGTTCACTTCAACGGTGCATCGCGCCATCAACCGGAGCGGTGTTCGACGCTACTCAATTCCACTTTTCTTTGGAACGGATTACGATGTTCGACTGGTGGTGCGTCTGCCTCCGATCTGTTGTCGCCGGCAATTTACGCCCAGCGACTGCAGCCGATTCCCAGCTGTGTCTCCGAAGAACGTCCGGCTAAATACGATGCTATCACGGCTGGAGAGTATATCCAGGGACGTCTCCGGGCAACCTATGGGCATTCAAGTTAGACGTAGTCAAATGTTGTAAATTGTAAAACATGAATCTGTCCATTCTTCTTGGAATTCTGTACCACTTTGTGGAATCGGATTTCACACACTCTTAAAATAAAGAGACTCTCCCTCCTGAATTCGGAGAAACAACGACGCGTTTCAGTCCGAAAATCTGCTTCAATTTTGCGCCAAGTGCTCCCACCTGCTGTTGAACACATGCACCCGGCGGAAATTTCCGTGATAGAAAGTTGCTCTGCAACATCCCACCATGAGGACAAAGACGTCAATATTATCATCTTCAGCAGATTTAGATCAGTAACTTGTATGAGTGGATTCAAAAATTGACCGATTACCATATCCCACTGACTTACCCATGAGGAAACCTTAGGTGAAGCTGGAGCAGAGTTGGAAATGGGTCCAGATTCAGTAGCTTATTCGACATTCAGCCAATAAATCAATCTATACGGTCCAGACCCTAAAAATATTACTTTCACGTGCCAATCATAGGGGACTCCGTCTATTCAATGCCGTACCAAACTAATCTTGGCTCACTTGTCTCCGCTGTTAACTGCCTTTACCAAGCATTTCGATATTCAGATGTAAATAGGGTGACACACCGACACACACCGCATCCTGCTTGACGCTTGCTCTTGCCATGTGTCGTCTCCGGGTCAGTACTCTATGCGCCTCCACGATTCTCCTTTTCTCTCCGCTTGTTCAGGCACAGAGCGATGCTAGCCATATCCCGACTTCTACCGTTGCTATATGTCTCGTTGTCGGTGAGTGAGTACTTGCGGCACACGAGATTGTTTCGCCCTACAACTTCCAATAGTGGCTCTCATCCTCCTCATCGTATCATGCTCCCTGCAACGACACCGAGCCATCCGTCGACAGCAAACGATTTCCACCGTGCCGCCGGCACTCGTTTGCGATAACGGGTTTCCGCATGGACTCCAATTCGGATCTAACGTCTATCGATCACTGAACGGCCCCCTGCCTCAGCGAAACGGAGCAACCGAATATCCGCCCCTCAACACCACCGAGCTTGCACCGCCGCCATACGTGAAGGAGGGTGGGGAGGGTTGTGCGCCTGTATATCAGCCGGTGCGTGATGATGTCCGATCCACTTTGTGCGCCGCGCTAATGCCTCTTGCCAGCCGCCGGGCCCAATGCCCGGCAGCGATGGTTCATTTAATCCCGTATGTTCACTATCTGATGTGCTGCGTTATTTCCATCCTTCCATCTTTCTGACGCCTATTTCCAGCCACTGGGTCCGCCACCGCCTGCTCACGTCGCCGTGCGTCTCTACGCTTCCTGATGTACATCCCTGACCGGTACGCACCCTCGTAGACACATCCCCGTGTTTCCTCCGCGGGTTTCGCCGCTGCCCCTGGAACAACATCGCCGCCGATAGGTTCGCCACCTGCGTTCGATCTATTGACACGTCGCGACCCCGGGCCGACGTCATAACACTGGCTCTGGGTGATGCATTCCCGTGGAAGGAGCTATCCTGTATCTTGTATATCATACCCACTGTCTGCCGCTATACGGAACGCGATTTTGATGGACGTACCGGGCTGCATGTGGTCCTCATTTACCGTGTCGCGCACTCACGCTCGGTCGCGTGATCGTGCCAGCTTCGCTTCTGTTAACAATTCCTGCTTCTATCACAAGGGTGGCAGGGCGTGGGACGTTGTAGTCGACGCACCCGAAGTTGCCGGTCGACATTCGAGCTGGCCGAGGGTTGAGGGTTGTGAGGGATACTGAGGGAAGGTCTTCCCGACGCTTACGGGAACGATTCTGCTGGATTACTGTAGGGAGCAGCTAGGTCCCTGGCCGGTGGACTGAATATCATGTGCTGCCACTCGGTAATCCGCAGGATCCAGAGGATTTAACTGCGAGTCGAGTCCGTAGTGTGCTCTGCCACGCGTGCGAGTGCGAACGAGGGCGAGAAGTGGAGCGTTCTCTAATCCTGGGACTGTCCCGGCTGCGGACCCGCATGCAATTCTTGACGAGCCTGGGCCTGGTGGCTTCAGGTTGTTGTGGTCCTGGATTAGAAATCTGCGGAGGAGAGGGGGATTGCTGACCTGCCACCCCCCGCACTTGGCGCGCCGTCGGCGATTAGTATCCGGCAATTGATGCCGAACCTCCAAGCATCCACGGTCTGTCGGGAGTCGGCGAGGCATTACTGGGTAGGCATCCTTGTCCCGCTCACGGGACCAACATTTTTCACAACGCCTCGTTTCCTGTCTTTTCCTCCAACACTATTTGACGGGATCTGTCCACCCCTAGGGCTGCAAGTTACGGTTCAACATCCGCGCAATGAACTGTCCAGCCAATTCCAACCGTCGCCGGGACTTGAACTCGTCAATGGGATTGAAGAGTGCGCTACATTACTGCATACGTTCAGCTAAGAGAACTCAGGAATCTAGAGAGGTCTCGTGCAAAGTCCTTGAAACACGGACCCCTATTCATGCTCAAATCGGTCATAGGTAACATTGTGGTCCAGTTTTTTTCACGCCACCAGGAATCTGTACAGCCGCCTACCCTACCAAGATCTGTAACAGGTGGCTGGAAACTTGGAGCTACCAATTGTTCAACTCATCAGATTATGAGGAGCTCAAAATCAATTCTCAGCAAATCATCTATGAAATATGGGCCCGTGCTTCAGTGTTTGTGCGCGAAAAGGCGGAGTTTTGCTCGTTGGGTGTTGAGAAAGCACGGGGATGATTTCTGATAAGTACATTCTTTTCCAAACTAGCCAGCAAGTTGTTTTCTCTCACTCCAAGTCTTGATCTCCAAGTCTCAGTTCCATTACTGTAAGTTAAGGAATGGGGGTTGATTCATCAAATGTTGCCTGTGAGAACCTGGGACAATTGTGGTACTCGTGAGAAAGGCTGTAATTATGAGGGCTCGCGCGAAGTCATTGATGAATGATCAATGAACTTGGCTCTATGCTTCCATGAGCTTCGGGTAATTGGCCCCCGCCTTCTGCAGCCGACTTTGTCATGGATCATGTTCTACCGTAGTTCTCCCGCATCCCAGAGGCAAAAGCACCGGGCACGACAGATGGATCCGACGAAAAACACCCATTTAGACTCAACCAATGACCAAGCTGCTGCTTGAGAGACCCGTTGCAGCCGGGAAAGACATTGGTAAGATGACATGATATTCCGTGACCGACCGGAGCGACATATCTAAGCATGCTCATGGTCGATTTTCACACGATGGCCCGTTGGTCTAGAGAAAAGACGATAGAGGTCCAGGTGAGGCGGTGTTGCGGCTCCGTGGAGAGAAGTAGGTTGGGAAGTTAGTATCGACAGGGCTCATCGAGATATACACACATTGACAGAGCTTATACGAGCATAATCGTGTACACCATGTCACGCATTGAGTCCGAGGCGAACCGCACACCCACTCCGGCGTCCAAAACATCGCGAATCAGGAAGTAGCTGTCAGGCAAGGTATCGCTCATCTTGCCGTAGAGGCCACAGAAAGTTACAACGGAGCGCAATCCGGAGAAAAAAAGGCCCAATTCAGTGAGGAAGTGGAAGAGCGCGATTCGTTAAATTCCGAAAGGGCAGCCGTCGTACAAGGATTTCCGCGGTCTCCTTCGTTCCCCATCACAATGATGTCACTGATGCCGTGGGACGTGCACTGCAGTCACGGATCAGCGCCTGATGAGGGCCACTTACTACGCGCAGCTGACCAACGGTACGACTCCGAACGGAAATTCAGAACAGAAGCGGGATACTATAAGAAGGTGTTTGTCTCGATGTGAGTGGCACTTGAACCACCTTCTCCTACACGCAGAACGCAGCTCTTTCTGCTCCTCCCACCATGTCAGAAGCACAATACTCTATCGCCGTACCCGACGACGCCCTGGCCTCGTTGCACCAAAAGCTCAAGGCCGCTAGATTCCCGGACGAGTTGGAGGACGCGGGGCGCGACTACGGCGCGCCCTTGGGGGATATCAAGCGGCTCGTTGCGCGGTGGATCGATGGCTACGACTGGCGCAAGCACGAAGCCGCTCTGAACGCGGAGCTGCCCCAATTCACGCGCGACATCGCGGTGGACGGGCACGGCACACTCAACATCCACTACGTCCATAAGAAGAGCGCGGTGCAGGGTGCGATCCCCTTGCTGTTCGTGCATGGATGTGCGTCGTTGCGTTTGTGTTCGGGAGACGGTGTACTGACTCCTCCTTGTCTTCGTCGTCGTCCTCGTCAGGGCCGGGAAGCTTCTTCGAGGCGAGGAAGATCGCGCCCTTGCTAGTGGCGCGTTCTGATGAACATCCGAGCTTCCACGTCGTTGCGATGAGTCTACCGGGTTATGGGTTCTCCGAAGCCCCAAAGAAGAAGGGATTCGCCATTGAGCAGTTCGCTGAGGTCAGTGTTGGAGCCGTATGTTCCCACCCCACGAGTCTGACTCGACACACATGGCAGGTCGGCAACAAACTCATGCTGGCGCTGGGCTACAATGAATACGGTGAGTGAGCCCGGACTTCGCCGTTCTCTGTCATCTCACCTGGCGGGTTACATAGTCACGCAAGGAGGCGACTGGGGATACTATGTACGCCACTCGACGTGACGTTCTGATCCATGGTCCCTTTTTGATGCTCTTGCAGATCACGCGCACGATCGCGAAGCGTTATGGCCACGAGCACGCCAAAGCTTGGCACACCAACTTTCCTTTGTACGTTGCCGATCCGCTCCGACGCAGCCCGCTGAGCTTACGCGATCCAGGGGCCGCCCTCCGACACCCTACTCCGAAGAAGGACTAACCGAGCAGGAAAAGACCGGTCTGGAGCGCCTGAAATGGTTCAACGGACACGGACGGGGGTACTACGCTGAGCAGTCGACGCGGCCCCAGACGGTGGGCTACGCGCTGGCCGACTCGCCCGTCGCCCTGCTGGCCTGGATCTACGAGAAACTCGTTGACTGGACGGACAAGTATCCTTGGGACGACGACGAAGGTCTGTGTCGCCTGTTCGGCCCCCGCTGTGTGCTTTACTGAGGATAGGCAGTCCTGACATGGATATCCGTCTACTGGTTCTCTCGGGCGGGTCCCGCCGCCTCAGTCCGCATCTACTATGAGTTCTCAGAGGGCACGTACGACGGGGTGAGGAAGGACATCTACACGGCCGCGGAATACCCGACGATCCCGCTGGGAATGTCTCATTTCCCCGCAGAACTGGTCATCTTCCCGGTCAGGTATGTACCCCATCGATCCCAACACGCGCTCTAATCCTTGAGATCTCTCGATCAGCTGGACAGAGGCCTCCGGTAACGTCGTGTACCGAAAGATCCACAATCGCGGAGGCCATTTTGCGGCTTACGAAGCACCAGAGTCAATCATGGGTGACTTGCACGCGATGTTCAAGAAGGGCGGTCCTGCCTTTGATGTTGTCAAGGGGCACAGCGGCTACGACTGAACAACGGATATCGATAACAGGCAAAGTCGAGTCAACATGTAGTCAATACCGAATCGTTCACGATAAACGCTCAGAAGTACCTGAATTCCAACTTACACCCAAAGTTTATGGAAGATGGATCGCACTCTGCACCGTGTACTTGTAACGGGTATCGTGAACGCCCACTGTTCCGCGTCTGTCTACCGCGATGTCGGGCGTGAATTGAGGCAGTTTTGCGCTCAGAGCGGCTTTGTGCTTGCCCCAGTCGCAGTCGTCGCTCCACCAGCCCCAGGCGACGAGTTATTTGATGTCTGCCATGTCCCACGTCGCCTCGTCCAGCTGGTCCGAATATCTAGCAGCTTTCAGCTTTTGGTACGGCGAGGCCAGCAGTGGTCAGATGCGGCGATGGTGTGTTGACATTGGTTGAGAGCAGAAAGAGCTCTTTGAATAGCGATAGAATAGGGAAGAAAGGATCCTTAGGGTCTTGCGCACGCGTTGCCTGACACTGGACGAGAGAATTGGCGCGGTAGTGAACCTACTTCCGCTTTGTGGGATCGTTCCGTCGCATTGGTAAGCTGTTATGTCCTCAGCTCGAGCGCTGACAGTAACTGCAACATCTCATAGGCCCGGTGTGAGGAGCTTGCTGACAGGTAGCCTTGCCTGGAAGAGATGCTGTTTTGATGGTGCTTGTCGATGTCACTGGCATCAGTGGACGCACACACTGGCGAGACCAAACACTGTCAGCGTCCATTCACGCATAGACTCCAATCTCCGCGTCCCTAATGTGAACGCGTCGTTGCTGGTCGATGTTTTCACTCCCTCAATGAGGTTAACCACGTCAGACCAACAAGCGAGCGTCGACGGCGCACAACTGCTCGCAAATTGCGACCGCTATGGCACAGCACGCCTTGGTGCAACCTTTTCTCCCTCTGAGAAGCCAAGCGGGTGTGTTCCGCTGTCTGCGTCTTGCAGAAGTCATTCTCTCTGACAAGTTTCCTTTGCCGAACTCTTCTCGGCACCCGTGGTGTAAGCGGTGGTTTGACGCTTGAGCACTGAGGTGTTGATGGTGATGAACCGCAGTCATTTCTCTTGACTACACGTTCAGCGTATGTGCTCGAGGACAGACAATATATAAGGCATCCTCTTGCAATGGCTCACCCATATCAACCTCAACCATGATCGTGGACCTCATCCTCCCGGCTGTGGCTACTCTGCTCGCGTCCGTTGCTTTGTACGCTCTCAAGATCTTGTACAGTAACTGGACTTCGCCCCTCAATTTCATCGATGGCCCCCCGTGTTCAAACCCTTTCATGGGACACTTCGCTGTGGTTTTTGTGCGAGAAAAATTACCGCATTAGGTTTGGCATGTGTACTGATCCGACCTGATCTCTTTCTAGGATGTACCGGACACCACCGACAAATGGCGAAAACAATACGGCCCGACGTTCATGGCCAAAGGCGTCCTCAGCGTGAGTTGTTGGCAGCAGTCGTTTTCTGGAGCTCAAACTTCGGAACTCCACAGGAGAACGATCTCCACACCGCGGATGTGACTGCCGTATCCCACATCCTGTCGCATGGCTCGAGCTACCTGAAGCCGACTTCGCTGCTGGCCCCTCTGCGGGATATCATGGGAGACGGGATTCTTGCGGTCGAGATGGATCCGCACAGACGGCAGGTAGGTCGCTTCTTCATTATCAAAACTCTTACATCGCTCAACATTCGCCTTCTGCACTCAGCGCAAAATTCTGGTTCGTTTAACGACTGCCTTTGCTCCTTGTTATTTGGCTGATCGACTTTTTACTATCGCGCAGAACCCCGCTTTTGGCACACAGCAGCTCCGGATGATGCACGATGTTTTCGTCGAGAAAGGAAATATGGTGACCTGCAATTTCATGTCTATCGACATTCCATCATTGAGTAATGACATAGATGTCCGACATGCTGGGGAAAGAGGTCGAAGCTGTCGGTGGTAAGATGACTACTGACATGTCAGAGTGGTTCCGGCAAGTCACCTTGGATATCATCGGGGAGGCGGTGAGTGGCGAGCCTGAACACGTTTTCAGCCGTGCCTTCTGACCTTCGCGCAGGATTCGACTATCAATTCAACTCCCTGCAGTCGCACGGCAAAGATGAAGCCGAGCTGAGCACGGTGTTCACTCGCTTGCTCCACGACCCCAACGTCAACTCGAACCGGGGCTTCCAGATCGCACAGGCTATAATCCCAATGCTGCGAGCTCTTGTGAGTGACTAGAAATCCTGGAAGAAATGAAGCTGAAGCGTAGTATGTCAGCCGCTGCCTGGAACGGCACTCACTCGCTATGCGAACGGGAAGCTGCGTGCGATAGGGCAAGAGATCTTGAACAAATCCAAGGCCGGATCTGCTGCTCTCAAATTCGAGGACCTGTCATCGGGCCGCGATCTGTTGTCACTCCTCATCAAGGCGAACGTGTCCAGTGATGTTCCCGAGAGCCAGCGCATGAGCGACGCCGAGGTGATTGCCCGTGAGTGTATCGTATTTGCTCTGGTGCACGGAACAGATCAAGTATTGACACTGTCTTGCAGAAATTCCGACGTTCTTCCTTGCTGGGCACGAGACGAGCAGCACAGCGCTCGCCTGGGCAGCGCACGCCCTGTCGCGCGACCAGTCCGTCCAAGACAAGCTGCGTCAGGAGCTGCTCTCCCTTCCGACTGACACGCCGACCATGGACGAGCTCAACTCACTCCCGTTCCTCGAAAATGTTCTCAGAGAGACCATGCGCTTGTATGCGCCCGCGGTGAGCACTCAGCGTGTGGCGAACAGGGACGATGTGCTGCCGCTTGGGAAACCGTATGTTGACCGCCACGGCATCTCGCATGAGACTCTTCCGTTCGTCCCCACGATTTTCTTATCGGAGAATATGTGGTACTCATATCCAAAAAAATCAACCAGGATCCGCAGAGGACAACTTGTCACGATTCCGATCCTGGCCATCAACACCGATGAGGAAATATGGGGAGAGGACGCTCTTGAGTTCAGGTTTGCTCGGCTCTGGGCGACTTCGTAAGTGCAGGCCTATGTTGAATATCTGCCAGGCCCGACCGCTGGGATAGTCTCCCCGAGGCTGTACACACTATTCCTGGAGTCTGGGCTCACCAGCTGACCTTCCTGGCTGGTCCGCACAGCTGCATGGGTTTCAAGTTCGCCATCGTTGAGTACGTGGTCCATCAGTTTCAAACTGTTCAACTCCGGTTCGCTGATACCGTTCCTCAAGGCAAAAGGCGATTTTGTTCGGCCTGCTGCGCAACTTCGCTCTCCTTCCTGCTGCTGAAGAAGTCAAACCTGCTGTCAGTACATCCTTCCAACGGCCCGTCTCATTTACTGCTGTAAGTGGCGAGGGCAGTCCGGTCTCTGCCGGCGGTCTCCAAATTGTGGTCGAGGCCTACAAACGCAGAGCATTTGCTTGAAAAGCAGATAGCATACCACATGCCACATTCATTCGGAACACTCACTTAGAGGAGCACTTGCATATTTGTTGTTCATTCACCATTTCGAACTCATAAAATGGAAATTATAAGTCAACATTTGGAAAACTATTGATACCAGCGGCATTCTCAATATTATTCGTGATCTAGGGATCGCGAAGCGTTGTGGTGACAAGCACGCCGAAGCCTGACACACCAACTTTCCCCTGTCGAGGGGGGTGGGGAAGGGGCTGAGTTGAGAATAGAGCACCAGAAGAGCTTAGATGGATCACCCGGGATATCGTGCTAGTAGAAGTTTGTCTCGTATTCAGAGATCAGATCGGGGCAACGACGGTGCCGGCGTCTGAGCTATTGCTGAGCTCGGAGAAGAGGGTCTTGGCGTCGCTGAGCGTGAGGGAGGAGGAGAAGGAGAGTCGGGCGGCTGATCTCGATCGCCACGCCGAGGACCTGGGAGTGCCTCCTGCCTAAGGCATTCGACCATGAAGCAGGTTACGCCTGAAAACGGAAGAATGTGTGAGTAAGCTAGAAATGAAAGATGAAGCGAGTAACATGGTAAGACGCACTGCCTAGATTATCTGGGGATGCCCTCACTTTTTCGACAATGCGCTTGACACCCAGAGGAACGTCTGCAAGGTGAAAGGGCAAAATTGAATGAGAAATGGGCGCTTGCGATGGTCAAGACACGCACTGTCGCCCATGAACTGGAGGGCAATGAGCTCTGCATCGGTCAAGTCGACGATCTCTGCAACAATCAGTCAGCACTTGTGACCAAGGGGGACCGACGGACTCGACTCACTCTTGTGAGCATAGCTTGGATCCATTTGTGGAAGAAAAGGAATTGGAGGCGTGATCACAACAGGCTGTTAGGGGGTGTGGTTATTCCCGGTGATGGGGCCCGGATCAACTCCGCCATAGGGAGCGGCAATTCATTACATAAAAGCGCCTGGAGGCAATCGGTGACGGCGGCTGCCAAAGCAGTACCCAGCAGACCATTCGTCCACCGCCTGCACAGTGCGCTAGGCGTAAAGTGAGAAAACAGGGTCACGAAACACCGTCTGCAATGAACTGATTCAGTTCGACTCGACCAGCCAGCAGTTGTGCATAGATTTGGTACATATATGCAGATGTACAAATCTCGATGAGAGCACTACTGCTACTGCGACCCATCACACAAACAGCCACACCCCAGCGGACAGATGGGCACGCCCAGTTCGCGCCAACACGTGATATGCGTGACATGCCAACAGCGCAAACAACAGCGCGACAGCCCTTTGACGGGCAGCCGACAGACTGTGCACCGGGGCGGACCAGCCGGCGCATCACAATTCCTGCATGACATCTTTCCCTCCTGCACGATCTCGCCACACGTGCTGCACCTGCGCTGAATCCCGATGCTGTATCCGAGCGAGTCCGGCAGCGCAGCACCACCGCCGCTGCCCCCGACGGCGCGCAGGAGCTCGAGCCGTTTGTGGTACATCTGCCAGCTGAACAGGATCTCCGCGTAGACCTGCACGTGGCCTGTGAACCGGGACGCGGGAAACCATGCCTCGGGCTCAAAGACAACGTCCGGCTCAAAGACGACGACCTTGTGCTCCTGGATCACATCCCGCGGCGTGCCCAGCCGGGAAGGCCGGTTGCCGGCGCTCGAGAACGACACACCGAGTTTCACGGTGGTGTTGCTGCTGCTGCCCTCCGTCCAAGACTTGGAGACCGTGGGCAACTGTGATCCCGAATCCCGGCGCCAGGCGCCTCGTCTCGACAACAACACTGGCGAAGGATGGGGATTCTCGGGAGGTGTCACTTTGCTCATATCCAACTTGCTCAGGACGGGCGGCGACTCGGCGGGCGTCCCGACACTGAGAGATTCCTGCACTCCAGACATGAACTGACGCATGGTGCCTGCGTTGAACAAACTCGACCACGAGCCTCTCGATGATCCCGACGTGGAGAGCTGTACAGGCGGCGACCGGGGCCAGGTGGGTGGTGTCATTGGGGTTTTCAGCTGCTGAGTCGGTAGTCTGGAGAAATAGTCCCCAGGTGATGCAGGTGTTTTCACAGCTGAACTGGGTGCAGGTGGCCGGAAGCCTTGCAGCACGATCATGGACAACATCGCAAGCATCTGTATGTCCTTTTGCGTTGAGAGTTCCCCGTGTCTGGAGTGGAAGAGTCAATAACTAGCTGGCGTGTGTAGCCGGACGGACACATACAATCGATCGACGACTTTGACCGCCAAAGTCGATGGCAAGGTAGGCCCGTCCCCAAATGCTGGAAACAGCGCACCCAACGTGTCGAACATCCGCGCATGGTCGTATCTGCCCGCCTGTTTCGCAACCTCGGCATTCTTCGCACACAACCTCCCAACAGAATCTGCCTCAAACACATACCCACCCGCCACTTTTTGATCGGCCCCAGCGAAATGTGACGTCGGCGTGATGAACACCGTGCTCCTGCGAGGCGCAGAGGCCCCAGCTGCGGACTCCTCTGCGCGCTGGCGAGACCCCGCCGCCTCCGATTCCCTCGTGTCGTGCGAAAACGTGAGCAGGTTCGTCATGATCCGCAGGATGTGGTCGTCGTCATGGCGCGTCGAACCCATCTCGAGCGGCTTGACAATACGGTCTTTCGCGGCCAGATTCAGCCTCCGCACGGCATCGGCGATGAGCGCTGGCGACCGCGCAGAAGTAGGCGACGCCATCCGCTCTGGTTCCTCAGGTCTGCCCAGATCAAGATTGTCGGGAGCCTCGGATTCTGCTGCCGACACGGACTTACTATCCCGCAGCACGTGCTGCACAATCCGTGGCGGCGACCGGAAGAAACAAACCAGCTCGCCTGCATTGTATGACTTGTCGGCACAAGAAATCCATGGTTATACACACACACCGTTTGGTCCGAATGTCCCTTGTGAGGTTCTCGGCTCTGCCATGTTCTTGTGACTGCGCATGAGGGTCATCGTCTGTTTCTTCCTCGCCCCGTCGTCCAACTCCGATTCCGACTCCGACCCCGAGTCGAGCGTATATGCTCCAGATCGCTCGCCCTCGCTGAGAAACCGCAGACAGGCCTCGAGGCACGGTCGCTGGCGTTCCCGTATAGTGCGCAGTCGGCGGAGGATGAATGCCCGGTTGTTCAGCGAGATGAGCGGGTTTCGTTCGAGCTCGATGGTGGGTGTGCCATGGGGATGTCGGCCGTGAGGATAGTCTTTGGGGAACGTGAATGTGACCCGCATGAATACGGATGGAGTTTCGCCCCACGGCCCCAGCAGACCCAGCGTACACGTCCGCTTCTTCAGATCGTGTTTCTCCAGCTTGATTTTCGCGAGAGGTAGCTTGTTGATGACCGACGTCAGCCTTGTGGATGCTTAATTTTGAGCACTGTGATGTTGGATGGCGGACTCACTCATCCTGCAAGCTATGCGCCTCGAACTCCCCAGTCCTCCCCCGACTGTCGCTGCGGTTCCGAGCCAGACTCTCATTTTCTTCATCATGCACATCGGCGAGCTCGCTGCCCAGCCCACTGCTCGCAGCACCGCCCGAGCTGCTCCGGTCGGTCCGGCCAGGCCCAAAGCCTCCAAACGTGTCCTTGACCTCCTTGACGTTCTGCAACCAGGACAAGGCGTCCAGCCCTCCGACTTTCCGGCCGCCCGGTGTCATCCGGGAGGTAGCAGGTCGGCGGCGGGGTGTCGCCGGGGAGGAACGTCTGCTCCGGTCTTTGCGGCCGGTTGGACCACCTGCGAGGACCCCAGCTAGGATCCCTCGCGCACCGCCGTGACTGATCGGAGCTGAGAATAATGCTGGAGATGGGGGAGGACCGAGTGTGCTTCCGCTGAACGTGCTGCTGCTTTCCGCTGAGAGATCGGCGACTGGAGGGTTTCTGAACGAGAAGCTCGGAGGCTCGAGAGCTGCTTCGCGTTCCTCCTCCGGACGCTGATAGCCTACTTTCTGTATACACTTATGTCAGGGGGGGCATGTATCACAGAGAACAGAGGGATCTCCCACCTCCATCATCTCGGCATCGACAGGCCACAGCCGGAGCGTTCTGTCTTTTGACCAAGTGATCAATTGGAATGCGTCGCCATCTGTGTCTTGGACGTTGTCAAAAGTGGATTTCGCGTGTCATACGATGGAACAGACCGGTTCCCCGTCTCCAAACGAACTCCTTCACCACATCCGTATGTCCTTCAAAGACTTCCACTGGCAGCACGTCTTCAGCGAGTTCTGTCCTCGGCCCCGCACCTTGACCTGCTAAATGCAACGGTGATGAGCAGCAAAACACAGACGTGGAAACAAACATACCCCACTCTCCCAACGCATACATCTCTAGTCCAGTACTGCCGCGCTGTGGCAAACTGAGCACACCCCGGCCAAATGGAAGGTGTCTCGCTCGCCAGACGGGGTATGCAGTCTGGATGGTGCGCAACGGCGTGTGCAACATGCTTGATGTTCTGATTAGTGGCGAACTGTGTGGATGAGGCTGAGCTGTGAATTCCGAAGAGTTGGAGTTCGATAGCTGGGGGTCAAATCAGTCACTGTGTAGCTGTGCATACATGGGAAAGGGCGCGCGAGCGGACTGACCACGGTCTCGGAGACTTGATCGATGTCCCAGACCTTGATTTCACCATCCAGCGCACATGTTACAAGCTCCTGTCGACGAGTTGGGCTCCAGTCTATTCCGTAGATTTTCGATCGGTGGGCGCGTAGATGTGTGATTGGCATCGAGCCTTTCTGGAGTACGTCTTGAGTTGACTACTTCGGTAGTAAGAGAACTGACCCTTCGGTCCCAAATGAGAGTTTCCCCCCCATGGCTCGAGGCAAGAACGTCTGGATCTTGTCGGTTCCACTTGACTTGTGTTCCACCCGCTGAAAGCTAGATGAAGGTACGCGAAACAAGCGAATCGCCCAACCTACCGCCAAAGGCGCTGAGACCCCAGATCGGTTTCCGCGTGTCACGCAAATCCCACCCCCAGACCCACGCGTCGATGCTGGTGCTCACTACGATGTCGGGTTCTGCTGGGTGCCAATTTATGTCGGTGATGGCGCGGTAGTGCTGATGCAGGACATGTTGAATGGCTGAAGGTGACGAAGCGCTTGATGGGATAGGAGAAGAGGATCCCCCAGTGCGGCTTGCTGTCGATGAGTATGGAAGTAGGAGATTCCAGATCAAGCTGCCAAAAGGATCAGCCTCGGGCTTTGCTGAACCACGAAGACTCACAGTTTCTCTGCACTAGTGCTGACAACATACTGAGAACGACTGACGTGTGGGTTCCATTGCACATCGGCCACGTCCCACGTCCCACCCTGCGGCAGAAAACGCGGGACTTCGAAAGGGTAGTGTAAGTCAATGATGAACAAACCGCGACGCGCAGCTAGTACGACGTCACGCGACGTTGGGGATATGGACATCTGTGCACGCACTGAGGGAAATCTGCGCCACAAAAAGGAAGTGCGCAACGTACATTGCCGACAGCGTCTCCAACCAGTTTCTGCATGTTAATCTGCAGCGCAGCGCCAAAGTTGTTTCCCATTCCCTCCTCCGAGCTTTCACCATCAACGAACAAGTGCCCGCCACTGCCGCTACCGCTACCGCTGCCGTACGCCCTGTCAGCGAGGTCGTCGTCGCCTTCCGCATCGCCATAGTGCTCTTCGGGGTCATAAGCGATTTTCCTCCTGCGGCCGGGCGGCGGCATGTCCAGCTCCAATATCCCGTTCGGCCAGCTGGGACGGCGCGCTGCGAGCAGGAGCGCATCAGACGCACTGTTGTTGGTGGACATGGCGGCCATCATCGACCCCGGCTGCGGCCCGATCCAGGACGGGCGACGGGCGCCAAGCAGGGCGGAGGAAGAAGCTGCAGGGATGGGGCGCGTATGGCTGTTCGTGTGCGTCCCGGGTGTGTCATCGGGATGGAGTCGAGGCATTATTATGGCGCGGCTTTATCCGTTCTGTCGTAAGCCCAAGATCGAATCTGCGATAGTGTGGGAGAGCACGATGAAGTCGAAGGCATTCACTTCTTCGCCAGCATGCGCGAGAAAATCGCCCTGTATTAGCCAGGAGGACTAGTGCCAGTGCCTGCAGTGGGCACCCTGCGCGGTGACACTAGTAGGGTTAGATGGGTCGCGGGCACGTGCCCGATCAAACGCGTCTAACCACTCGTGTCGCGTTACCGAAGCAGGATTTAATCCCGGATCTATCAAATCTGGGCACGGTTTTCGTGAGGACACTGCCCACTCTCAATAAGGCGGACATTTGATCAGGCCTCCAGCAGCTGGCCGATCAAGTATGCCCCCTCTATCTGAATTTAGCTCGTGTTTGCGAATCTGACAAAGCGGCGAGGTCCCCGTTACATTTTCCTCCGCTCACATCGGCGCGAGTTTCCCCCACCTGCACGAAAGTGGAGCGATACCAAGTGCGCATCGCAGACTTGGTCTCTGGGTGTGGACGATGTTTGTGGAGAGTGATAGTGAATAAGACGTTTGGAGGGTGCTGGCTTGTGTGTCTTGCTGATCTCAATATTCCTATCTACCCTCACGCACGAATTGAAACATCTTTTACGGAGTATCGCGGCGGAAGTCTGTCTCGGTCGGTCTGTCTGTCGTTGCGCAATGCAAATTATTCTGGATCAACGATCGGACATGGATCTTGCACCGCTTTCAAGTCTCCCTCAAAACACAAGTGCTCGTGTCCGACGAGATACGGAAACGGTGCGCAGCACCCCGCAGTACGCCCCGCTTCTTCATAAGATTGTTCGCCCTGCTTCGTTGAAGCCAACGAGCCTTTCGGTCAGTTTACTTCTTCCGATGCTCCCAGACGTGATCACATACATCCGTGACAACCCAGTCCCCGACCCCCTCACATCCCGCCCAACCATGGCTGTCCTTGACGACAAGAGCATACCTCCACCTTACACCGAGCCTGACCAAGAGTCCGGACCGCCGACTGTGGATTTCGAGCCGCCACCCACACCCGACTCGCGCGCCTCCAAGCTCATCCTCGAGTTCAACCCCGACTCCGCATCCGCGAGCACCCAATCATTATCAGGCACAACCGAGGTCGACGACACCAAAACACCGATGACGGACGCAGAATGCAAAGCCGCGCTGAAGAAGCTCGACTCCCGCATCCGCAAATACAACTGGGGCAACCGCTCCACCCCCGTAGAACGCTCCATCGTCTCTTCCATGCGCAACCTCTCAACGCGCCATCCAGACTCGACAGTGCGCGAGTACTGGGAGAAGCGTGCGGATGGGTTCGAGAAAGCTCCGGAAGTCGATAAGGGTGCCATCTTGAAGGATATCGGGCTAGCCGTCGGGATGCTGCTTGCCGCACCCTTCGCTATCACAGGCGCCGTGCTGATGGGAATGGGACTGCTTCTCAAAGAGTCAGGGAGCTTGCTTAGTGGGGGAAGATTAGGAGGGAAGAAGTCGAAATCGGACGCATAGAGAACAGTTTGCTCAACATTGCAGAGGCAACGCGTCACCTTCACTGTACTTCAGTCTCATGAGTTCTACCCATGTGTTTCTTATTGTGCGAATAGTAATCCGAGTGGAGTGCACGAGGGTGCGGCCGTGCTGAGGCTCGAAACTGGCAGTGCCGGGCGTGAGAGGCATAGATCGGCAATCAATCGGCATCTGGCGGCGAATGAACGCGTCCGTGACGATCAGATCATATTGCATCTTCAATCCTCCGCAGGCTGACCGCAGCCGGATTCCAGGATCCACGCAGCAAGCTTGTACTTCTTCACAGCTTCTGAAAGGCTCCAAATGGCTCAACGTGAGCCACCACCACGCGACTGTCTCGCCTGCCGGATCTCTGGCACTGCAACTTTCACCGGTCTCGGAATCTACTCCCTATGGATGTCGCGTCAAGCTGCTCCAGGAAGCCGTCTGTCGAAGAACTTCGTGGCTGCATTTGGCGTCGGCGAGTCATCTGCTTGACTCCTCGTGGCGTGGCTAGATCTCATGGACCTCCGTAGCTATGCTTGTGGGAGGTGTTCTGAGATGGAAGCAGACTGGGGAATCGGCGAGTCAACTTGAGACCGAGCAGCCGGCCCTGAGATGACTACTTTTGAAATCCTGGCTCATCTATATCCCGAGTAGCACACCCCAGTCCGTGTGTTCGTCCCGCTACTACAAACTTAGACAGGTCGCGCTTACAAGCATTTGCTGCTCACTCTCGGACTCTGACCCAAGTTTCACCTGACCATCACCTGGTCCCTGGCTAATGGGCAATTATCCAAATGGTACCAGTCAGCAGGAGGGCAAGACAAGGTTACCGTGCTTTCTACCAGACTCGGGAATTGCCCCGCACACCACACATTCCCCGCTCTATGCCGCTTCCGTTGGGGAACCAGCCCACATGAATAAATTGCTCTATCTTTCGTTCTCGGTATCAACTTTTTCAGCGCAGATGTGCTTGAAGACTGCCTAAAAGCGAAACCAGGCCAGTGCAATGGAAGACACCTGTGTATTATCTGAATCCCATTATTGTTGAAAACTTCGTCATCAGCCCAACAAATCGTCGAGGTCATTTGACGCAGACGAGGCCGGTGCACCAGTGCCAAATGCACCGAATGCGCCAGCGCCCGTGTTGGTGTTCGCAGTAGCAGGTTTCGAACCCCACAGCCCAGCATCAGCTTTCTCCTTCCCGAGATCTTTCATACTCTTTCCAGGCCCAGCGGTCGGAGTCGCCGGCTTCGAGGTCGTGGATCCGAATGACATGCTCCACAAATCGTCAAAGTTGCTGGAGGCAGCAGCAGGTTTTGCTGGTGCAGCTGCAGCAGCGGGTGCCCTCGCTGCTGACATGCCGGTGTAGTTCGGTGCGATGGGAGTGGACGTCATCGGAGTTGAGTTCATCGGAGTTCCGTATCGAGGTGCACTTGGTTGCATCGCTGAACCCATCCCCATCCCCATGCTCATGCGCTGCGGCTGGACGGCAGGCGCCGAGTTGAGCATGTCCATAAGATTTGGTTTCGCGGCAACTGGAGCGGCAGCTGGAACAACAGGAGAAACAGGCGCGGCCTGGAAGTCAGCAAAATCGTCGTCTGGGAAAGATCAGGCTTTCGCAAATTTCAGCAATGGTTGTCACTGACCGTCAAACACATTCGATGGGGCCGGAGCTGCTGCCGGAGCGGCTTTGGGTGCAACAGGCGGCGGGGCAGCAAAGTCGTCGTCATCCAGCAGATTGACAATGGGCTGAGGAGCGGCAGCAGGGGGAGGCGCCGGGATCGGGACTGAAGCTTTGCGCACTGGCGCAGAGCGAGTGTTGACGGGAGACGAAGTTCGAGCACCAATTTCATCGTCCCCTGCGTTATACTCTTCGAATGCACCCGGTCGCCGGTCGTCTCTGAAGCCACCGCTGGAGCTGGCGCCCATCGCACTGGACCCTCCCGATTGGTAGTAGTCTGTGATCCTTTGTCAAAACCCAGGAAGATAAAGACGCCTATGCCGCACCAGAGCTGCTTTCCGCACCGTAACCACCTCCCCCTCCCCCACCCCCACCACTACCGCCGTAGCCCATACTCTCGCTACCAAATCCACCGTATCGGCCCCCGCCACTAGAGAAGGATAATCCGTCGCTGCCTGCCCCGGTGTACTTGCTCTTGTTCGCCTTCGCTTTCCTTCTCTCGGTGCGAATCTTGTCGACGTCCGAAAGTAATTCTACAATCTCCTTGGCACGGTTTCGCACTGGAAAAAGGCATAAGGAACGCATGTACGGTAATGGCCGTGTGAACTACCGTTCAAGCCCTCGTCTTTCCCCTTGTCATCGATGTAGTGGAAATTCCGGAGCATTTTGATCGTGGAAACATGAGAGCGGGCGTCATCCACCACCCTTTCCGATCCGTTCTTCACGAGGTATTCAAGCAGTTGGAGTGCCTGCGATGTACGGATCAGCGCTTTGCGCGCCGCGTTGCTGACACACACACGCACTTTGTAGATTTGGCGCCATTGGCGAGCTTCCTTTTCCATAAAACGGGCGTAGATGCTGGGCATGATTTCATTGAAGTCCGGGCTATGACTATCAGTGGTCCGAGCGCGAGTGGGCGGGGAGTCCGCGTACTAGTTGAATGTTCTGAGGAGAGTGAGGCAAAGTTTCAACAACTATCGGTAGAAGAGTGCTCACCGATTTGCGATATCTTGCATCAGAGTCGAGCTGGCGCCCCTGTAATCTCGGTTTGAGCATCATGCCGAGTCAGTCCGCGATACCCTGAGCGCCCGAGGGCGCCAGCAAGGACGTGTAAAGGGACGAGAACGTACCAAGGCTCGTCATTTGTCGCCTCCCTCACTTTTGCCTCTATCTCGCTGACGTTCAGGACGACGTTCTTGGCCTAGGAAGTCGAGGTCAATCAGCTTCGTCGAGGGTGGAGGACGCGGAGCGAGACGGACTTGGTTGTACATCGACTTGATATCATACATGGTGATTTGGGACAGTTGGGTCCCGAGGGCTTCTAGACGATCCATGCTGGGCGAATCGACAAACTGAATGGGTATTGTTACGGAGCGTCGGAGGTGGCGGCACTAAAGAGGGTCACACTGTGACGCTGGCATCACGACCCCGACTTTGCGATCAAACCACGACGAACCCGGCTCAGTCGCGTCCGGGACTGGCCCGCACCGTTTCTTGGATATAGTCCAACACTACACATCTCTATTATCCGGCGTCCGAAACTCTCTTCCATTCTCTCCTTCCCCCATAACGCGTCATGCGCTTTACTAAACCGGCTTGGGTCAAACACACCGACTCCGGAGCTGGGCACGCTGATTCCTCAAAACGTCTGGCCATCTTCTCCGTCCACGTCCACCCCGACGGCTCGCGTATCGCCACTGGCGGTATCGACACCAAAGTCCGCATATGGAGCACAAAGCCGATTCTGAACGCCGCCTCGGAAGCGGCGAATCGTCCACCTAAATCGCTGTCCACACTCATGATGCACACGGGCCCCGTGCTCACCGTGCGCTGGGCACACTCTGGAAAATGGCTTGCGAGTGGGAGCGATGACAAGACGATCATGATATGGGATTTCGATCCGTGAGCTGCTTATTCTGGTGACAAGTGTTTAGTGTCTATAATCCTGCAGTTCAGCGAAAGGGAAGCTTTGGGGCTCAGATGAGGTGAACGTCGAGGGTTGGAGAGCGCTCAAGTCATTGACCGGACATGGGAGTGGTGCGTTCCCTCTCGATGCGTCTCGGAAATTCCGTGCTCACTCGACTTTCAGACGTGACCGACGTGGCTTGGTCTCCCGGGGATCGATATCTCGCCTCGGCCGGACTCGATTCGAAGGTGATCATCTGGTGCGGATATACACATGGTGTGCAAGGCTTACAACTCTATCTCTCCGTGTATAACCCGTTGCAGAGCAGCTCAGAAAGCTGGATCAACACCAGGGCTTCGTGAAAGGAGTTTGCTGGGATCCAGTAGGGGAATTTCTTGCCACACAGTCCGACGATCGGTCTGTGAAGATATGGAATACGACGGATTGGTCACTGGAGGCCACAGTAACCAAGCCTTTTGAGGATTCACCTGGAAGCACATTCTTCAGAAGATTGAGGTACGTCTCAGGGACTAGTGCAACGCTTCAGGGCCCTGAACGCTTGTTGCAGCTGGTCGCCTGACGGAGCACATATAACAGCTTCCAACGCCACGAACAACAAGGGCTTCGTGTTCATCGCAGCAGTCATCACCCGCAACTCGTGGACCTCAGAAATCAGCCTAGTAGGACACGAGAACACAGTCGAAGTTGCGGTGCGTCATATGTGGTTTGGCAGGTCTTCTTAGAACTTAGAAGCATATCAGGCCTACAACCCACACATTTTCCTGCGCAATCCACAAGGACAGGTTCAAACGTCGAACATCTGTTCTGTCGTTGCGTTGGGCGCCGATGACCATTCCGTGTCAATATGGCAAACGAAGTCAGCGCGGCCGCTGATCGTTGCGAAGGATGTCTTCGACCGGCACATTATGGACCTCAACTGGTGTGTAGAATCACATTGTCTCCGCGTTCTCCTTGCCGATTTTCCGCAGGTCTTGGGATGGCCTCAACCTGTACGCTGTCTCCTCGGATGGGACGCTGGCGGCTTTCAGCTTCGACGAGGAAGAACTGGAAGGTCTTTGTCCCAACCACGTGCAGTCCACGTACTTGAAGAAGTTCCCCTTCACTCCTCCGATGCTTCCCGCCGGATTCTCGCACGAATCGCTTCGGCTTACTCCACCGCCATCACCCAAGGCTCACGACACGGGCTTTGGAGCTGCCAACAGCAACATGAATGGGGAGAGGGTCAATGTGTTGGTCGCCAAGCGTGGTGGAAAGAAACGCGCAGGTTTCTTGACTGTCCCTCCTGGACATCCTCCGGCTCCGGCTCCGGCTGCGGCTGCGGCTGCGGCCTCGAGCATCTCAGCACCTCCATTCGCGACGCCTTCACTCACCGGCGTGTCCATATCGAAACACTCGCAATCTCATCACCAGCGGGCGCCCAGTCCCTTCGATATGGATGAAGACAATTGGGGATCCGCCAGCGTCCGAATCGATGCAGTTGAAGAAACCGGTAGTCGGAAGCGCCGGGCATCGACGGCCGCAATGAACGTTGATGGTGAAGAGCCGAAACGGGCACGGACGCTGGGTGCTGAACGAAAACGAGTCAATGTGCCGGTCAAAGAACTCGCTCCACAAGCTTCTCATGGAGCCTCGAGTATCAGCAACCTCAATCTACTGGTGCCGTCCTTGATGTCGTTTCTCAGTGCCACCGTCGAGGGCAGTGATGATGTCGTCGAGGTTGTGAATCCCGAAAGCGAGGATGGGTGTCCAGAAGTGGTGATGATGAGTGGAAGACATCCTCAATGGCTCGACTATCTCCCGAGCCCCGCCTTGGCAGTCAGCGCGTCATCTCGGTTTTGTGCGGTGGCGCTACGGGATGGATCTGTGATTGTATATTCACACGCTGGCCGACGGTGCGTAATATTCCAAGTCAATCGTTTACATTCCCATTAATTTTCTTCGAAGCCTTATGCCAACGCTCGCACTGGGATCTCCCTGTTCGTTCCTCGACGGCCGAGGCAACATCCTAATGGCGATCAGTTCGAGTGGGATGCTGCATTCGTGGGACATCCGAAAGCAATCAGCACTGTTCCCTGCCGTGTCGCTCTCGACCATTTTGACCACGCCGAACATCATCTTAGCCGCAGCCAGGGTGCAACCCACCGGTGCCTCGATCCTCACGTGCTCAAACGGCATCGTGTACTCTTACGACCCCTCGTTGATGGCCTTCACGAAGCTCACTGAGCGCTGGTGGTCAGAAGGATCCGATGTCTGGCAAGCGCGTCAGCGGTCTGCGACGAACCCAACGGCCAATCGCGGGATAGTCAGCGTCACGGAGGGGAGCATCGCCGGCGAGACAACCGGAGCAGACAAAAAACGACCCAAGTTCTGGAGCGAAGCGATGACGCTGGCCCATCTAGAGACGAGGATGCATTCTGCGCGCGCGCTGGATAGTCCCGCGGAGTTCAAGCAGGCGCTGTCGCAATATACCAAGAAGCTTGCGGAGGAAGGTTACAAGAACAAGGCTGAGGAGCTGATCAGAGACCTGATTGGGCCGATGTATGCTGGCGGCGACCCGACCTGGGCGCCATCTGTTGCCGGACTCTCCAAGCGCGACCTGCTCAAGGATGTGCTGAGTGCGTTCTGTGAGTGCCGCCTTTGCGCTTTGTTGTCTCGCTATGTCTGGCTCATGTATCTATCTCAGCGCGGAGCAAAAATCTAGGAAGACTGGCAGTTGAATGGCAGGACGCAGTCAGAAGAGCGGATTGAGATTTCTCCTTGCTCTCCTTTTGCTGTGTACCGTGTTTTCGACTGGACCCTCTTGTTGTGCATGTATATTTGTATTTGAAAAGGATCCTGCGATGTAACGGGCAGTGACACTGATGCTGAACCCTGTCTACTGATGTGCAGACGAAGGGCGGCCGGTTCTATCAGTTTGTCGCGGGTTATGTGGAAAGGCAGATGCATCACAAAAGCCAGGTCTTTTCTGGGACAATCCAAGGAAATTTGCAAGTTGAAAGAGGAACCACTCCAGACCTACCGGGATCATTTGTCCTGGCGCCGCGAACGGGGAAGGACCTGAGCGAGTCTAGGCAGTTTACATCTCACGACGGGGCAAAAGAAATCATTCTACAAGCAATATATGAAGCACGACTCTGATCTACAGAGGGAATGTATTAGGGAGAGAGAGAGAGTCGTCCAAATCAAGATGAAGCAAATCCAAGATGAAGCAAATCCGAATCCGAGAGATATCGCAGAGACCGGGACCGAGACCGAGACTGAGACCGAGACTGAGACCGAGACGAGACAGTAGTAGTGGTTGATTTCAGCGCGGACGACAGACAGACGAGGGCTCCCCTCCCAAGCTCGCACCATGGAACACACAGCCGCGCTCATCACCTAACCCTCTGCACCGCAGCAAAGGCCCGTCAGCCCCGCCGCGGCCACATTGCCGCCGTGCCGCGAAGGGGCGTCCCCACTTCTTGGCACGGCCAGCGACGTCTGAGCACGTTACTCGAGATCAGTCGCGTTCAGTGGCTGGGTTATCAGAGCAGCGAGATGCGATTCTTCCGGTTCAAAGCATTGGTCAGTTCGTCCTCGTCACCGCCGCCGCGATCAGAATGGATGTGTTCTACCGTCAAGCCCGCCAGGCCCCGGCCCGGGGGTGGTGGTTTATATGGTGGGTGGGCCGTAGGGAAGCCAGGGATTGGTTGGGTGACTGCGTCGGTCCCAGGATGTATGCATATGAGCGGGGTGTTTGGATGGCGGTCGGACGAGCTGTCGAATAGATCACGCTCGGCTGAGCCTGAGGTTGCACGAAGCGTGACGCAAATGTGTCTGCTGGCGCAGGAACTCGACTGGCGTACGGACGAGGAGTTTGAATACTGGGAAGGCGAGACGTTGCATAGATCACACTCGGCTGACACTGAGATGGCGCCAAGGGGATGCGGGATGGGTTTGCTAGCGCAAGACCTCGAGTGTTAGCAGTCTGCCGCAGGATCTGAGGCTTGCGGACGCGACCAGTCATCGGATCGTTCCCTTGCTTTTGGGCGATCGGAACAGGCAGACGCGATTTGACTGGGCTTCGAGGGGCCCTCATCGTCGGTGAAGACGCGAGTGGCGGTTGCGTGAGAGGATTGAGGGTAAAGTGGTAGGCTGGAGAACCGCAAACGGCGCAGTCAAAGCAGGCGCGATGGCAGCTTGCTGTGGCTGGTTGGGCATGAGCATCGACGAAAGGGAGTAAGGAGCCCGATGCCCTACCTCTTCAGCAGCAGTCCTCGTCTCGTTTTTGGTAGCCGGAGGGCGATGGAACTCGGAAGGAATGGACTGGCAGGAGCATCAGCAAGAACCAGCTACGACAATGGGGGAACGCACCTCGACATCATCAACCTCTCCTGAGCTCTCACCCAGATCTGAATCACTGCTCGTGAGCTCGACGATCCGTGGCATGGATGAAGACGCCAGAAACTGCATGCACGGTGAGATCTCGAGCACGAACAGACCGAACCGAATATATACCTCTCGATCATCGAACTCCACCAAGCACGAGCCCACGTTCTCCGGGATCGACAAATTTGGTCGGCACTGAGCGGTGAAAGCGGTAAGCACTATGAGTATTTGGAGGGACGAGAGATCCGCGCACGTCGTCAACATCCGCAGCGCTAGGTGCATTCGCAACTGCCGTCAATGAAGAAGACGACTGTCCAGACTGTCAGTGAAAAGCCTCCAACGAACAAGAAGGTAGGCGCACGTGAGGCTCATTGCTGATCTCGTGCGTGCGTGCGTTCTCGAAGCCAGCCTTGCTAACAGCCATCGCGCGTTCTTCAGTCAGCGCATGGGTAGTTGATTTTGACGCGACTTGAGCAAGGTAGGCGAGCCCGACCAGAACCAGCATGCATTGAGTCTTGTCGTCGTCCGCAGTCGTCGCAGCCACCTGCACTTGCAAGCTAGGAGAGAGCGAAAGGACAGGGGTAGTGGGTGTGGTGTTCGTCTCAGCCGAGCAAGCCAAGTCAAGCATTTGCAGTCGATTGATGATACAGAAGACGATGAAGCAAGCAAGAAGAAGCAAAGAAGCCAGAATATTGGGCTCAGATGTGTCTTGAGATGAGGGGGCAGATTGAGTAACGGAGGCGGTCCCAGACATCTGAGTCGCAGCGTGAAGAGAAGACGCGTTGACGGCAGTCGCAGTGGAGACAACCCCATCCAGAGGAAGATTAACACTGGGCGAGTTCGCCAAATCGACAGCCAGGGTGCGGGTGGGTGTGTTGGGCGCCGCGCGAGGCACGACCACGACCTTGGATGAGCTTGCAGCGACAGGAGAAGCAGTCTGGGGTTGATCCACACTGGGCGAGATCACAGAATCGCCCAGACAGGTCGACCCGGGCGCAGCGTGTTCAATGGCGGTCGCGTCATCGTCCATGTCGTTCTCATAGACTCCGCGGGGTCGCTCAAACGAGAATGTGTATGCCCCAGCGACCACGTTCGAGTCCCAAGTGTAGTTTGTGTACCCGATCTCCTTGAACAGCACAGCGATCTTGTCCATCAGGGGGAGCACCCTACGCAGTTGCGCGTCGTCCTCTTGCCAGTAGTAGTCCACGACATCGAGTCTGCGCATCGGATGCACATAGTCCTCGAACAGTTTCGGGTCCGAGTACAGCGGCGCGGGGGCGAGCAGCCAGTGGACGAGATCCCCAGGGGCTACGACGTTGAACTTGAAGGACGCGGTGATCGCGAGAAGAAGGCCAAGGCCATGGATGAAAGTAGGGAGCAGAAGCATCGTGAGGTGATGTATGATGAGATGTATCTGGGTAGCAGAGAGCAGGGATGGTCGTGGTAAATGGCCAAGATGCAATGGGGGCTGTACGTTCGTTCAGGCGGGCATTTGAACCGCGTCGTGCCAAGCTTGCGCAAAGAACGCGCACACGTATATCACGTGCACCGCGTTCCCCTCCTCTTAGCCCCTCGTTGGACCGTCCCTGACCTCGGGACCCAAGCCTTCATCCAGCTGCCAGCTTGATGCCCAGATACTGGATTTTACGTTGGAAACGTTCCCTCCCTTGACTCTCCACATTGCCAAGTTACCACCTCGAGATACCCGACCATTTGAAGAAACTCGCGAGACGAAGGTCCGGGTCATCCGAGCGACAGAAAGGACGTCTCGTTTCCGAGGCCAGGTCGGCGCCTACGATTTGTGGGATTCCCATTGCTGACGGAGCGAGAGTCACAGCACGCCGTCTACAACACACAGGATGCACCGGTCTGCTCTGTCCAAATTCAATTCGAACAGTCCCGCTCTCTTGATCACCTACCCGCCCTGCATATAGTACCGCGTCCCGAGTCCCGGATCGTCGTCTTGCAAGATTGGAGATGCATCGACACGTCCAATCTCCGGGAAACCCCTCATCGTCAGGTATTCATGCGACGATGCGGGACCGGATATCCGTTGGGATGAAGAAGCTCCTCGGTTTTCACACGAGTCCAAAAAGGGGGGCACATGGGTACAATTGACACAGAGACTGTATCTGATAACAATACTTTGAATGAAAGGGCGCAGAAAGTCCAAATGGTTACAAATATGCAGGCGGCCCCCTCCTCGGCACACGCGGCGCTGGCTCTCGGTCAGCAGCATCGGATCCTGTTCGCATCTGGCGAGAAGCTGGTGATCTAGTGGGATACCCTGCAGGCATCGTCGGGTCGTCAAGGTCTTGAGAGGGTCGCGGAGGTCTCCTCGGCTCGGGCCTTGTCATCGGCGGATCCCGAAGCGGACTGCCTGCATTGGGTGCTCGCACATCCCGGGCCCACGCACTGACACTTTCCATGCCTCGTGACGAGATTGACAGCGGCTCCGAGTCCATCTCCAGGAAAGAATCGTTGGAGGAATACGCGGATCCATTTAGCGAATGGCTGGCGAGCGAAGGCGGCGGTAGCAGTGGGGCAGTAGACCCTGCTGGCGAATGCGTTCTCCAGGGCGACGGCGACTCGGACTTCGAGGGCGATCCGAAGTGCAGCGACGCCACCTGCGGGGGCGGCTGAAGCTCAGCAACACTCCCCGGAACAGGCCCGTATGAGTAGGGAGAGTGCGCAGCCGAGGACTGGTCCGTCGTTTGGGGTACATCGGCAATGATTTCGGGCGTGAATGGCGCTCGCGGGTCGGCAAAGTCCCAGGCGCCATCAGGCCGCCTAGTCGCGATACGCATATTGGTACCTGGCGTGTGTACTGCCAGGTGTAAGCGTCAGACACGTCCTCCAGCAGCAGCAGCAGCAGCAAAATACTCACTGAAACGCGGGGTTCCTTTCCCCTGCGCAGGCGTAATCATCAACGCAGCGGGATGGCTGCGCGAAACCGTTTCTCCAGCCTGCACCTCCCGACTCCCCGAGGGCTCCTTGCTCTTGCGGCGGAAATGACGGACGACCAGCATGAGTGAGACGGATAGGAGCAGTCCGATGGTCCCTCCGACGACAATAGGCAAGAGTAGTGAGGGCCGTGGAACCGGTGAAGGTGCTGACCCAGGTGCAGATGCGGTCGTGATGGAGGCCATGAGCGTCAAGCTAGGCATATTTAATTCGTCGTCCCAGTCCTGACGCGCGTTTCAAATGTGCAACGAGTAGTGGGCGATCGGCGCTCTGTAAGAGATCGATGGTTGGGCGCGCCACCAGGGCCAGATCCCAGTGTGTGTGGCGGAAGGAAAGAGCGCAAGGGAGAGGGCCGAAGCGATGCTCGTGAGCAAACCAGGTGAGAACAGGAAGTAAGAGAGGACTGTCGTCCGACAGTGACAGGGACGGCCATGCTCAAGAAGGGAAGAACAAACGACGCGGGTTTGATGGCTGATCGATTCCAACAGCGATCTGCCCTGTCACTGATGAATACAATTACCGAACGAGTACCTGGTTCCTTCTAGCAGAATTCCAAATCTGCTTCTGCTGAGCCGGCACTAACTTTGCACTCAAAATCGCGTTCTTGTGCCAGACACAAAGCAGTTCATCTGGCCGTAACGGCTCTCTACCAAATGTCCACAACTCAGTACACGACGTCAACCCGTCTGCTCACAACATGTCGTGCCTACACCAGTCATCACGGGGGCACAATCGGACGCCGAAACGTCGAAGGGCATGGTCATGTCGAAAGCACCAAGGGAACACTAGCTCTGTTTCATGGCGTGAGATTCATTTTTGCGCTGGGAACCGAAGCTGACTGCACTCGTAGCTGATTAACGCCTTTGCCAGCACTACTAAGCAGACAGCGACACTGCTCACTTGTTTAGATTGATCGTGTGCTGAATCTGGGGCTTAGGCTCTGTGAGAAAGACTACTTGACTAAGTGCATACATGAGCTCAGCCCTCCACTCGAAACTCCGTGCTTCATGCCTTAGTCAGACGCGTGGATGCCATTGACCTTGGGCTGAACGCACTCCGAGTCAGGTGATGCAAGGACAGGTGCCGGTGCTCTGTCAGAATCATCGACACCAGCCGCGGCCGCATCACCTTGACTAGGTGACGTTTGCATCGGGGGCGGTGGATCCGAGTAGGGAGGGTAAGCGTATGGAGGATACCTCGCAGCCTCCATCCTAGCTCGATTCTCGCGCGCCCGCTCTCGTCTTTCCTCTCGCAGCTCCTCCTTCTCCCGTTTCATATCGTTCTGCTGCGTCACCCAGGCTTTGATTTCGTCAGCAGCAGCGACCGGGCGCTCCCGGTTCCGCAGCAGATAACCTTGCAGCTCGGCCGGCGAGAACTCGTAGTCACGAATCCCATCAGCGAATCGTTGAGCGAGCTCTGCTACTTCGGTCTGGCTCAATTTCCTCGGCTTCTCGAGCGACTCCTCGGAATCCTCAAACAATCGCTCAAACATCCTGCGGGCCTGTTCTTTCGTGGCTAGCGTGTACCGCACACGATAGTCGATTCGCCCTGGACGCATCAACGCAGAATCTAGACGATCGACGTAGTTCGTCTGAAACGGGGTCAACGAATGCTGGATTCGTCTGTGATCGACTGACTGTTGCAAAGAAGAGCTTTCCCTCTTCACTGCCTATGCCGTCAATCACATTGAGCAGACCCGAAAGAGTGACACCGCCTTTTCGATCTGGACGGTAGTCGTCATCGTCTGAATCTCGAGACGGCAGCGCACAGTCGATGTCCTCAACAAGCACAAGACTCCGCTTGGGAATGGTCGAAATCGCCCGTTGGAGGAATGCATCATCTACGCTGTCGCACGAGGTTCAGCGCGAGCACTGCATTTCTGCAAGACAAACAACATACAATCCAGAGGCCAAAGAGAACGAATGAACTTCGAGGTTGAGAGCACCGGCCTGGAAAAAGAGTTAGCGGAACCTTGAGCAAGCACACCGACGTATCACCGACAACGGCATGGATAGTGGAGCCTGTCTTCAAATTAGCATAGCAACCCCTAAATGAACGGCCATTACCGACTTTTGCCGGTTCCAGGAGGCCCAAATAACAGATATCCTCGCCGATGGGGAATGCCTGCTCGATGATACCAAGCTTCAGCAGCGAAGAATCGTCGCGCATCCGCAATCAAGTCATCCAAAGCCCCGTCTGACGGGTATCAGATGTGCCGGTCCACGACGGTTAGCGGCGAGACTGACCTGGCAAGATGATAGACTCGATCGGTCGTTGAGGCTTCCGTTTGACCGTCCACAGGAAGGACCCCCCGTATCCCGGCTGTGACACAACTCAGAGACAGCGACGACCAAGCATTCAGTCATACCGAATCGGCGAGGAAGATGGTCACGTATGGCTTACTCTTCAGCTGATAGTTCTGGTGGGCTTCCTCGACAAATTCAGACAGAACTGATATCTGCCGCGTGAATATGCTAAGGATAAAGAATGAGTTTGGCCACACTGCCCGGCGAGAGGACCGTACGTGATGGAAAGGGTGACCGTTTGCTGCGTCTGTCCATTCGGAGCCTGAGTTTGTATGCGGTAGCGCTGCACTTCAACCCAGTGCCCGCGCCATCGAAACAACTGCGGCGCTTCGTAGGTCGGAACATAGTCGGCATTGCCCGTAATTTCGGGGTCAGCCGATACCGTCACACCGTACACGACTTTGGAGCTCTTGGACGACACCCGGAAGTCTTGTGCATATTGCCACACGTTGTTATCAGTCTTCCCCTCAGGTTCTGATTGTGGGCGCAGAAAACTGAGCGACTCACTCACCAGAAACATGACAACCCATTCATAAGCTGGATCCCCCAAGACGAATTCAGCGCTGATTGAATATCCTGTGATCACATTCAACCGAGGCTCAGGGTCAGAGGCGCCCTGGATCGTTGAACGAACGCAGTTTCAAGCGCTGATATAGCCAGACCACCGCCTGCTTCACAGTTTCAACGACCGCGCCGGCAGCGATAAACTTGAGTCCGTCCACGATGTAGCCATAAGCCCAAGTGTTGCGCATGCTGTTCCACGAAACCGCGACCAGCTGCATAGACCCCGGTATCCCTTTGATGACGCTCCACAGCGGCCGGGGCCGCGGTGCGGGAGGAGGGAGCATGGCCGGATACGAAAACCGCACGAAATCAGCGTTTTCGGTCATGGTCCCTAGAGAGGACGACATGTGAGGGAGGAAGAGAGGCAAGGTGAAAGGCGGGTGACGTCTCCATCACAGGCTGGGCGATGCATTTGAATCTCAGCAGACGCCACGAACAAGGCGCCAGGCAATCTGACTCGACAGTGTCGGATTCTTCCATCGCCATCGATTGCATTCTGCGGCAAAGCCATTCGGTGATACGCCCATATCCCGAAATATGTGTGGCACGGAAAGCGACTGATGGAGCAGACAGCCATCTGCTTCATTTGGGGTTCTGCTTAGTCCAAATCTAGATCCCACGAACTCGTTCTCGGCGAACAATGGCCAACTGATATTGAGGGAGACCCTTGCATACTTTGAGGACGCACACCACACACCTTGATTCTATGCGACTTCATCGGAGATGGTACGGACCAGAGCCAGCGAAATCCATTCTGACTGCCCGAAGGGTGCAAGTCGCCTGCTCCCGCCCTCCCATCTGTACGTGGTGTCGCAATGTGTACTCTTCTCAGCCAAATTGGTCGCAACATCTTCCGGCGAACTAAATGCGAAGATGTTTGGGCACGTTCAAGCGAGGGTGTCGAAAAAAACAGATCACGGAAACGCGCGCATCGAACGACAGTTCTTTCTAGTGGCTTAGCTCAAGGGGAGGAGGAGAGTTGTGAGCTTTGGACTTTCGGACGTGGTCGGAAAGCCTCGGGCCTATTCGGCATTCCGAGACGGGAAAGAGGATTCCTATTTTCGGCACCAACAGTTGGCAGGTTCAGCGAAATCGCCAGGCTCAAGCCCTCCGCGGAAAAGGATTCAATCTACGACTTTGACTTCGGGAGTTTGGAACATGCCTGTATCATGTCACGATGTGCATGCTACTAGGGATAGGGAGGTACGCGCATCCACTGGCGGTCACGTTATCTGGCGAGGTCAGGCAGTGAAAACACGTGGTGATAGTTTTTTTTTTTTTAGATTGCTGGATGCTTCCGCTTCTCCCCTTGAGAAGCTGACCGTCTTAAGCCGTCAATTATACAGGAAGACAGTGCGCATGGTGAGTCTCCATCAAGGATACAAACTTCCGATCCATCCTGACCACGGCAGAATTGAGCTGTGGATATGTTTCTTTACACTCGGATCAGAACGTGACCTACCAATGATCGCAAGACATAGAAAGAACCAAATCGACATATGTGCGGTGATGTCCCCCTTCTCAGTAAACCCCGCGCTGCACCAGCCGCAGTTGTGGGTTCGATTCTTTGGTGTTGAGAAGGTACGCGTTGTATTGGAACGTGGCGACGATTCGGCTGTGAAACAGGGCCCAGGACTTAACGTGCAAGTTCACAATTGTTGACACACTGCAATTAAACTGTGGTTGCGGATCGGCCCGTGGCGCTTACTGGACTGTCAGTGTTTTTGGCTGTTTCCTGTGGTCAGATTCCAATTTTTTTGAGCAGATGCGTTCACAGAGATTCAGAGAAATCCGCTCAGATCCATACAGGCTTCCCTGGCGAGGACAGGGACGGTGCACCGAGGGGCTAAGTGGAGGGAGACGAACACGGTTCACGTGACACACGTGTGCGCGTTCTTTGCGCAAGCTTGGCACGACGCGGTTTAAATCCCCGCCTGAACGAACGTACAGCCCCCATTGCATCTTGGCCATTTACCACGACCATCCCTGCTCTCTGCTCCCCAGAAACACCTCATCATCGGTCACCCCGCGATGCTTCTGCTTCACACCTTCATCCACGGCCTTGGCCTTCTTCTCGCGATCACCGCGTCCTTCAAGTTCAACGTCGTTGCCCCTGGGGATCTCATCAACTGGCTGCTTGCCCCCGCGCCGCTGTACTCGGACCCGAAACTGTTCGAGGAATATGTGCATCCGATGCGCAGACTCGATATCGTGGACTACTACTGGCAAGAGGACGACGCGCAACTGCGTAGAGTGCTTCCCCTGATGGACAAGATCGCTGTGCTGTTCAAGGAGATCGGGTACACGAACTACACTTGGGACTCGGACGTGGTCGCTGGGGCATACACGTTCTCATTTGAGCGACCCCGCGGAGTCTATGAGAACGACATGGACGATGACGCGACCGCCGTTCAACACGATGCGCCCGGGTGCACCTGTCTGGGCAATTCTGGGATCTCGCCCAGTGTGGATCAACCCCAGACTGCTTCTCCTGTCGCTGCAAGCTCATCCAAGGCCGTGGTCGTGCCTCGCGCGGCGCCAAACACACCGACCCTTACCCTGGACGTCGATTTAGCGAACTCGCCCAGTGTTAATCTTCCTCTGGATGGGGTTGTCTCCACTGCGACTGCCATCAACGCGTCTTCTATTCACGCTGCGACTCAGATGTCTGGGACCGCCTCCGTTACTCCATCTGCCCCCTCGTCTCAAGACACATCTGAGGTCAATCTTCTGGCTTCTTTGCTTCTTCTTGCTTGCTTCATCGTCTTCTGTATCATCAATCGACTGCAAATGCTTGACTTGGCTTGCTCGGCTGAGACGAACACCACACCCACTACCCCTGTCCTTTCGCTCTCTCCGAGCTTGCAAGTGCAGGTGGCTGCGACGACGGCGGACGACGACAAGACTCAATGCATGCTGGTTCTGGTCGGGCTCGCCTACCTTGCTCAAGTCGCGTCAAAATCAACTACCCATGCGCTGACTGAAGAACGCGCGATGACTGTAAGCAAGGCTGGCTTCGAGAACGCACCCACGCACGAGATCAGTAATGGATCTCAGGTGTGTTTATCCTCTTGTTTGCTGAGTTATCCACTGAAAATCTGTAGTCGCCCTCCTCGTTGACGGTCGTTGCGAATGCACCTAGCGCTGCGGATGTTGACGACGTGCGCGCCTCTCTTGTCCCCCATATGCTCATCCTCACCTGTTTCATCGCTCAGCGCCGACCAAGTCTGTTGGTCCCAGAGAACGCGGGCCCATGCTTCGTGGCGTTCGATGATCGAGAGGTATATATTCAATTCGGTCTGTTCGTACTCGAGATCTCACCGTCCATATAGTTTCTGGCTTCTTCATCCATGCCGCGCATCGTCGAGCTCACGAGCAGTGATTCAGACCTGGGTGAGAGCTCAGAGGAGGTTGACGATGTCGAGGTGCGTTCCCCCACTGTCGTAACTGGTTCTTGCTGATGCTCCTGCCAGTCCATTCCTTCCGAGTTCCATCGTCCTCCGGCTAGCAAGGGCGAGACGGGGACTGCTGATGAAGAGGTAGGGCATCGGGCTCCTTGCTCCCTTTCGTCGATGCTCATGCCCAACCAGTCACAGCAAGCTGCCATCGCGCCTGCTTTGACTGCGCCGTTTGCGGTCCTCCAGCCTACCACTGTACACCTCAATACTCTCACCCGAACACCAATCGCGCCTTCACCGACGATTAGGCCCCCTCGAAGCCCAGTCAAATCGCGTCTGCCTGTTCCGATCGCCCAGAAGCAAGGGAACGATCCGATGACTGGTCGCGTCCGCAAGCCACAGATCCTGCGACAGACTGCTAACACTCGAGGTCTTGCGCTAGCAAACCCATCCCGCATCCCCTTGGCGCCATCTCAGTGTCAGCCGAGTGTGATCTATGCAACGTCTCGCCTTCCCAGTATTCAAACTCCTCGTTCGTACGCCAGTCGAGTTCCTGCGCCAGCAGACACATTTGCGTCACGCTTCGTGCAAACTCAGGCTCAGCCGAGTGTGATCTATTCGACAGCTCGTCCGACCGCCATCCAAACACCCCGCTCATATGCATACATCCTGGGACCGACGCAATCACCCAACCAATCCCTTGCTTCCCTACAGCCCACGCACCATATAAACCACCACCCCCAGGCCGGGGCCTGGCGGGCTTGACGGTAGACACATCCATCCTGGCGGCGGCGACGGTGACGAGGACGAACTGACCAATGCTTTGAACCGGAAGAATCGCATCTCGCTGCTCTGATAACCCAGCCACTGAACGCGACTGATCTCGAGTAACGTGCTCAGACGTCGCTGGCCGTGCCAAGAAGCGGGGACGCCCCTTCGCGGCACGGCGGCAATCTGGCCGCAGCGGGGCTGACGGGCCTTTGCTGCGGTGCAGAGGGTTAGGTGATGAGCGCGGCTGTGTGTTCCATGGTGCAAGCTTGAGAGGGGCGTCTTTGTCTGTCTGTCGTCCGCGCGAAAATCAACTATTGCTACTGTCTCGGTCTCGGTCTCGGTTTCGGTCTCTGTGATATCTCTTGGATTTGGATCTGCTTCATCTTGGATTTGCTTCATCTTGGATTTGGACGACTCCCTCTCTCTCTCCCTCATAGATTCGCTCTGTAGATCAGAGTTGTGCTTCATATATTGCTTGTAGAATGAATTTCTTTTCCCCCTGTCTGCCGGCGTCCTTCCGTCGTGAGAGGAAAACGGCCTAGACTCGCTCGGGTCCTTCCCGCCCTCAGCGCTAGGACGAATGATCCCGGTAGGTCTGGAGTGGTTCCTCCTTCAACTTGCAAATTTCCGAGGCTCGAACCGGCGTAACGGCGTCGCTTATGCTTAGTCGAGTGGACTGGCACAGATGGTATGGTATTGGGGCAAACAAAGGCAGCAGGGCAGGGAGGCAATCGAGCCCGATAGACTTGCGAGTGCCGGCTGTTCGGAGTATGCGGGTCGGCGCCTGCGGTTTTGGCTGGATCATTCATTCAAATGCCTACCCGGGCGGACCACGCCTCGTAACTTAGAGCGCCAATTGCTAGTCCCGACAACTGAAAACAGACGGTAAAGTTACGACTAAAGCATGGATCACGAGCATCAGAAAAAGACCATCTTTGCCGATGAGAGTCTAAAATTGGTTTGGGTATGCGAAACGCTGTAAGAATAGAGGCCGGGAGAGCACGGCATTGACGCCGCGGTGGGAACTCGAGATTGCAGGCATATCGCTGTTGGGACAACTGGCTCAGTGGGATCGCTCGATATTCGAGTCTTACAGTAGTCCGCTTTCGTCAACAGTATTCCTTCTGGCAGCCACAAATCCACACAACAATTACGATGGCTTGCAAGTGAAGTCGATCAAGAAAGACAAGTTACAGATCACCATCGAGAATCGAGGCCGATCATGCCATCGCCTTGTCATCTTGAAACAAGATGTGACGCGCGTGACCGTAACTGAGATCTGACAAGTCAGCGGCCCCAACGGGATCCTCTTGCTTCAGCACTTCCATCTCGCTGAGCTCGCCGTCTCTGCCTACGCCGCCGCCGCACGCACATCCGTAGCTGTCGTCGCCGCCGCATCGCTGGTCCTCGTCACTGTTCTTTGCTAGACCGGCCGGCCCGCTGGTCTCGTCTAGAAACTGATTTGCAAGCCCTTCCTCCCGCGGTCGGCTTTCGTTATTGTTTCTAGCCCAGAGCCCTAGTCGGTTCATCCAGACTCGAAGTCCTTCACCCACAGGCATTCAGTACATACTTTTGTACATTGCGCCTGCTCGACATCCTACCCAACCCGCTCCTACTTGCGTCCTCACTACACCTGTGATCTAGTATCATCAACTTCATCTTTCACTTGACATCATCATCATGAGTCTTCGGCCCCCTTCCAGTCCCAGCCCGTCTCCTGGACCAGAGAACGGCAAGCAGCATGCGCGCCAGTCCCTAGGACCTTCTGCACGTGGCACGCCCATGGCGCCTGGTTCCCCCCGTTTGGGCGGGACTGGCACCCGGCCTACTAGCGAGCTGGTAGGCTCTGCGGGAATGTATCAGACACCAGAAGGTCGGGTTCTTTGTTCCCTGCTCCCTGTCATCGCTTACCCTTCTTCAGCCGAGGCCCTCGACCAATGGTTCGAGAACTTACAAAACTATGAGGCCACGCTTGAAGATATGGCCGCTGCGTCCCTGGACGCCAATTTTAAGGAGGAACTCAGCGCTATTGAGCAATGTACGTTGTGCTCCACATTGCTTCTTTCTCGTCCTAAGATTATCTTCTAGGGTTCAAAGTACTTTCAGAAGCAGAGCGCACAGCCGCTCTTTACAGTCTTCTCCAGCATTCGACTCAAGTTCAGATTCGATTCTTCATCACCGTGTTGCAGCAGATGGCGCGCTCGGATCCCATGACAGCTTTGCTCAGTCCTGCCGTGGGTGGCTCAATGCAGGCCCAAATGGAGGCCAAATTGGCGAGTCTCAAGTCCCCGGGCCTCAAATCCGGCTTGCCGCAGTCGCCTACTGCGCGGTCATTCAACCCGTCGAGCCCTGCCGCGAACCGCCAATCGCTTATCGAGACTCCGAACAACTATCTTTCCCCGGACTCTGCTGTGCTCGGTCAAAGCCAGGAGGCGGCGAACACGCTTGCGCAGCAGCGCGCCAAGCTCAAGGCTGCGAATGCAGCCCATCGTATCTCCGCACCCATCATGCCCACGACTAGTGGTAGCAACACATGGGGTGCTGGCGGCCTGGGTCAGGTCGTCGAGACCACGGCCCGAGCACCGTCGCCGTCCGCTGAAGAAGTGTCGTCACGGCCGAAGAGCACCGAGTTTACTAGCACACGTGCACCGGTTGCTGCGCAGGAAGCGTCGTTGCCGTCCCATGCCGCGAGCGAGAGTTGGGCCAGCATGGTGACAACTCCGCTGCCGATGTTTGCGAAGACTGAGCCGAAGGAACCATCCGGTCAGGCCGAGTGGCGGGTGAGTCGATTAGTGCCGTTTCGTTCATTCCAGCCTAACAACGATAGACCCCGGGTGGTCCCGCCATTCCCGGTGTCCCTCGGATGGGTGACCCCACGATTCATCGCCGCGGCGCTCGACAGACACCAGAATCAAACAATTTCGATGACAATGCAGGCAATTTCGGAGCACGTGGCAACGGACGCTGGAATGCCACGAGCCCATCTTCGAACCGGTTCGGAAGTGACGATGGCTCGAACCCTGGCGGCGGAAGCAACAACGGACGGAGCAATAATGGAATGGGCCCGCTCGGCATGGGTGGATTCGGTATGGGAATGGGAATGAACGGCGCCGGCGCAATGGGTGGAATGAATCCATTCGGGGTGAACATGAACATGCTTGCGATGGGCATTTCCCCCGAGACGCAGCTGCTTGCGGCGCAGATGGCCCAAGCGCAGATGGCCGCTGCAGCCAGCGGTGGTGCATTTGGGATGGGCGGTGCTGGCTGGCTTGGCATGCAGGGCCAGGGCATGCATCCTGGCGGGATGAACCGGATGATGCGGCCTCCCAGTGCTCGTACACCCAAGACCGCCAGTACGATAGGCAGCTCTAACGGAATGGGAGGAGGAGCGCTGAAAGGGGATGAGGACGTTGACCCGGCTTTGCTGACGGATATTCCGGCCTGGCTGCGCAGTCTCCGGTTGCACAAGTACACCCCCAACTTCGAAGGCGCGAACTGGAAGGACATGGTCATGATGGACGAGGCTGCGCTCGAGGCCAAGGGCGTCGCTGCGCTGGGGGCGCGGAGAAAGATGCTGAAGACTTTCGAGATTGTCCGCAAGAAGATGGGCATTGAGGGCGGCCCGCCGATGAGCGCCGACGCGTAATCGCGTGGCCAGCCAAAATTATATATACCCTCTGCTCGCGCAAATCTGATTTGCCTCTCGTTACTGTCTCGTATCTATTTCACACATGCCTCCACTCCCTACCTTCTGCTCCTTTTCTTCCTAGTACGATCACGACCTGACGAAGTTCTCCTCTCGGTTGTATATACATTTGAATCCTGACTACCTTTTTTTCTGCGACTGCAGTGTGATGTGGAAAGCATTGATCGCTCGTCACACTTGTGACCCGCTCTCCCTTACTTTTTTCTCCGAGATGGCTAAGGATACCCTCATCGACGAACACGTCTCTGCCAAGCAGTGCAAACTGGCTATCAACGCTCTTCATTCCAATGTATCGAAATTCGAAGAGAAAAGGAACGAGAAGGACCTCTTACCAGGGAAAGAGCAACATGTCTGGCTCAATGTGTCCGTAAAGAAGATTGCATCGGCGCATACATTCAAGCCCATGAAAATGTAGCGTCTATGCACTCAATGCCTCCAGTCCAATGTGCTGATTGCTCGACAAGACCCATCGTTCACCCGCTCGTCGATCCGCGCGTATCCAGCGTATGCCTGATCACGAAAGACCCGCAACGCAAGTACAAGGATCTACTCGAAGAGAACAACGTCAAGTTCGTGTCGCGGGTCGTGGGCATCGAGAAGCTCAAGGGCAAATTCGCCCCGTACGAGGCACGACGCCTACTCTTGAAGGAGAATGACCTGTTTTTGGCGGACGAGCGCATTGTCCCGTTGCTTCCAAAGTTACTGGGCAAAAAATGGTTCGAGGCAAAGAAGTATGTGTGCACCGTGGCTCAAACGGAGTGAATGACTGATCGGTCGATAGACAACCTATTCCCGTCAACATCACGCGTAAAGACATCAAGGGCGAGCTAGAACGCGCCATCTCTTCAACGTATATGAACCAAAATCAGGGGACTTGCTCGTATGCCGGATGGTCACTTGTTCTTATTCACTCTCGTACTCACGGATCTCATGCAGGTCTATCAAAATTGGCAAGATCTCCCAAACACCCGCGCAGATCTTCGCCAACCTTGAGGTGGCGCTGCCTGCCATCGTCGCCCGTATCAAGGGTGGATGGGACAACATCCAGAGCCTGCTGCTCAAAACCAACTCAAGTGCGGGGCTTCCGTTGTGGTCGTGTGATCTCGGAGACGGGACGAGTGGTCGGTGGAACGGGCTCGTTGCTCAGGATGAAGACGAGGGAAGCGTTGCAGTGGAGGCGTCATCTGACGAGATGGAGGTTGTTGAAGAGCAGAAGGCCAAGGGCAAGGGCAAAGGGAAAAAGCGCGCTGCCGAGGAGGACGAGGGCAACGCAGTAGCACCGCCCAGTGCCAAGAAAAAAAGCAAAGTGACAGCTGGTGTCGCTCAGATCTCAGCTCCAGTACCATCACCCAAACCGGAATCGGTCTCAAAACTCTCTGCCAAGCCAGCGAGCTCGAAACTCTCCGCGCCGCCGACGCCTGATACACCGAAGGCCACCAAATCGAAGCCAAAATCCAAGCCAGAGACCGCCTCTCCGGCTGCGGCCAAGAAGTCTCGAAAGCCGGAAAAGTACTTTGCTGCTCAAACGGTAGAAATCGCCTCTCTACTACCGGCCAAGGAGGAGCCTACCAAGATCGCCGATCCATCTCGCAAAGTGCAAAAGAAATCTGCTGACATCGTGTCCACGACGCCCAAGAAGGAGAAGAAATCCTCTTCTGTTGAGTCCAAGAAAGAATCCAAAAAGGAGAAGACAGCGGCAAAGACGACACCGACGGAAGCTCCCCAACCCAAGTCCGCATTGATATCCAACGACGAACTGAAGGCAAAGCGAGCGGGCAAGCCTGGGGAGAAGAAGAAGGAAAAGGTAGTCTCATTCAGGGGTGGCAAGAGCGCAAAGGCGGGATTGATTGGAAAGAAGGCTGGGCAGTAAACCGCGGATGTCTTCCGCATGTAGTCGTGCAGTATCTACCCAATAAGTGTGATCCACTTTCCTATTTTGTCCATCAGGTGTTTATTTGGTCACGAACAAACACTCCGGTGTCTTCAGTTCCCGCAATGTGTGTTTTCTTCTCGTCTGGCGCCCTCATCCATGACGGACCGCCTATCGACAAAGGTGGTCATCCCCCATCCGGTAGCGCCCGACTGTCCTATCACGGGTATACTCGAACAATTAGATGGTCCCACCTCGAGTCCAGGCCCGCGCAAGATCACATTGGTGTGTTTCGACCGGCATGCATTCAAATCTACACGTTTTTGATAACTTTATTAGATTCTCCATGGGTCTATGGGGTGAGCCACTCACCGCTTCACGCCCATATCAGGGCCCATACACCATCCCTTTAACAACCATCGCGTCAGGCACAAGGACTATCTGTTTCAACGACGCTTAGCGAAGAGACTTCCCCAAGACAACTTTAGATTCGATTTCCGGTCTCTATTCTCACCGCTTCCGTGGTATCCTTGTTCACGCGGTCGCTACACAGGGGAAATCATGAAACCCCAGGGACGTGGAAGTACGGAAGTTTTGAGGAGGACGTGGACGACCTGAAGATCGTGGTGGAGCATCTGCGGCAAATGGGTTATGTTGTTTCAGCGCTTGTCGGTCATTCCCGGGGCAGCATCGTTGCGTTCCGGTGGCTCTGCACGGCACCCGAGGCGCGCCATGTGACGGCTTTCGTGAATGTATCTGGGCGGTACCGCATGGTGCGTATCACTCCCATGCCCGGTCCCATTGAATTGACGCTCTTTCATTATGCATAGCACAAGGTTCTCGGTTAGTCTCGCTTTTGCTGTGCCGATGTGCATCAGCGCTGATCAGCGCGCAGACAGACCTGCCATGAAAGTTTGGAAGGATGGATTCGAGAAGGATGGGTACTTTGATCTACATGCCACGGTCGCAAGAAAGCCATTCACGACACGCATCACTGCGGCGGAGGTCGCGAAGTTCATCGCCTGGGACTCCTCTTTGATCTGGGACCGATTCCCCACTCGAATTCACGTTCTCACGCTCCATGGGCTTTCTGATGAAGTTGTACCTCCGTAAGCTTGTTCCGCAGCTAACGAAATGTGCCTGACCTCAGATTAGCTATGACGCGCACATCATTGCCCGTGCTCTTGGTGGTCGCTCGCCCGGGACGCACACGCTGCATATGGTCGAAGACGCGGATCACAACTTCTCGGGACGGCAAGACGAAGTTGTGGACTACATTCTGCAGTGGTGGGGACTATGCGAGCGCCAGGAGCTTGTGTCCTCGGGGGTATGGATGACTGGCGTCCGAGGCAAGCTGTAATATGGATTGGTACAAGCTCAAACTCGATCATACGGGTGCTTTTATTACGGGATACGGTGCGCCTGCTACATTCGTGCCCTGCCGTAGTGGCTCTAGCATAATGATATGATACAGTAATGTTGTATGCCTTTCCGTGGTCTACAAGAAAAGAAGGGTTCAGAGTCCAAGATGAACGTCATTAATGCTCCGTCCGTCCAAATCGAGTGCCAAGACGGGTGAAGAGTGGGGTTGCGAGTGCGAAGCGGGTGATTAGGTGCGTCCACCAGTGACACTGGTCGGTGAACGTGCTGATTAGGGTGCAGAATTAACGCGTTCGACGCGTTCTATAGTGTGTGTAAGGGGTATGGGCCACGGAGAGTGGGTGGGTGCGCGTGGGCAGTGGAGCGTCGCGCTCAGAAGAAAGTCGCGCCAGTCGAGGACGCCCCGCCTTTGACTCCCTGTCCCGATCCCTGTCCCGAGGACGATGACGGTTTCGTTCCGTTCGATGAGGTTCCTGCCATGGATGGGTAGTGTAGTGTAGTGTAGTGTGTGCTGTGGGGGACTCTAGGACTGCCAAGTGGTCTTGGATCCGGTGGTGGATGTCAATGGGAGGAGTGGCTTGTCAGCAGTCCCAACGCGAGCGCGCTTTTATATCTAAATGCATCGGGGTGGCTCGGCACGAACCATTACTATTTTCTGACTCAATCTAGAATGACTTGCCGCCGCACTCGTAAGCATCGTGCCCAATGACAGTGAGAAAACTCGATCTGATATCGGACTTGCTTCTTGGATTCCGGTGGTTTCAAACTTTTTCGACCACAGGGGAATTGATAGCAGCGCTTGTGGATATGCTATGCCTGGCCGACACCTCGGACCTAGCGCCCGTAGTGGTGACGATTCGGCAGAATGAAACAAATGCTACCAACTCCAGGCACAACACAAACTCTTGCGATAATGGTGTGGCATAGCCTCTGTCCGAAATCGCCGTTTCCAGCGGGATCCACAACGACTGTCGGACAGAGATCGATTCCGTGGCGGAGATCTTTCGAATTCCATTTTCTTGCTTGTAGACATCCGCAGCACAGCCATTGTCCCCTTGGCTGCTGCGATGTCTACCCAGTTGGGGTTGGCCCAGGATGGAGTTTGGGAACAGCAGACGAGGAGCCTGGGGTTTTCGAGGGAAGGCTGAGGAAAGCCCTCGGTCTGCAAAGGTACGCGGGAGCACCGGTGTCATCCAATTTTAGCTGACGGATTGCTCTCGAAGCGAAAAGGATGTTCAGCAGTCGAGACAAGCCCGCCCCTTTCTGCGCAAAGACTGGCAAGAAATTTCATACAAGGGCGGCGGTAGAGCCGAAAGCGGACGACAATCCCTGTCGCGCCGAAGATTGAGCTTGTGGATCAGAGATACCCAGGGCTCACAGCTCACAGCAAGCTTCGATGTCATCTGCGGGTGGCTGGCGGATTGTTCGTTTGGACTCTCTCCCGCGACTGATACCAGTTCGCCGCGAAATGCAGGACAAACGCCATCATCTCCAGTCCCGAACAAAGATGTGGACTACGAACAAGTTGGCCGCCGCCATGACTGACGGTTGGACGTGCGCAGCGTTGAGAAGGCAGACACTCCGCATGCACATACTCACCCCTCCCAGCGCTAACACCGACGCCGCGGTGGCGGACAGTGTTTTACTGGCGTTGGGTGATGGATTCACAGCTCTTATTCTCTTATTCTGACAGCAGAGAACACCCGGGTGCACTCGGGAAAATGGGGTCTCTGAGAGAGATGAGAAAAACCGGCCAAAGCATCCGTGAAAGTGACCACATGCGGCCCTAAGAATGCGGTCACGCGACTCAGGTCGTCGACCTTGGCGCGCGGGCATCAGAGACACGCGCTTCGAATTTGGACAGAAGGACCGAGCTTTCCTGTGCCTTCAATGAGCGGCAGACATCGAACAGCAGCGGAAGGACAATGCGCCATGCGGTGTCGACCAAAAGCTATCTACGTCCTGCAATTATGAAACGCCACCGCTGAAGGGAAGATCGGAGTGGCGGCCGTCTTCGCGAACGAGGCGGCGTTCAGTCTGAGATGAACGAGCCTCGAGGTGCAACTATTTTCGTGCACCGCTACTAAAATTACAATATGGATTGTGATTGTACTGCTCAATTGATTTCGGCAATGATCTTTCCACTGCTAAGGTTTGAGTACGGACCGTGCATATTGATAGACCCTTAGAACTTACGAGTTACCGTTGGCTTCCATCTCGCGGTGCGCATCCTGAATCTTATCCCAGGGATAGACCTGAGGGCGATGAGACCAATACCGACACAGGGAAGACACAGATCGCGGACCTTGTGAATGAACGTTGTTATTTTTCCGTCACCCTCCTTGCCGCTGATATGATCCAGAATGTCGTTACTGAACCTGCAAATTCAAGCGTGAGAGGCGAGTATCTCAGTAAATCTAGGACTCCACCTCGCGATGAGATCTGCCTGGTATGCCGGCGAGCGAGAGCGGAGAGTGGAGCCTTGGATGCGCAGCCGCTTGAATAGGATGGGTCCGAGATTCACGCTCGGAACCGTGGCTCCTGATGAGCATTTCAGTGACCCATTCGTCAAGGTCACAAGGGCTTACCGCTCAGCATCGCCAGCATGACCATCGTTCCATCAACAGCTAGCGAATCAATATTTTTCGTAAAATGGGTTTGTCCGCTGCACATGACCTCAGACGACGGGAGACGGGAGCAGAAGGATTCTGACGCACACAAAATCGACGACTACGTTGACGCCCTTGCCCTGGGTCGCTTCTTTGACGACTTGCGAGAAATCCTCATTTTTGTAATTGGCCGTCGCAGTCGCTCCGTTGGACAAGGAGCGGAGCCAATCCAGCTTTTCTTTCGTCGACGCGGTGGCGATGACGTCCTTCCTGGGCTCGTGTAAGCAACGCGAGATCAGGTTTTGTGAGCAATCGACGCACGCTCCGATGAAACGGCCCAACTGAATAGCGGCCAGACCCACACCTGTTTCCGAGTGTGAAGCGGCCGATAGCCAGGGATGGGATCCCTACCTGACGCCCCGGCGTGAACAAGTAAGCCTCCGTCGGGCTTGAGATCGCCGAGTAAAACGACCGCCTGGAATGCTATGCACCGTGAACTGACGGCCGCTCTGATAGCGCGCACTTAAGGCATACCCGTAAGGAAAGCTTCCGGGATGCTTGCCGCCTCGGTCCATGACAATCGGGACGGCTTCGGAACAACATGTGTGTCCAGCGAGACGATGTATTCCGCGTAGGCACCCTGAGGGCCCCCGTTTGAGTAGCCGATCGCGCAAAGAAGCTCGGACATACGCCTCCAGCGAGGCCCATAACCTCGTCGCCCACTTGCCATTTCGTCACGCCCGGTCCCACGGCGGAGATCGTCCCAGCGAATTCGACGCCGAGGATGGTCGATGATCCCGCGGGCGGAGGGTATTGGCCTTGGCGCTGCATGATGTCCATGCGATTGAGCCCAAACGCTTTCACCTGCGGGGCTGGATTTGCACGGCTGTGCGATTAGATTGGCCCGCCCGCCCACGCACCTTGACAAGCACCTCGTGGTCCTTCGCGATTGGCGTCTCGACCTCGCCAATGTACAGGTCGTCGGGGGTCTGTCCCTTATCTTTGACCAAAACGGCGCGCATCTTGGGAGGTGGGTGGGAGGATTGCTAATGGTATGACGAACAGTCGGCAGTGCGATGACCCTATCCTAGGCGTCCGGTCCTCGGCTGTCAGTGTCCCGACACCGGAACTCGCCGTGGCTGAAGAAAGGACAGACAACCAGCCCTTGCTTGGCTACAGAAGGGCAAGAGCTGACGATAAAATCATCACTCGTTGTCTCGGGGAGGAAAGCGCCCCGATTACAAGCTGGATAGTGAGCCGCGACGGCAGAGTACACACTCTAGTGCACTTGCTCGCTTCCTGGGTAAAGTCACGTGGATCATCCCTTCATAAACGTTACTGTCACGCGGTTACGACGCCAATTTCTTTTCGTTCTTCCTTTCAAATATTCAACGCAAATCCAAGCTCTGGTGAGAGGTCTTTCCCACTCGATGTCCTCCGTGTATACCCCCCTGCCTATTCATTGTGATGACCCTTGCTATGGTCCGTGTTTCCAAGAAGCGACTAGACACCGCTGCTTCAGTATGCCGACAACTTTTTGCCTAGCACTCTGATCCTTTCTTCCCCCATTCCTTGTACTGCGTGTTCCTCAGACTGACGACTTCTTTGGCTCTGCAGGTCGTTGCTTGGAGTTGCTCGTGCTCGCTGGTAGGGAACGTGGTGGATGTCGTGCGTCATGGCTGCGTTTAGGGTTCCCTGCGGTCTATCCCTGCGCCACATGTTCTATGCCCAGCGTGTGTATATCATATGTATGCAAAATCTCCTGTAGATGTTTGCTCGGATGTATGCATAGTTGGTTCACCCTGGGCACGTTGCTCCCTGTGGCGTATTCGGAAAAAAAATTCTCTCGCGAGGCGGGACGCAAGATCGCCGTTCCTTCACTTGGGCGTGCGCCGTCCATTCGTGCCTCTACTTGCCAGGTGTTTTTCTGTTCTAGCCAAAGACCAGGACAGCGGATTTGGCCGTGCAGGGACACCGCCAGACGGCTGGTGAAAGTGATCCTCAGGCTCATGCGTCAATGAACCTGAATGTGCCGCTGTAGATTGGTGGCGGCGGTCTTCCATTTGGTCATAATGGCAGAGGCTTTGCTTACGCTGGGCGCAAACTGCCAAACCACTTTCGACCCCTCCCGGCCCGCATGCTCCGGCGCGTCGCGGTAACGTGATCCGGGATGGGAATTTTCATTCATGTCATTGATAATCGTTGTTACTCACACAATTCGCGCCCTGCCATTTACGTTAATTTTCGGCGCTTCTTGAGTGGTTATTCAGAACCACGAAAGTTTCGCACTACCCGGATGAGAGACAAATTGTGAAGTGAGCGATCGAAGCTGCTCCTAGTGCTCACGTGGCGTCATCGAATGCGTCAGCGTCACGGTCAGCTGAGTTGGGCGGCGCATCTTAGTCCTGACCAACACCACCTCCACCACCCACTTACTCTGTTGAGATGGTGAGATGTCTACCATGCTATGAATCTGGACAAACGATGAACCCTCCGCCATGCAGGACCCAAAACCTCAGCTGCCTGCTGAAACGATCGAGTTCGCCCACCGGATGTTCGACGCAGCGAGGTCCGGAAATTCCGAAGTTCTAGTTGCCGCCCTCGACGCCGGGCTTCCTACAAACATCCTCAACGAAAAAGGTGAGGTCCTCTCGCTGCGGTGGCGTTGATCTCTCGAGTGACAACGCTCCCAGGCAACAGTCTGCTGATGCTCGCGTCCTACGCCGGCCACACCGATCTCACGAAACAGCTGCTTGATCGCGGCGCAGATCCAAACGTGCTCAACGATCTGGGGCAATCGATGATCGCCGGGGCAGTGTTCAAAGCACACGACGATGTAGTCCGACTGTTGGCCGATCGCGGTGCCGATCCGCGCCTGGGAAAGCCGACCGCGATCCAGACGGCGCATATGTTCGGACGAACGCATCTGATGGGCGTCCTCGGGGCGAAGGACGGAGATATCGGGCCTGAGGTGCCTGCGCCGGTGTCCCAAGCGGGAAGCGGCGGTTCTACAGCGTAGGATGCGATCACGTTCGACTGAAAAAATCAAATTGTACTCTGGGTCATCATCTCTGTTGTCTTCACCCCAAAGTTGGGATCAGACGCCGCCGACAAAAATCACACAGGAAAGTTTGCAGTCTGACGGATTCTGGACATGTGACAGTCGCTGCCCGTCTCCGACTGGAAGGCGCCGACTATGTGCTTACCCAACAGAAGTGCGGGCCAAATGGCAGCTGTCAGGAGCTGCTTCGTCTCGAGTGCACTTGAGCACGACTAAATCACGCCAACGGCTCCATTATTATCGAGTCAAGAACTCAAGTGTAGGTAGGCTAAATTTCTTGTAGCATGACGTCACAATGCAACGAAGAGGCAGACATATACATATTTATATTGTGAGTATTGGACACAAGATGAGTGGTGGTGGTATACTGCCCTGTTGTCTGGTCACGCCCTTCTCCGATGCGGGGGATATCCATGCGGGGCCAACACCAGAGTGGGCCACAGCAACGGCTGACTCTGTTTGGGACATGCGAAGAAGAAAATGGTCGGAGACCCGGAATCAAGTGGCCCAGTACGGCGATGGAGGTCCAACCGTCTGGCCCACGCGCTCGATGACAGGGAGAATCGGACACTGCACACACGCTCAACATCTGGCCATGCTCGTGGTCCGTCACGAGCGGAAGAGGGTTGGCACTTACCTCCTCCGTGATTCGCACCATGGCCTGCAGCGGGATCGGCAAAGAGGGCCCATTTCGAGGCAAGGCTGGCCCAGTGTTCCAGAATCGGCCGGCTCCGACAACGGATGCTCCGATCCATTGGCCGCGTGGGACGGCCTGCACCGACGGGCCTCCAGGAAGTACGAAGACAGGAAGTATGGAGCGCCGCTGCCTACTGCCCCGGCTTCTCCAAGCGCTCAAGATGGCTTCGAAAATAAATAAGGCCGCTACTGTGAAGAGCGTATAGCCCTTGTCAGTAAGAACGGCCTGGGAGAGAAGTGGTTCGAAGTGCGTACCGGGCAAAGTCAAGAACGCCAAAGTGGCGATAAGCAAAATAACAGCATTCTCCATGTTTGATGCTGCTGGTCGGTAGATTGATTATGACGAGGGAGACTACCCGCGCCGTATAAATTGCGTCACAGCTGAGGAGAGCAAACCAGGCCGTCGACACGAACACGACGACTTTATAAAGCATGTCAGTAAAGCGCCTAGGCAGTGCTACCGGATCATGCTGTATGGTGCTGTATCCGGCTGTAGCCTCTGTTTACAGCTCTTCTTCCATCTCGCTGCATATCAAGAGCACACTGGCTCGCAAATGTCGTCACTTGCTCCGCAGAGGCTTCACCTCAGACAGCATTGCACACCTTGTGCTGTAGGAAATGCATAGCAATAGGGCAGTGGACTGATGCTGTTTTGTCATATGCTTTTGGTCAGTCAGGCGCTTGAGTTGCAGACAACCTCGTTCGAGTCAGAAGGTGCCGTAATGGATTCTCATCGATCTCTAGATCAGAAAACTTCTTCCTCTACCGTCACACTCACTCTCAGGATGTAGCAGCGATGCGCTGTTACGATCATCCTCTGTCGGCCTGCAACAAGCTCCGACCATTCTTGACTCCCGCACTGGTATCCATACGAGGAGTCTGATGATGTCAATACAACAACCAAATGAGTAACAGAAGGAATACAATAGGCTTGACCACGTGAATCGTTGTTCAAGAGGGCGAAACTAAAAAAAAAAACCAAGTTGCCTTTACAGTGCGATGGGCGTTCAGTAGGTCACGTGCTGATCCGACTCATGCACTGATCAATCATTGAAATGAAGCAGCGCTTGGGTCCTGCTATCGCTGTAACCCGACTTCTCGAGCGTTCGCCACTGCCAAAGCTATAGGTGTCTATCTCTGCTTATCCACGTATGACTCATTGCAGATTTATTTCTGAGTTTTACATCCCTGAGCACGGTTGCTTCTCCCGTGTGCTATCCGGGATGTATGGCGGGACGTTTTATCTTCCGACATCATTCTCGGATATCTATGGCTAGCCCCACGCGTCTTCGAAATGGAGATAATGATTTTATGAGCTGATGTCTGCGGCAGTTGCTATATGCGGGAAACAAACGGCCCAGTCTGTTTCTAGCCCACGATCAACTGCGGAATTGCGGGATACTGTACGTCGCTGTCGAGCATGTATTTCGTACATCAGGAAACGACTCAGAGTTTACCACATCACTGCGAGTTTGGGGGTCTGATAGTTCTCGCTCTGACCCCCTGGTCCAACCTGGACTCACGCTCATGAAAACATGCTCTTGAGCTTCCTCCGAGATACGTGTAACGGAATAGAGAAAGCAGACTTGGTTTATGCTGCTGATGATTAAATTCCGTCGAACGACTTCCTGGGTTGGATAAGTTGGGCTGACGCTGGGTTCAAATCACGAGAGGATGGCTGTGCACAGCAGTATCCATCAATCACGGGCTTCCGTGACTCTCATGGTCACCTGGGCTCAGCATGTCGCGCCGTGGATGGCTGCCTCCGGAAGGAGACGTCCAGTCCTCTTCGTCATTCTAGTGGGGATTGTTGTCATATTTCTCCTTCTTGCCCCACCGAAGACCGAGGCCGTTCTTCCGACGCCTGCCCCCATTTCAGCCGAAGCAGCCTCGACTATCGTTCAGTCTGAACCAGATCGGGTCGTACTTCCCGCTGACGACGCCACGCCTTCCGGCCCCGTTCTCAAACTTCCTGGGCCTCCTACATATGCCTCGCTTCGGAAATGGGAGGACAACCTTCCTCAGCATGACTTGGACTTGCCGTATCCCGAAGGCAAAAGTGGTCGCTACGTCAAGTTCTCGAATGAGATGAAGTTGGTGGGCTGGAATAATTGTCTAAACGAGAGGTGAGGCCTTTCTCGCCTCCCTGAACTTGACCGATAACCTCGACACAGGTTGATGAACGCCCATCTGGCCTATATTTCCGGGCGCGCATATGTCTTTTCGGACTACATGTGGGCCTGGGAACACTACGCTTGGCCCCATGAGCAGCATCCCCCGGGCGGCCCTCGTACACCGCTCAACGCCATCGTCTCTGGTCCCATGGCCGGCGGACCCTGGGCATCTGATGATCCCGCACCGCGCTCGATCTCAGCCAAGTGGTTCGATGTCGTCTGTCCCCTTTCTGAACGACGACTGCTCAACACGACGGAGGTCAAGCCCTTCGTCCTGTCCAAACCCGGTATCGAGGTACTCGACAGATGGGCACAGGTGTTGCGGGATGCGCCTGAGCGGTGCATAGAGGTCATCGCACCTCCTGAAGAGGTGGATGACAAGCCCCAGGTGTTCGATTTATGGCTTTGGGGAAACTCTCGAGTCCTTTCGTTGTGGGATCCGTTTTCGAAATCGCCAACCTCTCGTCTTCTGGGCCCTTCGCCGCTTGTGCAAAGTGCGATCGACCGCAACTTGTACTTGTTTCTGCCCCATGGCCCCCAGCACGGGCATCCTCACTACCCGTCTCCTTCATACGGCCCCCGAGATCCATTCGATCGCATGCTCGCGGTCCACATCCGTCGTGGGGACTATGTCAATCACTGCGAGAATCTCGCGAATTGGGGAAGCACCTATTACAGCTGGGCTCTGCTCCCATCCCTTGTCGATCACTTCATCCCACCGCCCGCGGGTGATCCTAATCGAGTCGACAAGGTTCTGAAACACTGTCTTCCCACTCTGGAACAGTTCCTGCAGCGGATCCACGACGTGCGGGAGGAATACCTAGCTTCACCCAAAAAGCTGCGCGGAGAGACCCGCGTGCTGGACGTCCTCTACCTGCTCACAAATGAGCACGGGCCGTGGATAGAAGAACTCGAAGCTGCGGTCAAGAACGTTGGCTGGAACACCGTGGTCAGCACGCGCGATTTGACGCTGGATGTGGAGCAGGAGGATGTCAGCATGGCGATAGATATGCAGATTGCCCGACGGGCAGCCGTCTTCCTGGGGAATGGATGGTCGTCCTTTACAAGCAATATCATCCACCAGAGACTTGTGGATAACCGCGAACCACTGAGCACTCGGCTCACTTGAGACTGAACTGTCCAAGTCCCAGTGTGGGCTTCCGCAGGCCCTCCTAGTGGCACGATCTTCAATGATGCGGCTACATCACTGGCCTAGGACCTATACCTCATTATCGGCTCCTGTGTCCGTGAGATTATACACAGCTAGCATCGTATGTAGGACGCTACAGTCGTATACAGTATGCAAAATAACACTTTTGAAGAGTGGGCTCCAGTTCCTCCTGTGTGTGGCTATGCCATTGGCTGATAATACACGCAAGCAAACAACGCCAAATCTCTCTACGTCGCCGCATCCACCTCACATCCCTCTGCTCACCCACTCGCCTGCTATCGTAGTCACCATGACCGATCTCTGCCCCGTCTATGCTCCCTTTTTCAGCGCCATGGGCTGCACGAGCGCCATTGTCTTCACCTGTGCGTCCTTTCTCCTCCTGTGTCCCGTCTTGCGCTTTCTCAACGAGCTCTATTTCTCAGGTATAGGAGCTAGGTGAGCTACTGTCCGCGCGAGGCCCGTAGCCTGCTTGTTAACAGCCGCTCGTCGCTCAGTTATGGAACTGCCAAGTCCGGTGTTGGTATTGCAGCAATGTCGATACTGCGGCCCGACCAGATGATGAAGTGTGTCGTCCCCGTTATTATGGCTGGTATCATTGCTGTGAGTAGCTTGCCCTATCACCCTCTCTGCAGCAGCAGCTGCAGACGGGAGTCTCTGACTCGGTGCTGACAGCCCCTCAGATCTACGGCCTGGTCGTCTCGGTGCTCATCTCCACCAACCGTACGTATCCCACCATCCTGCCGCGTTTGCATGTCTCTGAACATGCCAACAGTTGCCCCAACTATGCCTCTGGCCCAAGGTTTCGTGCAACTCGGTGCTGGTCTGTCTGTCGGTCTTGCCGGTCTTGCTGCGGGCTTTGCTATTGGCATTGTTGGAGACGCCGGTGTCCGTGGCACTGCGCAGCAGCCGCGGTTGTTTGTTGGAATGGTGAGTCGTGTTACGAGTTTTTTTAAAGGATCGCGTCTCCTACTCGGCCCACCACGCCGTGCATGTTTCGATATATGACGTGCGCTTTTCCACGTGAAGAAAACGTTTTCATCAGTTCTTTTGTTTGCCGTACCTTTCTCTCTTCTTCCGAATCTCTCTGGATGATTGCTGACGTCACCGCAGATTCTCATTCTCATTTTCGCTGAGGTCTTGGGACTGTATGGTGCGTTGTGTCTCGTTGTGTCCACAACTTGCCCGATGGACGTCTTTCTTGACAATGTCTGATCCCTCTGTGTAGGTCTTATCGTTGCCCTGATCATGAACACCAAGGCTGCGGCCATGTCGACTGTCGTACGTCGCCAAAACCCAAGCTGACTTCCGTCAACTGACCCATTGTACCGCAGTGCTAAGTGCTGACATCGACGGAACAAGCGAGCAGAGTTGTGTACATCCACCAAGTGTCCTTGCACTCTGCTTTCCGTATTGATACATAAGCCTTATTGCACGTACATGCTCGCACTCGGACCCGCGAACCAGCATAACAACATGGTTTCTCTCACTTTCCTTCTTTCCGTACCTTGTCGATGTCCTAATACCGAATGCAAGGCGTTTACGCAATACTGCCTGCCACGTTGATGAGGACCAATGTGTCTGGAATCAGCAAATGCCATGATCTCATCTCTGATCTGAGCATGGCTTGGCGCATTCCTTGAAAGATGCAACTTGCTTTCAGAGGCACCTCCGTCCCGGACCTGCGTAAAGCATCCGGTCTTTTTTCTGCTTACGGTATCCAGATCCTGTGTCGCAGAGCGACTACGATGACAAGCCTGGGTCGGAGCGAAAATTACTACACCAATTTCGCTTACAGAGAACAGAATGGTTTCACGACTGTGATGCTGATAGCGTAACAATCTAGAGGAACTCATCGGAATCACTTTGAGCGGTAGAATTTCCACCGGGACGTGGCGGCTTTAGCAGGTCAGTACCAAGGTGTGTGATCATCTTTGCATTACCTCACCCCCCTGCGGTGCTTTCGGTGGGCTCTTCCCGGAAGAGACTAGTACCCCTGACGTCCTGTGCTTGGACGTCCTCGACTCGGAAAGCGCCAATATCAGCGTTCAAACGGATGTCTCTTCGAGCCTCTCGTCGGAGGATTCCAGGCAACTCTCTTGTGACTGCGCAAAAGTATACCCAGCCCAGTGTGCCCGAGATGCTGTGTCTGCTGCTATCATCTCTCTCTCTCTCGACTGTCAAGAACATTTTTGACCCTGGGAAGCACTTGACAAAAGACAAGGACGCAGCGGCGGCTGCCTGACCTCTGCTGTTGCCCGGCTACTGTTGCGAGAAGCTCTGAGATCGCCACCACTGACTCACTCTCAAACACTTTCCGTTCTTGACCGTTGTTGGCATGTGCTCGCAGATTGACCCAAAGCGGCAACTTACTAAAAGGAATTCGCGACGTCGAATTGGAGACAACCTGACACCTTGGCATCGGCAGATAAACACGGAATATCGGTAGCACGCTCAATTCGGGCCGAATTTCGGGCCCACATGGAAGACCCATCTCATGGCGCCATTCTTGACTCCTTCGGGCGAGATTCTCAGCATGCGACAGCGTCCTGAGAGTTGCCAGGCCAGTGGGGGAAGAGTTTCCAAGGACCTCGGAATCAAGCCGCAGAGATGGCTTGGACACACGTAATAGCCATCTCGAACCGCTGGACGAGAATTCCATATCTACCTTCTTTTTCACGACGCATCCACGCCAGAATTGGATGTCGACTGTTGGCATCTACCGGCGCTGTATGTGGTTTAAATAACTGTATGGAAATACACCTATCACCGGAGTTTACATCTGAGCCTCCGAGGACGAAAAACTTTCCAGAAGTGGTGAGAAAATGTGGACGGGAGGATCTGGCACTCACCGATATCAAAATGTCCAGCCTAACTTTGATGTATAACAGCTCACTTTCTAGCCAAGGACGATCGCAAGCCCCGTCCGAGCCAGCTGCCCAGGCAAAGCCTGCGCTGCGCTATAAGCTCCGCCGACGAGAGACTCACAGCGCCAAGCAGAGTCCCCTGGACAGAGGGTTCAAATCGATACGCACGTGATGAGGTAGTATAAGGTTCGCTTTCTGGTGAGTACCGTGAGCATCGCAGGATCTGAGCACTCATGTGCTCGATAGGCTGCGCCACAGCTGGTGACCCTCTCGCCGGCCGAAAGCTCAGTCGCAGTCCGATGTTCATCCTTCAAAAGAAAATCGGCGTCCTCTGAATGCGCCGCGTAGACCGAAGCCAGGGGGACCTTCTTCTCCCGGAAAGCTGAAACGTCCCTGCGTAGAGCAAGTGATCATTGCGGCGTTGAATTCCGCAGCCACACGCTCGGTGCAGCAGACCTGTGACCTCCGCAGGCGGAATTGATCCCGTCAAGTCTCGGTGTGCTTCAACGAATCGCCGACGACTGGAGCAGAGTGGAGTCCCAATCTCTACTGGAGCAGTCGGTTGCTCTCCAGCTCGAAAGTGATTGCTGAACGGAGATCGACGGGTTATTTAAGCGAGTCGAGTCCAAAATTCACCCGCCGAGAAATTAGATCCCAGGCGCGGGAGAAACATTGGCTTCTCTCGCACAAGGTGTGCACAAGACCCACCATAAACAATGAGAGATCCGTGGCAAGTCAGTTTCGACGGCGGCCGAGGATTCGCCCTGGCCGAGTTCTTTCTGAGCGTCTGACGGCGGTGGAACTGCACCCGATAAACCAGATGCAACGAGCGCTCGATCGTACCCTTGAGCACCGGGGGTCGACACGAGACTGGTAATGGTTGAATCAGAAACATATCGCCTTCGAAATCGTTGGAACATATTTCAGGTTGCGCTTCTCAGAGTCTGTATTGACTCAGCTCCTCCTGGGTGTGATATAATTAGAGAGACGTGCTTGCGGAAATTTGGGACCCTAATACAATTGTAGCTGGGGTTCTGCGTGAATTGTGGAAGACCCACAGCGAGCTTTGTTTGCCCCGTTCCTAGCATCAGACGAGGCGCCCCACCGGTAAGTTCCGACTGCTTGGATGGGCAATCTATGGAGATAGATACGGGGATAGGTGCCCGACTTCGACATCGCTAGGTGGAAGCGAGAAGTTGCCAAGGGCAAGCAGACCGCGACAACTTACCAACGAAACATCGTCGCTGACGGCGAGGTTCCGTGGGAGCTGAAATCCACAGCTAACGTCCATGACTTGGCAGACGCCAACTGTGGTCGGTCAACATGCCTTACGACAGCTGCACAGGTTGCGTTGACAAGAGATTCTTGTCACGTGTGGTGGCCGAATTGATGGGCCCCTCTGGCTGATGTGTCGGGGACGTCTTTAGCGGCAAACACTTTCTGGTTGGTCCGCTGGTAGAAGTTGACGACGGGTGAAACACATCCAATTCACTAGGACATGTGGGACAGGCGCATCCCGTATGCGGGAGACTAGAACATGAAACTGCACTAATTTGGACCAGGTCTCGCCCTTGTTAGGTTTACTTAGCATCGACCGCATTGTTTATTCGTCCCTAACGGGGAAATCTCACCCGCCATCTTAGCACGAGCAGGGCTGACACAACCGGAGAAGTCCGTAGTGAGCCACGAACTCTCTGAGACCGCAGCCGACATAGGAGAGTGCTGCCGATGGACCAGAGACCTTGACATCAAACGACGACACGAGGATCGGCTCTGAAGGTAGCCACTGGTAGACCTAGTAACTTGGCTCGGCGCCGCTACTTTGTAAACACCGAGTTTTGTGATTTGACCGAATTTCCGACATGCAAGTGAAATTTCCGATCGGAACTGATTCCGCGGCAGCACTGACAACTGACGTCAGGTCTGTGAGGTGAGCGGAGAACTCAGATAGTGATATGTGTTGAGCCAGCCCTGCGGGCGGGTTGTAAGTTTCAGCCTCTTGGCTCTCCGCTTTATATGACCTAGGTTCGTAAACCTTCACACGTTGTAAAGGAAAAATGGCAGCTCGCTGCCAGGCGGGCGGCCTCGCGTCATTCTCTATTTCATTGGGTCGGTTGTGAAAATCTTGGAGAGACTCTCTGGAAATAAAAACTATATATAATGCGACCGGACCTGATATTATCTCCTCTAGGTGCTGGATCGGTGCCTGTTCTCCGCTTTTTGACCGTGGGCAGAAACAGCGTCGGCATTTTGCTCGATGCCATCAGCAGAATGCGGAGCGGCACCGGAAAACACACGCCCACGAGTTTGAAGCATATCTGATCTCGGCAAATCAACAGCTCCCGGCGCTCGCCTTGCTTCCTTGAGATCTACCAGATTTTTTTTCGTTCTGCATACTCTTGACTGATACCGCTCTTTCCAAATCGAGATTATGTCTTGCGCACAATGGGGCCAGGAAGCGTGGAATCTCCGTAACGTAGTGCACGGACTCAGCCCTGAGTCCACGGCCCTTCTTTAAGATACGACTCTTTCACAAGGCGCGTCAAACACCCGTCCTTTTCCCCACTCTCCTTTCACTCGGTGCATCATCTCCCCCCCTCCGCCACCCCCGCCCAGCACAAGACAGCCCACCGCTCATGTCACGTTCCACAGGCGGTCATCCCCCTGGATGTCTTTGCTCCCGCTGCCATCTCAAGCTCTTCCCGCGGGGCCCCGGTGACCGCATCATACTTCCTACTCCCGGCCCTTCACCGCAAAGTCCGCAGTTCCAGCACAGGCTGCCGGCGGCACCGCCCGCTCGACCCCAATCGACTGCGCCGGGCGAGTATCGCCCTTCGCACCGTCGCGGGCACAGCCATGCCTACGGATACGCACAGGAGGCCCCACCACCAGTACCGCCACTGCCCATGGCGTCCAGACGGTCCGGAGATGCGAGATACGGCATGGAGGCACGGGGAGGTGAGCGTTCACGTAACATCCGTGTTTGACTGTTCGGACCGGGCTCGAGCGCATGGCGGATGTCCACTGTGGCTGATCACATCGCGTTTTTTTGAATTGCGCACGCCAGCTCGTTGGCTCTATTTTCTCCCGCGTCTGCTGCTCAGATCGTTGTTTCGGCTTCGCTCACGCCTAGACTTCTAGCGCCAGTGCCCGAACCGGCGCGATATCACCAAGCCCCGCCGATTCGGCCGGCGAGTGCCATGGCTCATCATTCCCGGTCGCGGACTCAGTCCACCTCACAACCCTCGACCCAGCAGCCACATCATCAGCCAGCACCTGCAAGTTCGCAGTCCCAAACGGCCGCGCAACAGCCAGAGTGGACCGCGCCTAAACTCAAATGGGTGCAGAAAAAAGAGCGCGTGAGCCACTTCACGCCGCCGTCTCAGTACCAGGGCACGAGCTTCCGTCAGTATGTACATGAGGGAATCAGCCAGTCCACCTCCAAGAGGGGGTCCTAGAGCACTCTGGATCTAACTTATTGTTTGTTTTATTCGCATGTTATTAGACTGTAGCACCGCATGGACCGACTTGAAATGCATACATCCAGTATGACGTAGGTGGCGGCCAGCGGCCATGACTTCGAAAGCCTGATATGGATACTATGTTTCCTTCTTGGGTGGGTCCAGCGCTGCTTCCGAGTCCCCATCAACTTCTCCGGACCATAGTCGCAACTCCTCAGGTCGCGCACTCTTCGTTCTCCATGTTGTGCGCGGAATTCGCACCATTTCTTGGTGACCTCGGCAGATCATGTGTTGCGATGAGGTATTTTACGGTTATTTCTGAGTCCCGAAACTATATGTCCACGCCTTTGTCGGATTGCGGGCGCACGCTATCCCAATTGTATTACTGGGTCGAACTTTACGTTTCGAATGCAACAGCCACGTGATAATCCGGATCACATGCTCGTGTCTCGTGATCTGACTCGTTACGTGTGACGTGTGACACTCTCCACTCACTCTGCGACATATCCTTGACGATGGATCCCGACCGCAAATCCACCGTGTCCTCCTTTTATGGCGCTCGCAAAAGCTCTTACGATGCACTGAACTACGACCAAACCTCCCCCTCGCCTGCCGCCGAGATGGGTGGCCGCCCCCGAGACGACGCCTCGTCATTCTTCAATCCGCGAGGCAGCATGGACATGCTGGTGGGAAGGCCGAACAACGCCGGCTACAACCGAGCCTCTTATTTTCATGCTGGGAGGGAGGAACCGCTGAAGGGTGGACGGGACGAGGAAGAGGACGCCGCCGAAGGCGCCTGGGATGTGTATGCGGACTTTAACAATTCCGGTCCCAAATACAGTTCCGCATTCGGGAGCCAGGATCCGGCAGGGTGAGTGTGACTTTTTTGCTTCTCGTTCTGTCTGCGGGATGTTGTATCCCATGATATGGCGCAATGGGCAGACGCGGCATTCCGGGCCTTTTGATATAGTGCACTTCTCTCCGATCACCTTATCCTCTTCGATCCCGTCGGACTCACAGGAATATACCTAGATATCAATCGCTAGATGCACCAACACCAAAGACCGATGCAGGTTCTACTGCCGCCGGCGGGCCAGTGGAGATGGTGACGGTACCGGCTATGGGAGCCGAATGGGGAAAAGATGAATTGCGGGATATGACAAAGGCGGGACGTCGTGCGAAGAAGGCAGAAAAGCGTCAGCAATTCTGGAGAGAAATCACTCGAGGCAACCGTGGTGGGCGGTGGAAACGAGTGACCGTATTTGTGTGCTTTGGATTCATTGCAGTGTATGCATCTCAAAGTGATTCCATTCACATCAAGCTGATCGGACTTATTCTAGCCTTGCAATCGCACTCGGGATATGTATCCCCCGTGTGCCTTCGTTTTCACTCAGCAACAGCGCACCTCTGGGCAGCGCGACAGGAAATTGGTCCACGACTGTGCCAACCCTCTTCTCGCGTGCTCCCGCCAACTTCTCTTTCCCTGCTGTTGCCGACTTGCAAGTTGACACGAACGCCAACTACTTACCGCTCCACTTCAACTCATTGAGCGGAAGCATCTATGACCTGGAAACGGGCTTCCTCGTTGCCACAGGAACCATGAATGGATTCTCAATGAAGGCGAAGAGCTTCGTCCCCCTGCTGCTTCCACTGAACTTTACATACGTCGCTGTCAACGACACCGACACCACTTGCAAGTATCCGTCTAAGAATGCAATCTTTATATCTGACATCAGGCGAACAGGGGTGACTTGGTACAACGCATGCAAGAGCAAAGGTCAATATCCCGGAGGCAGTCGCCCAGGTCTTCGCTTCTCGCTCGTCCTCAAGATGAGCATTTCGGGTCTCCTCCGAACACTGACAACATCGACTCAAGTGACGAATGCCAACTGTCCTATTGAGCTGCCTGCGAACAGCGCATAGACACTCTGCCCAGGAGCTGCATTGCAACACACACTCTTTACTCATATCGCACGGACTTGTCATTATATCTATCTCATCACGCATAATGCCAGTTTTCTATTAGGATCACGGTCGTTCTACATGTGTGGCTTGCGCTCTTTCGGACTCGTGATATATTTCCTGCCCTTGAGGACCTTTCTGTATATTTTAGCACGGGCGCGAATGTGATTGTGCGGTACGCATGTGTCCACCTGTCAAACGCGTCACAATCAGTTCTCCCTCCCTCTCTTTCTTCGTCCCTCTAAACCTCATCAGTATTCGATAGGCTGTATCCGATCTGTATCAGCATATCCACTCGCCCATTTCTATCAAGCCATTCTTTCCATATATATCTCCCCCACATGGACCATACAGCTCCTTCAAGAGGCTTGCGGCGCCGCTCAGGTGGTTCCACAGCTTATCATCAAGTTCGAGATCAAGACGATGGCCAAGAAGACTTCAATCTTGCTGCTGAGGAAGACCCGAATGCCTTGGACGCGTGGAAAGCCACTATCGTTCTCGTTCGTCGACAGACTGCTTCGCCAATACTTCCGGTGCTGCCTAGAGTGGGGCTCGGCTCGGGTCTATCATCACCACCTCGGCGCTGTATCTCGCCTCTAGCGTCTAGCTCCAGCCAATCCAAGTCTTTTATGTCTACCGATGATCTCCCGACTCCGGGCTATCCGCGCGACGGAGCTGCGTTAGTCACCGCGTTTTCCGACGGTCGTCAATGTCTGCCGATTGCTGTGCGCGGTGACAGACCGTATGGTTCCCCGCCTCAATATCGCGATACATCTGCATCTTCGACTCTGGGCGATTCTTGTTCTGACGCCGGCGCCACTGACTCGGGTAGGGGCAGTGGTGCATCTCCCCGCGGGCCGATGTCAGTGGTATCGCGCGGGCTGGGCGTCTTCAGCCGCTCGTCTTCGCGTGCCGCGGAGGGTTTCATCTCGATTCCGGTGACCTGCGAATCTGACTGGTGCGGACGCACTTCTCCCGGGGGCTCCGACAGCGGTGGGTATGACAGCGACTGTGCTGGTGACCCGCGGATGCAGACGCAAGTTATGGACAAGTTCACGCACAAGTGGCCAGGCCACAGAGTCGGAGCCTCTGGATTCAGCAAGAGCACGGATGCAGATGCGAGTAGCGCTTTGCTCGAAACGGGACATGGTCCAAGCGCAAGTGCAGTGGAGCGGCACTGGACATCATTCAAGCACTGTCTGGTGGTGTCTGTCGTGTCTGTCTTTGTTTATGGCAGTGCTGCGTTGGTATGTGCCCTGATGACTTGGTTCCGAAGTGCGTCGGAGCCGCACCCGCTTTGAGGGAGAATGAAACAGCGCTGATCGGTCCATACAGCATGGGATTCCGCAGCCGTCATGTATGTAGCTGACAATGACGTGCTGATCCTCATAACGCTTGCCGGATCCATCCTTGTTTTTACCGCGCTCGTCGGGCTGGCGGGTGTTCTGCTCAACTCTCGGCCGATCCTGGCAATGTATGCTGTGCTGCTGTGGCCGGCATTCATGTCCCTAGTTTCGATCGGGTACGTCGCCTATAAGCGAGCAACCTTTTCGCTCGATCGCAAGCTGGATATGTCTTGGAGCCAGTATTACACGCCTCTCGGCCGGCTGCTGATTCAAGACGCATTGCACTGCTGCGGCTACTACAGTCCCTTGCATGATGCGACACCGAGCAAGCGGTGTTTCGCGCGGACGTCGCTGCCGGGATGCAAGGGCAAACTCTTCCGCTTCGAGCGCGAAAACTTGGCTACCGTCTGGGCTGTGGTCTTCTCTCTCGTGCCGCTTCATCTGCTCAATATCTTCATTGCGTTGTTGTGCGCGAATCATGTCACTGAGAGATTTGGGACGGGGATGATGCCCGTGAAGTATCGTTTGTCGGGAGCGGACGTTCAAGCCGAGATAGAGAGGCTCCAGATCAAGTACAAGCTAGTCGAGAGGTCCATTTAATACATACAGGAGTACTCAGGAGATCAACTATCGAACAGATCTTTCTTCGACGGATTATTGCCAAGAATGCAGTGCACAGTTGGGACTTGGCTCAGCATAGAGTGAAGATTCCAACACATATCCTTCAACGAAAACAAATAGGTCCTCGCGGTGAGCGATCCCTGACTAGTTCGGAGTGCATTATCACAGCTGACATTTCTCGATGAACTTGTCAGTGTCCCGAATCACCAGTGTAGTCCTGCGCAGCGGAATCCTTCAGGGCGACATCCTCAACACCGTTGTTAACTTGAACCGTCCGGATCTTCTCCGACATCAGAGGTTGAATGTCAACTTCGAGGTGCAGCGAAGGCATCTCGGACAAGGCGGCTGTGCGCTGGGCCTCGAGATCGCCGAAAGCAGCTGCATCATCGGGCTTGAAAGGAAGAACGATCCAGGCAGCCAGGGAAGAATAATGTGGTCCATCCTGTGATAGTTGCCGCTGCCGCAGCTGCTCGCGCACTTTCGAGAACACGAGGAAGAAGATGCCGAACAGAATGTAGACAATCACTGTGAGCTGCTGAGTTTAGTCGCACGCCCTGCGGATGGTTGGAACTGACGTATTCCACTCAGGATCCAGATTATCTCGCTGATTTCGAGGACTGAATTTGAGATTGGGAAGTTCATGAGAGAATGAAGATGTCAAGATTGGGCTCGTTCGAGAGGCCGTGTCCGAAGTATTGATTACACCCTCTACTTATACGCAGAAACACCGTCTTTCCAAAATTACTGCACGGGCGTCAGAAAAACTATCGGGAGTGAATCAGGAGACCCCGGAAGAAGATGATCGTTGAGCACCCCCAAAAGCCCAAAAGCTGTATTGCACTAGGGAGTGCTGTTGAAGACGTATATCGAAGACGTGAGATCCGTGCCATTTTTAGAAAAGTATCCGACTTCCCAACGTGTCAAGAGGATCTCAGTGCTGGACGCCTATCTAGGAGCACACGATTCAGAGTCAAAGCTGACGCAAGCGCTCACTGGCGCTCACTGAGTTGTTTGCCAACACGATCATGTGACCGTGTCATTCAGCTCATGCCTCTTGCATGCCTCGATCCCACCTCAGGTAGTATCCTTTTCCAGTGCGCGGATTGAGCCAAATGCTTAGCTTAGGTACCTCACAGACCCCAGGGAGCGCCGTGATACACTCCTTTCGAGCAAAGCACGCACCAGTATGAGGTATTCTTAGTCACGCTATTTACCATATCGATCTTCCGAGACTGTGAGATGCTGTTGCAGGCTGTGTGTATCCGACAAGCACTGGCTCGTGATCATCCAATTCACTTGGCTATTTATCTACGATCCAATGACGGAAAGCTGACGTGCTCGAGTTCATACCAGACCTCGTAACATACATTAGGTTTCATCATGTTGCCGCACCTTCATCGCTCTGAGTAGATACCTGGACGTGGAAAACTTGCGTCAGAATCTCTGTGGGTCCCTAGCGAAGTATGGTCGGGATAGCTGCTTCATCCGGAAACATATTGGAACTCACAACTGGGACTTCGCAATAAGCGCTCGGCAGGGAAACAAGATCGGCCTTCCCAGGACATTCATCACTCTGCAACCGACTGTTCCGATGATGCTCTCAACTCAAGGCTGGCCTAGACGCCCCATTACATCTATTCCCGGATCCCCGGCTGTACGAGGCTTACAATTTTTCCGATTTGAGCCCAACGTCATGCAATAAATATAGGTAAATCCGCGATCAAACGTAAGATAGGGAAGGACACGAGACTCTACAGCTCTGTGGGAGACTCGGGCGGGTACAGCAGCGTGAGATCCCTCTTCATCAAACGGACTGTTGAAGAAGCTCGTCAGTCGAGGCGCCCAAATGCGGCTCTGTACGTGCACGACTCACTTTCACAGGTCCCCAGATCGCCGTCGTCGTGTGTGGATTTCGGGTCGCTCTCAGGCGGAGGCGGAGAGAGCTTGAACACAGGGATCTGAAACGGCGGTAACTTCCGCGGCTCCATCGTCCCATATCCTGATGCAGATCTTGGCGAACAGGATTCATCTGCGCGAGGTCAGCCCTGGTTCGGCTTGTTCCGGGCTGCTAGGACTTACCGTCCCTCCTGTGTTGACGGAGCTTGAGAGTCATCCATCGATCCCACAGGGCCAGGGCATAGAACACGAGCATGAAAAGCACCACCATCACGGCACCTATGTAATGAGGCTTATGTGCCCTGCGATTCACGAAGCCTGAGTGGGAAACCACACTTACACGAGGAGCCGGAGTCGCACGAGCATTCAGGGATTGGGAGAGAGGTGGGGGCCATTGAAGTGCTTTCAGCCCTCCACCGCTTTTCTAATCAACATACCAAGAGGAGTTGCACAGCATCGGGCTTCCTGAGATTTCTGAAGCCAGCCAAGGGGGGCTGTGGCGTAGGGCTATTCAAGGAAGGATCGGAAAGAAAAGACGTTTCCCGGCACTACACAGACACGCAGCATGACACACGCAGCGGCTTGGTACTCAAAGTAAGGGTGTCGAGGGACCTTGAGAGACTGTTTGGGCGGCTATCTCGGATGGGGCAATGTCAGAGACTATGCGGCACGTGCCTGATTGGCATTATGAGATCGACCCACGTGCCACTGGTTTCCTCCCCACAAATGAAACGGACATTAAAGGTGAATCAACACATCACCATCTAATGATCGACAGATTCGAGGAAGCCTCTGTTAGTCCATGGTATCTCACCCTAGGGGTTCCCACAGTCCCTCTCTTTGCCGCTAGGACAGGCTAGGACCCTGAGTAGCATGCTAAAGATACTTACTGTGCGGCGACCTCTAGACGTGCATTCTCTAAACATGGTTAAGTTAGGGTTATGGTCAGCTTCGCACTCTCCGTGTGGCTTTCGAATCTGCCTGTCATACACATCATTGCTGAAGAAACTGCCAGTGCTAGTCTGCTCGATTCTCGAGAAGTTTTGACAGTTCGCATCAGGACAGTCGACCTGATGGTAAGCGGCAGGATCCTCCTCCGTATTCGCAAGACGTAGTCCTGGGGGAGCATCTGAAACTTGGTCTGCCACACCACTCTGGCGCTGTTGCAGATGGGGTGCTTCTCGGTGTGTCGCACTGCATATCTTTCTATTCTGACGGCCCCATCATACCTCTCCAAGATCGGTGCCCGGCCGTGTGGCGGCGGCAATGCCTTAGGCACTGTGAGCTCGTTGAACCACTGTCTGAGGGAGAGTCAAGGAGCCATATCTACCCGCCCCGCCCTCTCAGCCTTCCTTATGCGATAGTTCCACTGCTTTCATTCAAGCTTCCTGTGTCTACGAGAAGGGCATGGCTCACGAGCTTTCTCCGCGTCTAAGGCTATCGTTCAAGTCTACTCAGTTCGCTGTTCCTCCGCTGTGGCTTTGTCGTGGCCGTGACGAGGTAGCGCCAGGGACTTGGGTATCTCGTCATACTCGTGCTATCCCTCGCTGTCGACGCGCTCGATTCCGACTCCATACAGAAGACATCGCATATATCTCCTCCAAATCGCTGCTGTTGAGCTGTCGCAAGAAGCCATGCTCTGTGACACGTTCCCGGGACTGCGTCAGTCGGCCTAGATACATCATTGCTTGCTTTCCGAGTCTGTGTCTTATCCGCCTGTTTCCATTGGACGCTTGGCAGGCTTCGACGGTCACTGGGTGTAGTCTAAGTACGATTGCTGTATTCTCGCGGAGCCATCACGTGGTTCCAATTGCGACCGTGCTTCTGCTTCTCCACCTGCACCCTGTTCTCTCTTACCCATGAATATCCTCACTGTCTTACTCGTCCTCGTCCCCCACACATGGGCCCTGTGGCCCATGCCGTCTACTTTGACCACAGGGTCTGCCTTCCTCGTTCTCTCCCCAGCGTTCCAAATCACCGTCAACATTGCGGACCCACCGCAAGACCTGCTCAACGCGATCGCGCAGACCAAGACGTATCTCGCAACAGACAACCTCCAGGCATGCCATATGTTCTCCCGCGTCGTTTGCAGATATATCGAGTGCAGGAATATGTAGCGTCTCGTGCCCGGTCGCGGCGCATTCAACGCGAGCGCCATCCGATCCGCACCGGCTCTGACGTCCCTGGTGCTCTCGCTTCTGCCCTCGCCCTCGCCGCACCCCGTGCTCTCGATCTCGGCCGAATCAGTGAAGCCGCTCGGCACCCGGTCCGAGGGGTACACGCTCTCGATCCCGAGCACCGGCAGGCCCGCGGTGCTCGCGGCAAACTCGACGCTCGGGCTGTTCCGCGGGCTGACGACGTTCGCGCAGTTCTGGTACAGTCTGGACGGCGAGGGGCGTACGGTGTATCTCGATGTGGGCCCGGTCGATGTGGCGCGCGATGCTCCGGCCTATGTGAGCGACCCTTGCCTGGCTGAATCGTTGTGGTGATTAAGACTTCTCCCAGAGCTATCGGGGGTTTATGCTCGATACCGCACGTAATGTAGGTCGAATGGACCTAGTGCCCCTGCTCGAGCTTCACCGCGGCTAATAACTCAAAAAGTTCTTTCCGGTGGCGGATATCAAGCGAACCTTGGATGCGATGAGCTGGGTCAAGCTTAATATGTTCCACTGGCACATCGTCGACTCGCAGAGCTTTCCACTTAGTCTTCCCGATTTCCCGGAACTGGCGCAGAAGGGTGCTTATTCGGCGAATGAGATATACTCTCCTCAAGATGTGCAGGACATCGTTCAGTATGCTGCCGAGGTACATAGTTTGTCGCTTCCTGCGGCCCGTATGCTGATATTCAATGGCTACCAGCGTGGGATCGACGTTCTGATGGTCAGTTCAGAGATTATGTTTCCCTTCTCCCAGTCGTGAAAATCGAGAGTAGGAAATCGACACACCAGGACACACAACTGCAATCGGCGAATCCCATCCAGAATACATCGCATGCAACAAAGCCAGTCCGTGGACAACCTATGCGAACGAACCTCCCGCTGGCCAGCTCCGTCTCGCCACCCCTGCGGTCGTGAATTTCACGGCAAGTTTGATCGGTGCTGCGGCCAAGGTTTTGCCTGGCCAGTATTTCAGTACCGGTGGCGATGAGCTGAATACCGAGTGCGTATATCTATCCTATTCTCCTGTGCAATGGTCAGCCCGAAGCTGAGTTTTATCGTCTGCGAGATGCTACGTGAAAGATCCGCAAACCCAAGCGGACTTGAAGAAGAGCGGGCATAAACTTGAGCAAGCCTTGGATGCATTTACCCAAGCTACCCATGGGGCACTCTTGCACCTTGGGAAAACCCCGGTCGTTTGGGAAGGTCTGTTTGCATTTGCCTTGTGTATAAATTTGGCAGTTCGAGGCTTATCTTCTGGTCGTAGAGATGGTCTTGGATTTCAATTTGAAGCTGTCGAACGAGACTGTTGTCATGTGATTCCCCCAGTTTTACTCGAACGCACGTGAAATAACAAGGTCTTACAGGGTTTGGATATCGGCCGCGGATGCTGCCTCGGTGGTCGAAAAGAACTTCAGAATCGTGCACTCTGCATCAGACTATTTCTATCTAGTGAGTTGAGCAGGATCCAACCAACGCAACGGGAATGTCTGATTCTGCGCGTCAGGACTGTGGTGCCGGTGAATGGATCGGGGATACGTCTACTGCGTTCGTCCCTTCGTGATTTATCTAGCTCTGAGCTGAAAACTGATTGAGTTCCATACTAGAACTAGCTGGTGCGACCCGTTCAAATCTTGGCAGTGGGTGCGTGAACCGCGTCACCTGATCTGATGGGATATTCACCGCGCATGCAACATTCATTTCCCAGTCATATACCTTCGACCCGCTGGCAAATATCAGCTCATCTAAATCTCATCTCGTCCTTGGCGGTAAATTTCCGTTGATACTGAAGAGTTCAAGTTGAGTTCTATCTTTGTAGGAGAGCAACTCCTCTGGACTGAACAAACGGATCCGAGCAACCTCGACCCCATCGTCTGGCCGAGAGCGGCGACGTCGGCCGAGATATTCTGGACCGGGCCCAAGCTGCCCTCCGGTAAGGCACGGACTGGCGTGGAGGCTCTGCCGCGGCTGCACGATCTGCGGTATCGCATGGTGCAGCGGGGAGTCCGGGCCATTCCGATTCAGCCGCAGTGGTGTGCGCTGCGGCCAGAGTCCTGCCTGTCTGCTTCTTAGCTAAGACTTGCTGAATCGAAGCGTGTTACCCTGCTACGTGGAGGAGAAGGACGAGCGACAGCATGTGACCTAACGCGTGTGATGAGGTCACGTGAAAAGTACCTGACCGTGTATCTTGGAAGTGTGACCTCTCTAGCCTTCTTGCAACATTGTCTTGGATATGGAGAAAGGATTATGTATTTTACCTCAGCGACAGTTCGCCTAAAGAACTTTCTGCGTTCCCGATGTTCTTGAGACCCAACAACGCCTGGCTGCGGCTGCATTGCTCGACCACTACTTGACCTTGGCCGACAATCTTGGTGCTATCTTTCTGGAGATAGATGCTTGATTGCATTCTGTGTGTGTTCATCAAGAGCCACGGGAATCTCCGAGACTCATCGACGAGGGTCATAAGCTATCTACCGTATTTCACCTGGGCTCCCTGATGATACTTGGTGCTGCTTTCCAAGACCTTGCGAACCCACTATGACGCTATCGTTGAGCTCATTGCATTCACAAACGATCGCGTCCCACTCCTCGCGTCGAGCAGGTTGTCGAAGACCGTATCCCCATCTCGCGCATACAGCAGCAGTTGGACCCGATGCCCGTATCTCCGAGCCCAGTCCTGGCAGTCTCAGAGAGGCTGGACGTCGTGTGCGAAAGCGGCAACGAATTCGGGGACGCCAGGAGGCTGTGCACTCTGAGCCCTTCGATGGCTAACGGTGGAGTCACCGATCGCCTGCACCATTTCCGATGATCTGTTGTCAACTCCAGCACGCCATCGGCCGCGCCTAGTGCGCCTGCGACTGGGGGGCAATGGAGTCGCACGAGGACCTCGGAGGCGTCTGAACCGAAAATGCCTTGGCGGTATCAGCAGAATTCGTCCCCGTGCCTGGGACTGCTCTCCATCCGGCATGTAAGACGTTGTAAATCGCATCGTTCGAGCGCCAGCCCTTACCCAGGGTAGACGTCGGTGCTGGTCCATCGCCGAGCCCCATGACGAGACCGCGTACATTTGCGGAATGCGTCTGGCGTCATTCATCGAGATCTTGACGCAAGAATGATAACTACTGGGATGGTCCATTGTATGACCAATATCCTGGTGTGGATCGGCACCAGAAGTCGAAACGCGACTCGAAGTTCGTATGGAAGGGGCAGAAAGACTCGATATAAGCCCGGTGATAATTGACAGATAGCGTTTAGGATCTCTAGGTATTCTATTCTTTTTTGTTGCTTGGTCTCGCAAGGATCAGGGCCACGGACAGCACGGCGGTGCCGAACATCATGCTGCCCACGAATATCTCCATCGCTGCACGAGAAAGCAAGGCAATGAGATCCACGACGATCAGACACAAGCCTCAAAGCACACGTACTGGTAAACCCATACCCGGCCCACGAAGCCGGGAGCACCGACCCGTTCTTCGGATGCAGAGCAGCAGAGATGAACGGCCCCGAGATCGCCGCGAGGCCCTTGGCCGCAGCGAAGAAGAAGAACGGGGACGACGCCTGGTCCGCGAACACATCTTTCGCTGCGGGCGGCCAGATTGAGCTGAACCCGCCGCTCTACCACCTCAGGTCAGACCGGGATCTTGTGACTGCGCACGCGCACAAGCAGATCGGACGTACCACACCGCCGAAGAGGATGGCGAACAGGAAGAGCAGGCCGAGGTTATGCGCATATCCCCATAGGACGAAGGCCAGCACGGTCGAGACGACGCTAGATCCCAGCATCGCAGCAGCATACGAGCCGCGATCACAGTAATACCCAAAGATAAGCTGACCTGTCACCAAAGAAAGAAGATGAGCCCTTTGTGTGTGTAAAGGCAGTTGAGGCGGACGGGGACTTACCAACGACGGTGGCCAGATTGAAGACCGTCAGCGCGAGGGTCCCATTCACCGATGAAAAGCCCAGTGACGCAGCGTATGACGGAATATACAGCGACACAGGGAAATACGCCAGACCCTGCACGAAGATCGCCACGGACTAAGTATCGCCGTATCAGCACGGGCATCAGCGAGTGGAATCGGACAGCGCACGCACGACGATGATGAACACCGGCGACCGGGTAAACTTAAGGTTCAACGGCGCCGGCGCGCTGTTCCGGACGACGGGCAGCCTCGGCTTTGCGCCAAACAACGCGATGCCGCCCAGAACGCCGACAATCAAAGCAAGCACCCTGAGCGTCCAACGGAACCCGAACCGCTGCAGCAGGAGATTGGTAATAATCGGGAACAGGGCCCCGCCAAGCCCGGAGCCCCCGAAGATGAGCGATCCGGCAAAGGCGCGTCGCTAGGAAGGTATGCGAACGGGTGAGACGGCAGCCGTGTGGAACTGGGACTAGTGCCGATGCGAACCCACCTCGACGAACCACTCGTTGAGCTGCGCAATGATGATCATCAGGCACAGAATGGGAAGCAGCGATCAAACGTACCCAGAACACGATCGGTCCGTAGAGCAATCCTCCTGCAAATCCATACACGACACCCTGCAACAAGACGAGCTGCCAGACCTGTGCGCGCGCGCATGTGTGTGTCAGAGAACGAGACGACTGCCGCAGCGCGCTGATCTACAGTACCTGTGTCGCGAAACTCGAGAGCAAAAGCGAGCCGAAACATGCTATCAGAGCAACGGTCATGAACAACTTGAACTGCCGCGGAAACCGCTGCGTGATCGTCATGGTGCCGAGCCCCTCGATGTACTGGATCCCGATGGTAATCGTGCCGATGGCGTTGATGGACGCCTCCGACGCGTCGCGGAACGGAGACTGCGGCGAGTTGAGGTAGAACTCCTGGAACACGCCGTATCTGGTGGTCGACGTGAGCAAAGAGGCGGGGGGCGCCGGAGTCGCGCGCACGCACGAGAAGGGGAAGCCCCAGATAAGGCATTCGAGGATGAACGCGGAGAAGATGAACGTCCACGCTTGGACTCCGCCGTCGGCGCGAGGAAGCGTACTACCACCGGCTTGCTCTTCGACGGGAGCTTCACCCTGCACGCGACTGTTTCGGGGCGCGAGGTCGCCCAGCTCGACGGTGGCCGACTCAGTTGTTGTCGCAGTGGCCATGGTGTGCTCGGAAGATAGAAAGAAGCGGGGTCTGGTGCCAGGGAATGCAGGTCATGACAGCGAAACGATATACGAGGTTAAGAAGCAGGATGCTTACAATTTTGATCGGTCTCAGACATCCTTAGATGAGATGAGATATGGTAAGAGCACTGCTACTTATAACGGTCGCTGTGGAGATGCACATTGGCTGCCCGTGAAGCTCTGAGGCTTGAGATAGAAGCCGAGCGGGTGTCGTGGGCTCAAGGTCCACGCCAGCGCCCACCGTCTGTGCACGGTCCATTCTGTTCAGGGAGACTCTCTTCGATCGTGACTACGTCATGTCGCACCTAATGTTCCGAATGGCGACATTGGGTGATGTACACAAGGACTCTTGGCCTATGAACGATAGGTTGACGATAAGAGTATTTTCAAACTCGTTTACATAACGCAAGCAAGTTTGAAGTCAATAATCAAATCGACTTACCTAACCCATTGGTCATAGTCACCGCTTCTACCTCGGGAGCCCCGGCCCAAACAGCGCCTGCTTGGACAAAAGTCGGCAGGCGCATCAGACCAGACCATGTACTACAACATGCAACACCTCCACACATACAGTACACTACATACTCCACCATTGACAGACTCGTGGAAAATTAGCTTCCATTGACTGCACGATCCCCGGCCACATGGCGGATCTTACATTTTCCCACCGCCCTGGATTGGCGAAGGGTTCAGGGCCAGGCCCAGACCCGACAGGCGCGATTTCATGTAAGTACATAGCGAGTCCGGCGCGGAGCAGCGGAACGCGTATCAAATACCCGCGACACCGCAAAAAGAAAAAGGAAGCCCAACTGGTATGTACACGCGGTGCGATGCGCACAATTCCCTACAATTCCATTGCCTCGGGCTGGGTATATGAGGCTCATAATGACAAATACATACAATATATACTTCTGAATTCGAATATCGGCAGCGCTCTCGCATTCACATGCACATTGTCGTTCACATTCACGTTCACGGGTTGCTGGCCACTCCCGGGAGTTTCCACGCTTCCTTGATGAGCTCTGCGCCTCGCTCAGCGATAATGTACACTTCGCCCTGAGGGTATCCAGCCACGGCAGAAGGCTGGGTGGTTGCAGTGAGCACGGACGAGAACACCCAACAAATGGACGGAGCAACGCACCAGGACGCTAGCGTCGATGACCCGCAGTCCTTTCACGCCTTTGACATGCAGCCTCGGGCTGACAACACCGTCCACATCGGATTCCTTGGAGATCTTTGCTGTGCTCGTCGGGTGCTTGAGGGTCGTGGCGTACTTGCGGGCGTAGGCCTCAAAGTCCGCGTCGGTCTTGAGAGCAGCGACTTCCGGGTACGTCGAGACGACCACACCGTCCCATTCGGGCTGCGACATGAACTCGATCGCTGCCTTCATCGACGCGACGACCGTCCCGATGTCGAAGTCGGTCGCAAAGTAGTTGGGATCAATCGCTGGGTGGTCCCATGGCGATGCCGACGTCAGGTTGACAGACCCACCTGGACGCAGCCAGTCAGAAGAATGAACGGATCTGAACGCAGAAGACGACATCCGGACTCACGAGACGTGGGGGACTGGACGACAACGCAGATCGAAAGGAAGTTCCCAGCCGGAACCGTTTGTCCGTCGTTCGGGTAGAAAGTGCTCTGCGATACCCATCAGAGGTGAGCGCAGGTGATTACGATGAAAAACATACCAGGAACGCCATCTGGAAGTGCGCAGATTGGGGCCCAGCGGCGGGGTCGCCATCAGCCAAGAGCGGAGAGTCTTCAGGCAGACGGACGAATCCGATGGTGTTCACCACAGTGTTGCCCGCGGCGGTGCCAGTCTTGTTGGTGGCCCACTGGACGACCGCATCTTCGGTGGCAACCGCATCAGCCAGGAAGGAAGATAGCGTGTTGACATCGACCTCCCATTGGAGGGCAAGAATAGTCTGGTCCTGCAGATTCTGTCCAACGTCCGGATGATCTACGATCGTCTCGATCCCGAACTTGTTGAGCTGCTCCGAGGGGCCGATCCCGGACAGCATGAGCAGCTGCGGCGTGCCTACGGACCCCGCGGACAGAATGACTTCCTTGCAGGCCGTGAAGCTGTAGCTCTTGACTGGACAATCCAATGAGAGTCGGCCCGACGGGAATAAGAGAGACATACATCCAGGACCCTTCGAGACCTCCACAGTCGTGAATGTGTTATTCGCCTTGCCAGGGGTGGGCACGACTTTGGTGACATGACTGTGCAGAAGCACATCCAAGTTGTGCCGCGAGTTGAGAGCCGGATGCAAGTAGGCGTTGGCCGAGTTGCTTCGGCTGCCTTGCCCGACAGTGGTGGACAGCCAACCTAAACGCCAGATGAGATGACACTCTGTTGCGATCCGAGTCGGAAAGCACACGCACCGAATCCGAGCCCGTCGCCCGAGTTCAAATCCAAGTTGAATGAATAGTTCTCAGGGTGCGCGTCGACAACCTTCATGATGTTCGTGTCCGTCGGAAGAACGGTCGCGGTCAATCCGGTGAGCAGAGGACCCCAGCCATGCGCCGAAGGATCGTATTCGCCCACATTGGAGCGATTGTTCCAGGGCGGCGAGTGGGCCTCGTTCTGTTCCCCAGCATTAGAACAGGCAAGTGAAGTTCAGGAGAACCGGCACGCGCCATGAAGATGTACGGCTCCAGATTGTCCCAGGTCCAGTTCGGGTCGCCAGAGACATTCGCCAATCGGCTGTACTCGTCCTTGGGACCTCGGAAGTAGATCAGGCCGTCTGCGCTGATTGGTCAGTAGCTGTTCTGTTCCTGATGACGCGACGCACTCAGCGCTGCGCTGCCGCCTAGGGTATATCCGCGGGGGTATCCAATCTCCCGGCCGTTCAGCCCCGGTTGGGCGACTGTGGTGTAATCTGTCGCGAAAACCCAGTCAACGACAGAGCCCGGTTGCAGAAAGGCGACCGAACGCACTCCAGTCGTATATCGTCCCGACGGCAGAGCCGGCCAACAGGGGGCAATAAATCGACGCGGACTGCGTCCCGTTGTCTCTGAAAACCGCACGGCATTCGCTCAGATACCGCGCGCAACAACAGCGGGAGGACTCACGGTACGCCGGCCTCGATCACGAGCACGCTGCCTGTGCCGTACTGCGACAGACGCGTCGCGACGACGCCGCCCGCGGTGCCGCCCCCCACGACGATGAAGTCGTAGTGCTTGGTGGGCGGGATCTGCGAGGGGTGCGTGTAGAGGGTGCCGGCCCGGGACGCAGGGGCGAGGGCAAGGGCGAAGGCGACGGTGGAGATGACGAGGGAGCGGAACGCCATGGCCAGGAGCGGGGGTGGAGTGGGGGAGGGACTCTGCGCAGATTCATAACGCTGCTGGCGACCGAGTTTAAATATGCAAGCAAACGAGAGCCGCCGCGGTCCGGCTGATTCTTCCACCTTCGTTGGCGCTTCTTGGTGGGACGACACGATCTATTCCAGAACAGACCATCAGACGATTCAGGCAGAATGCGACCAGACAAGTGTGGCCCAGTGGGCGCAACACGATTCGTGACGCGGCGAAGCGGCAGAAGAGCTGGTACCACATGATCTCATCAATCGCGTAGGATGAGATAAGCAAGTTGAACTTTGCATGGGCAGATGCTTGCATGATACTTAGCCTGGAGGAGTACAGGACCGGTCCGAGTCCATAAATCCAGGGGCAGTAGGTACGTTCGCTGCTCCCTGTCAGTGACTCTCTATTGCGCCGCACGTGGGTATGTAGTGCATGCCGTCGCGGAATTTACGGAAAATTGGGGAGGCTCGGAGGAAATGATGTCAGTGCTCCCGCTCTCGCTTGTGGACGGTTCTGTTGCTGCATTTACGTGAGTCCATTGGGACCATTAATAATAAATTAATATTCGCGTCGGCCAGTGTCGGGTTACTCTGGTACCTGGACCATTTCTTATCGTATATGCATCTTGTGCTTTCGGGGACATGGCATGGTCCTACAATGTACGGCTCACGATTACAGACTATATACTTGGAAAAACGAATGTAGGGTATCTGATTCCCGTGCCCGACACGTACTAGATCGACGGGCTGTTTTTGTGTTGTCCCGATTCCTGGGGCGAGCGTTCAGAATTCCAACCACAAACATACATATCAGCGGGTGGACCTACCAAATCGGTGACCGTCTCGACAATCGTGTTGATGTGGACTTTCTGCGCAGCGGAGGGATCCAGCGTGAATGTCCTTCGCCAGGCCATTTCATGAGACTGCGTGTGATCTATGCTGCGCGGCTGCTGCGCGAGGGCAGTGCTCGCACTCAGGCTCCTGTTTCTCGTTCTGGCATTCAACGTAACCACGAGCATGATGGTGTAGAGCTTCCCGAGCATCAGGGCCCTGCAGTCCGTAATGAGGCTGTGCGACCGATAGCAAGAAAAGAAAGAGGACACGCACGGAGTCTGGTGCAGATTGTTGCCCGAGAACAAGATGAACAGGGTCACATCGCAAAGGGCGACTACGGTGGTGACCAAGCCGGTCTCGACCGTGTTGAAGATAAGCTTGGTGATCAGCCCGTCGGTACTCTGCCACGGCGTCCGCTGACGATACTGCCCGAGCTGGGCACGGATAAATTGAGTACCGGCGCCCAAGAGTAGAAGAAAAGGACCGACGATAGCAATGAGCGTAAGCGTGATTGTTACATCGCAAACAGCGCTTCCGATGAGCCAGACCTGGGCGACCATCAGGGTCAGTCGACGAGATAGAAGAACGGATAGCACGGACTTTGACCCCGTCCATCAGGCGCGAGATCTCAGTGAGCTCAGTCGTGACCGCGAATCGGGCATCGCTGATGATGGCGGCGAGGGACTGCATCAGGGCGAGCTGTCAAAGAGAATTCAATATCATGACCGGAAGATGGCAGAGTGTATGCACCAAGGCGATCAGAGCCGCGATACACTTTCCCCAAAGAGCATCTCCTTTGAGAAGCAGGATGCGACGGGCAAAGAACAGCTGCACAGCGCATGATGCTTGTGAAGTGTCAGCCTCGGTAATCTCGGCGCGAGGAAGCACCCACTGATCCCGGTGAAAATGGGCGTGGCCAGGCTCGACCAGGGCAGCTTCACGAACACCTGCGGATTGCCCCACCCGAAGACAAGCAGCTCGTACACAAAGTGGCTCGTTATCGCCGTCTGGATGACCTCCAGCACGTAGAGCGAGTACACTTTTTGACTGAGATCAGCGATTGACAGCACGGCGTTAGTTGGACATATCCCGACCTAGCATCTTGATCCACAGTCGTTCATTCGGGAAGGAGACCGTGAATCGATCTGGGAAGGCCGCAGAATGAGGCAGCGAAAAGCACGGACAGCTTGCGACGCACACACTTGGAGCGTCAAAATACCCAAGAGCGCCCAATTCCCCTGGGTACCAGCCAACTGTGTCACAGCGGTGAGTAGCGCGCCACAGTGCGTAAGAGGATGTGCACACCATGGGGGCCGTGCTTTTAGATCCGGATGTAAGTTAAACAGCTCAAGCCAAGACGCGCGAGGAGAGAGGGACGCACAATAGCACGAACTGCGACGAGTTGACTGCGCCCGGTGGTGTCGACATCGCTGACTGACTTGAAGTATCCTGTAGTGGGAATCGGGATAAATACGATCGAAAGCAGCAATCGTTCCGTCGAGTTATAAGCGGGAAAAAGGAACGCGCGCTTCACATCTCGTACGCGTCCCAACTGTCCAGCACTCCCGCGGTACATCGTCCCATGCAACGATGGAAGTCATACACATGCACACACAGGTTCCGGAAGCCGTATTGGTCCCGAGGTCGGATTCACGGAAGTTGGCAGCTCACGCAAGGAATCCATCACAAGGTCGGTGATGCGCAACAATTCCTACCTTCGCAAAGGCAGAAGATGCGCGACATAAATTGAGCCTTACTGCACACAACAAGTACAGCATGAGCGCCGTCCCAGAGTCCAATTGAGAGACAAAAGCGCTCGCCATTCGAGCTAGGTCGGGTTGCCTCGGCATTCAAAGCGAAGCTTCGGCGAGGGTCAGAGTCCAGAAGTGTTCCATTAGCCGAACATTTTCTATAGAACCAGCGCCAGATGTGGCAAGTGCAGTGTTGCCGAAGGAAACCATCAGAAGACGAAGAGAGCGCCAGGCTATAGGCCAGGACTCGAACTAACCAACACGGCAAGTTCGTTTCGCGTGGGTATAAGTGACACCGTGCACGCAGGAAGAAATGTAGCTTTGTTTGCGAGATAGATGTCTGCGAGGGAATGTCAGGCGCATCTCGTAGCGCGTGGCCCTGCTTTCGAATCCAGTCCCGAGTCCATGGGGGCCCGGACTGGGGTAATTATCGTCGGTCTCGTCGGTCTCGTCGGTCGGATGAGGCGAGTCCGCATTGGTCGCCGGCGGCCGCGGCCGTGACCGTAACTGAGGCACTGATGCCGTCAAAGGTACACGTATACACACACCCGTGTGATTGATTCTTTGCTTGTCGCTACTCTCTTCCAGCGCCCATCTCTTCCTTGTGAGTACGATCCTAATCGAGCTTCTCTGATGTTTCATTGTAATTTGCGTTCGATTTGCTTGCTCTGTCCCAAAATACTGCTCGCCAGCAGTCCTGGGGCAAGCACGATGAGACACTTACTCTTTCTGATCTTTCGCTCACTTTTCCATCCTCCCCGACACGCCTGGGACTTCGTGACTAATCATCTTCTCAGGTTTCCCCCATCTCTCTCAGAAAGACGTGAGGTCTTCTATATCCACTGTATAATACCATCTGTCTGAGCTCTGTATCTACACTAGAATTTTGTTTTTATCCCGGCCTCCATGCCTTCCGATGATGGTACTCCGGCACCTTCTGGCTTGCTCGCAACCCCGATGGCTATAGACGACAACAACCTAGCCGCCTCTTCCTCCACCTCTGCATCTGACCCCGTCCCCATCCCTTCCGTCCCATCCTCATCCGATGCACCCACCGTTCCCGACTTCAAAGTTTACAAGCCCTCATCATCCAACGCGCCTCCCCTCCGTGAGAAGCGTAATCCATCTGCCAGCTAAGCGCGCCCTGAAACGACCCACAGCCGTTCTCCCTGATGAGTACTTTACACCCACCGCCGCGGATCTGCAATCCGCCCAGGCTACGCTGTCGTCCCGCACGCAAGCGCTCAACGACGCACCGCTGCAGTTCCGGGCCGAACGGGAGGCGGCGGCGAAAGCGAAGCGGGAGCGGTGGCCCTCGGTGAGCTTCTACAATCGTTACCGCGTGCTCGTGTCTCGATGCTGAGCGCTCCGTTGTGCATCGGCAGACGACGATCCGGATCCGGTTCACCGACCGCACGCAGCTCGAGAAGGTGTTCCCCTCCAGCAGCAAGATACGCGCTGTCTACGCCTTCGTGCGCGGATCCCTCCGCGAGGACGTCAAGCCGTTCAAATTCGTGCTATGTACGGTACGCTCTCTGTTCCCCAAAAGCGGGTGTTTCTGACGCGCTGTGCGATGCAGACCAGCCCCCGAAACGCGATCTCAAAGTTTCCGATGTGAAGGTCCGCGATCTGACGCTGGCCGACCTCCAGCTCGCGCCGGCGTCCGTGCTCCTTCTGCGATTCGAGGATGCAGATCACGAGTCGGAGGCTCGGGCATTGAATGGTGCGCTACTATTCACATGCACGACACCAACTGTATGAGACTCAAGCGAACGATTAGGGATATCGGTTGCGGCACCTCTGGCACCCGAAATCATGCAACATGCCATCGACCTGCCCGCTCCCCCGCCAGCCCAAGCCAGCACCACCAACACCACTTCAGCCAACCTCGCGGCCTCCGCATCCAAGGCAGCGGCGAGCATCGAGAAGAAGATACCCAAGTGGCTCAAGATGGGCAGTACGTCGTCTCCCACTTGCTTGGTTGCAGTCCCAGCAGCTCAATGTACCCCCAGAGAAGTAACGCCCCGTAATATATCATGCAAAGTGGACACCGATGTCATGGAAGGCGGCCAGCAGTCTGGGGAAATTTAGTACGAGATCGCGAGGACCATTGATACAACACACTTGAGCAGATCGTCGATGTCCATCTTGGCTGCTCTTTTGTCGGTATAGCTCGACTCCGTGAGAGTATTCTCTATCCTTGCTTTCATATTCACATCGTCCTCGACCATCTGAAGATGCCGTAAGGTGGGTAAGAAAACAACTTTGAGTGAGGACCCGCCTTGTCGGTCTCAGCGCACCACGTCCGCCAGTTCTTTTCCAGCATCTCGATCACGCCCTTCGCCATGAAGTTGCCGTGGACGGTCTTGTTCCGCCGACTGAAGATGATGCGATTGAGCCCGTCGAACTCCTCGAACTTGACCGGGGGCGGCGGATCGCGCAGCGCAACACGCACAACGCTGCTCTCGACCTTGGGCGCCGGCCGGAAGTTGTTTTTGCCGACGTTCATGATGTGGTCGACTAGGAGGATGAGGACGTGGCTGTTGCGCGGTCGGAGGGGTCACCCACCTTTGGCGTACATCTGCACATTCGCGGATAGTCGTGACCACAGGTCAGACCCCGGCTGCGCGACCAGTCGGAGCGCAAACTCGCGCTGGAACATGAGGATGCAGACGCGGGGCAACGGCCGATGTGAGAGTAGTCGGAATATCAATGGTGATGAGATCTGGTACGGCGTGTTGGATATGCAGATGTCGAAATACGGCCAGTCCGCTTTGACTGCGTCTCCGATGATGATCTCGAGCTTGCGCTGCTCCGGCCTGATATCGATTAGACCCTGGCTTTAGGTGCACGATTAAGTTCACGACGCACTTTCCCTGCACTCGTTTCGTCAATTCGGCCGCCATGCGTGGATCGAATTCGACGGCGGTCACTGGCACCGAGATCATTCTGGTTTCGGGGAGAGCGGAATTGCACAACACACCGTGTTTTGCCTGTTCCAGGATCCTCATGGTCAGATTACCCGTCCCAGGTCCAACTTCGAGGACTCGGTCGGTCGGCTTGATCCCAGCCTTGTCCACAATCCTTAATTATGAGGTCATTGTCGATCCTCTAAGTGCACCAGACATGACGGAGAGCACGGACCCTTGAGCTACGAGCGGATTTTTGAGAATATGTTGGCCAAATTGCTCCGTCTTGAAGATCGGGTTGCGGGCGGCCGAGGAAGATGAGCCCGCATCCTTGGAAGATGATGACGAGGCTTTTGCGGATGGCTGGTGCGCGCGGTGGAACTTGTCGGTCGTTGCTCGAGGCATGGATGAAAAAGTTACAAGATGTCAAATCCGTGGCAGTGCCTGTCATCGAGGATTGACAGCCCAGCGTGTGGGCTCGGCTTCGCTCCTCCGAATCGTAGCTTGTCAATATGTACCAACTGTTCTTCCGCTTGTCTCCATCTCACCTTTTCCCCCTTCACGAGTCCACCCATGTCTGCTGCGCCAAACCCCGAGGCCGGTCTGCCTCTCAACTCGGATGTTGACGCGGAAACGGTCGCCACGAAAACGTCGCGACGCACGTTATGGGAGCATCTCGACACGGAAGTCGATCCGTCGCAAGCCACGGGCCCACTAGCCGCATTCTGCTTCATGACTGGATACATGCAAGTCTATCCGACGCCATTCCCTGCAGAGTCCGTGAATGACCACTCTACGTCGGCAGCGATGCGATCTCGTTCACGGCAGTCTTCGTCTGGTGCGGGTTTCAAACCGGCAACTTTGCCCAGGTGAGATGGAGTCCTGCGTATCTGAGAAAACGGCCGCGCGAGTTGCATGTGGCCAGCAGCTTCCCAAAGTGTGATACCACATTGGACCGGCTTGCACTTATCTCGTCTTCCTGATGTTCCTTTCTCATGACACCTAATCCGATGCAGCTTGCTCTCGCCTTGGCACGACTATGGGAGACGGCACCCTCTGGCTCGGGGCATGATACCAGCTTCCACATTGCAGACCGACAAGCTCTGACGTCCCTGCTTGCTTTCAACGCCGGCGCATTCTTCGGTCGGCTGGGAGATCGCATCGGGCCTCACAAGCGCAGCTGGCTAGTCGGTGCGACATTCGTGCAGATTCTGCTCACCATGGCTGCTGCCTTGACCATCTGGAAGAGCGGACAGGGGAGCATCGCTGCCGAGCGCGGCACTCCCAGTTGGAGCAACACCCTCACTTTCGTCGGCCTCGCGTTCATGAGCGCGAGTTTGGGGGTCCAGGGGATCGTCGGGAAGCGCCTGAACACGCAATTCACTACGACAAGTATGTGCGATGGTGGGATTCTTCTCGTGTCATGCTCAGCTTTGATGCAGTTGTTCTGACCACTGTCTGGGTCGAACTCGTCACGGACCCCAGCCTCTTCAACCTCCGCAAAAAAGTCATCACACGCGACCACAAGCTGATTGCAGCCGCAGGGCTCTTTCTTGGCGCATTCGTCGCGCGCGCGATCCTTGCCGCCATCGGCGCTGCTGCCGCACTTGGTATCGGCGCTGGTGTTCGCGTCCTCATTATGCTGGCTTGGATAGTCATTCCTGGAAAGCCTGCAAAGCATTGATGTTATTTTCCTTGGCCCCCGTCTCCTAGAGTAGAGAATGAAGCATTGTCTCCATTATATAGCATTTTCTACATCCATCGCTACAGATGACATACCCGCAATTCGTCGTTGAATCAACCTGGGTAGCAACTTAAACACATACAAAATCTCGGGTATCGGAAATACTCACCGAGCAAACACATCCAACGGTCCATCCACTGGTGCGGTGGAGACCTCAGGCTGCGTCCCTGTGTCCTGTCCGTGCTGGTCGGCGTCGTAATTGCGTAGGGGAACCCAGCTACTCAGAGGATTCGTCCCCGGCTCGAAGCTTGCCTCGGAAACATACAACAGCAAACCATCCGAAGCCACCTGCGCGCTTTGCGTGGCAGTCAGCTGCAAGCTTTTGGGCACGTCCACTGACATCCCTTCCTCCTCTGATTCAAGGACCGGAATCTGGACAGATATGGCACGATTGCACCGTGCCAGTGGAACAATAGCCGTAGCTAACGAGGACATGCTTGTGTCTGCGTGGTACGGGATCCCAGCGAACGTTGTCGGATATGGGAAACGGTAGGCAGTGGACGGCGATTGCTCCAGCCCTCCACTTGCTTCTGCGTTATGTCGGATAGAGGGCGGGGATGAGGAAGGCAACTCTTGCAATCGAGTATCCCTCCACCAGAATCTAAAGACATGAGGTACATCGCCTTCAACTGATGAAACACCCACCTGAAAGGCGTCTCGCAATCTCCGATGTCTTGCCCTTTCCACTTGATGACATCCAGAATGTGCAAAATTCCGTTTTCTCGCCAGTTCCCATCAAGGATGCAATCTCTTCAAGAAGTCTGAGCACATTCAAACAGCCACAAACCGAAATCAGCTCACAGAACCGTCATCGGAGGGAGCGTGGACGGAAATCTTGGCATGAGTAGCTTGCCCAACTTCCTGCTTCGAAGAGCCGTGTTGGAGACTGGCCGAGCCCTGGTAAGCTATCTTCAACTAGCAAGAGTGCTATCAAATACTACCTGTGCCGGGAACACCCAGAGACTGATCGGTCACTGCGAGGCATCGTTTGCCCACCGGAACAGGAGCCACTGTAACACAAGACCTCAGCAGAGGCCAGAGACAGAAAATCAGGCCAGGAAGGGATACCTGCAATCCAAGCTGTTTCCAGATCGTCTGGAAGACCGTCCCCCGTGGCAGTGCTCCACACAGAACGCGTCCCATCTTCGCTCATCTCGAGCAGCTCGGCGTACATGCACTGATCCGCCCACTGATTCTGGTGACTCGCTGCTCGCGCGGACGGATGCGCAGAACCCGTGCCGGCCCTGTTCTTGCCCTTGCCCTTGCCACGCTTCTTTCTGGGCTTCGTCGTGCCCGACATCGGCACATCAACGATCTCATCAGGCGCAGTTTGGGATGGGAGAAGCGCTGCATAGGCAGCGACCCCGGTTCGCACGATGCCGTCCCCGCCCCCGTCGTGCTCCTCCTCGTCCTCGGAGTGTCCAAGGCTGAGCCCGGCAAAGCCGTCAAGCTGCCGGGACGCGTCGACGCGTTCAGCCCGTTTCTAGATGCGGAATCGGAGCAGCGCAAGCAGATCGCGTGAGAAGGAGGCAGATTTGTACGGGTGCATATGCGAAATCGATTAACGGTCTACATGAGGACAGCACGTAACGAGGGGGTGCATACACGTTTCTGTTCCTCAAGCGCCTGGGCGTAGTCAGCACCACAGCGCACAGACGGTACGACGAGGTAAAGGGGGGTACCTTTCTCCGCCGGAAGTCTTGAGACTCGGCGGTCGGTGGCAGCTTATACGTGACCCGTCGATCTTTCGACATCGGGGTGGTGGACATGAAAGACACGGAGCGCTAGCGGGCCGAGATGCAAAGCTGCACAAACAGATTCTGAACCTATGGCAGCTGTGGGCGTGTGCTTCAAACGTCTGAAACCGCGATCCAAGATTCCAGCTCCAGGTTTCACGCGTCACCGGTTACCGGTGGCGAACTCACGATCGAAAATACCTTACTACTTATGAGAAACGAGGAGAGACACGTGATCGCACCAGAGATGATGAGGACCGAATGTTGTTACTATAGTACTCTGCTATATTGGCTAGACTCCTGATAGACTCGCCAGACTGAGTTTAAATGGGACCGAATTTATTTCGTTTAAATTTACAAGAATTCCTCTATATCTACGCCTCGGCAACACCGAGCTCCTCTTCCTCAGCGATGAGGCGCTCAGCCTCCAGGGCTGCCATGCAACCACTGCCAGCACTGGTGATAGCCTGTCGGTACCTCTTGTCCTGGACATCACCGGCCGCAAAGACGCCCTTGACGGAGGTCTGCGTTGTTCCTGGTACGGTGACGATGTACCCGTCGGTATCGGTCTGCAGCTGGTCGCGGACCAGGTCGGTCGCAGGTTCGTGGCCTGGGCGACACATCACATCAACAACCGTGCAGATGAGCCACACAGCACGTCTCGCTTACCAATTGCGTAGAACAATCCATTGACGGGCAGCGTCTTCTCCTCGCCCGAGACGACGTCCTTGATCCGCAGGCTTTGCAGGAGATCACCGTCCCCAACACATTCAGTCGCGACTGTGTTCCAGAGAACAGTCTGCGGGGGGTGGGACTAGTGTGAGAATGCGATCATTTCAGGAGACAAGAGCACGCGCTCACGATCTTCGGGTTGTTCAACAAACGCTTGGCCATGATCTTCGAAGCCCGCAACTCGGCTTTTCGAACAAGAACGTAGACGTGCGAGCCGTACTTCGTCAGGTCTGCAGGGATTGGTTGAGCCGCGCCCAATTCAGGAACACGAGACGACACGCACAGGTAGCCTCCTCCGCGGCCGAGTCGCCCCCACCAATGACCGCCAGAGGCTTGTTGCTAGGCCGGATCAGCGCCCGCAGTTTCAAGCTGGTAGCACATACCGGAAGATGGGCACAGCGCCGTCACATACGGCACACGCACTGATCCCGCTCTGCCAGTAGAGGTCCTCGCCCTTGAGTCCCAGACGCTTCGCGCTGGCGCCCGTGGCGATGATGATCGTCTCAGCTGTCTCGGGCTCCTCGTCTTCCTGCATCTCCCTCCAATACCGGAAGGGTCGCGACGAAAAATCGATCTTCGACACAGTCTCCGTGATAATCTGCGTGCCGAATCGGATAGACTGATCCCGGAATTTGTCCATGAGCTCAGGGCCCATGATTCCACTGGGGAAACCGGGGAAGTTCTCGACTGCCGGGAATGGACGGTCAGCTGGAAGAAGAATTGGGCAGACAGCATGGTAACGCACTGTCGGTCGTGGTCGTCAGCTGCCCTCCCGCTGCGAAACCGTTCGCCATGAATCCTTCGAACAACACGGGGTTGAGGTTGGCACGCGCGAGATAGATGGCGGCGGTGTGTCCTGCAGGACCTGAACCGATGATCACCTATTCATTCGGCGAGCAGCGTCAAATTCATCGTCTCCGCTACAAAGTAATGCAGACAGACCACTTTGGAGTGCATTTTAGTGCTCTTCTCTCCGGCAGGCATGGTGGATATTGATAGATATCGCTTTGGTGAATCGGGGCTGTTAAGGCTGGAAATGGGAATCGACAGCGACCCTAGGATATATGGGCGGAGGGAGGTCCGAAAAATTCGATGAATCTTCGATGAGAGAATGGGTGGATGAGATAACGTCTGCACGTGACTCTGACTGATGTTCTTACCCATCCGAAAAGGCCGATGCCTCGCGCGTCCATCTGACGGAGGTGGACAAGCGAGGATGAAACCATTGGCGGATGGTTACTTCGGCGCCCATGTCCGATGGGTTCAAGAAATATAATGGACGAAGGGAGCAGGAGACGAGGCCAAGACTGTGTCAGAGGCTGACGTGGGCGGGCTGACTCGGGGTTTTCGGGCCAGTTCAAGGCCGAATGCCGAAGAGGTCATTAACGACATCAAAGACGAGTGTGATACGCCATGCTACGTTCGCTGTTTAGAGCGATCCAAGACAAAAAGAATGTCGGATTTTCTGAGTATGCTAATGAGTGTGCGCTAGTGTACAGACCAGTGGAATGAATGTGACAAGTGAAAGAATAACATTAAGGTGCTGCCCATGGGACCTCGCCTAGCTTCGGCCTCCTCGCTCTTGGCTTTGGGTTCGGGTCTGCAGACAGTTTCGATGCATACGATGGGCCGACGGTCTCCGAGGCGGTCCTTCGCAGTCTCTTCGGTGCCAGAGCAGGTGTCCTGGGCGAGTCGGCAATCGGCACGGCCGGTGAGCTTCGGGTAGGCTGATGAGATCCCCGGGCGACCGCTTTGAGAGGTTTCAGGCCGGGCTTCAGCACCGGAACAATCTCTCGCGCAAGCTCTCGGACCAGGACAGCCCCGTCTCGGCTCAGAGCCTCGACGACACCCAGCAGACCGTACCGTTCAACCAACATCGCCCGGTTTGGATGAACCTCGCACACCGTCCGCAGAATCCTGAGCAGATTCAAACGCACCACCGCCTTTTCCTTCGAGTGACTGCTGGCTGGCGCCAGTCTCTCTACGATCCGCTGGAACAAGCTGGGAGATCGTGACATGGCAATCGTCAAGGGAGTTGACAAGCGTGCGATCTTGAGGAAAGGGTCGAGGAGATTCTCGAATGAATTCGCTTTGGCCGTCGCGAAGCACTGCACCAGTGCAGCCACAGACGAAGCCGTCGTCAGCTCGTCCTCGACACGAGCCGTTTCGTCCTGCAGCCAGCTCAAGACCGACTCGAGCGCACTGACTTGAAAATACGGGTCTTCCAGCAGCTTGATGTACATCGCCAACCCATCGTGTTGCCAGAGGAGTGTCCGGCAACTCTTCCCGGCGCTCGCAAGATCACAGAGGATCGGCAGCGCGAACTGTTTCAGCGGCGAGCGTGTCTCGATCACCCGTTTCAAACAAGGGATGATCCCTGCCTGCGCAGCCTCCTCTTGCCGAGACTTGTTCAGCCGGCAGAGATTGTAGCAAGTCTGGAAGATGTGGTTGGCCATTTCTGTGCTGTGAGGGCCAGATGACTGTTCTTCCAGAATTCTGACCAGCACCTCGATGGCATTCGAGTTCTGAAGCACCTCCAACAGAGTCGCATTCATCGACAGGTGCTTCACAGCCTTGAGCATCTGCACCAGACAATCAGGCTCCAGCAGCTCGCATGACCGCAACAGTCCTGGGACTCTTGAGCGAATTTGGCGCTGTTAGAACGAAAGCACGCACTTCTCACGACCTTCCTCGTTCCCAACGCGTTCCGCACATGGATGTCTGACTGCGATACTTGGGAAAAGACCAGCAAGATCTGAATGATCTTCATCTTGATCGCCTTTGCGGCCTCTCCTTTCGTGTTGATCACATTCAGCAGCGCCGCTGACAACGGATCGAGCAGACCCGCACGGATGAACATCCGGCAAAAGTCGTTCTTCGTCGTCGGACTCTGCAACTCGAAGACACTACCTATCCCGTTGAGCGCGTGTTGCACCAAGTCTGCTTGTTCGTTGTAGTCTTCGTCAATGAGATCTACGAGCACCTTCAGACCGCGACAGCTGAGAGAAACAAATCAGGCGGAGAACGACCGTGAACGCAAACAACGAACGAGATGAACATCTGCAGCGTCATCACAGACGTGTGACACAACAGCCGGATGAAGTTGGAAGCCTCTAATCTGCACTCGGAAGGATACTTCTTCGACGTGAAATCTGGGAATTTCGGTATGGATCTCAGGCGACAGCGAGTGAACTCACTCATCATGACGGGAATTCCCCTAGAAAGCATTAGAATGAACAGCAGAGACCTTTCGACATCAATACGAACCCAATCAGACAGAAACTCTCCAGAAAACCGGCGTCTGCGTTGACCAACTGCGAAGTGGTCAGAGTGATCTCGCATGAATCGGAGACACCACCGACCAAGTTGATGATTTGGAGCAGCCGCAAGCTCACATCCCTAGAGAACTTGCCTTCGAGAACCTCGAGGATGGCGAGCATTCCATGGGACGAGACAAGCTGTACCTGCATTTCTGGTGCTTCGGCCAGAGTGCTCAGCTGCACAAGACCGTCAAAAGAGGCCCATCAAAGCGGGGAAGAGACGGACCAGTTGATCACACGCTTCACGAAGCTGGAAGTCAGGTGCAGAGGGTGTAAGTTGGTCCACTAGTCCGTTCACCATATTGCACAATCGGGCATATTTGTCTCGCTGCAGGTTAGCCTCGAGGTCGTCTTCGGCAAAGCCTTCATCGATCTGAATAATACTGAGAGGTAATCCCAAAAACGGCAAAGAACAAATACCTCCGCGAAAGGATCGTCTTCATCCGAGTTATCATCACCGAGCCAAGAACGATTTGACAGCCTTGTCGTCAGCTGCAGCGCAGGAGACTGGTCCGAAGCTTGTTTTTCTCATCAGTGCTGCCCTCAAGCAAGTAAAACCACGCACCTGATCCATTGTGCTTCCCGAAAACATCCTCATAATCCTCATCATCATCTTCGGTATATTTACCTAGTTCAGATTCGCTGAGCAATTTCCGGGCTTCAGCACGGCCCATGGATCCTCCTAGACCCGAGCCGGAGCCCGCAAAGGAAGATGACCGCGAATGGGCCAATCGCGTCGGCGCAGGAACGGGGGCCACACTGGGCAAGACCGACGCAGAAGCTGGCCCAGGGCTGGTAGTCAACGGCTTATTCGTGAACAAGGGGCTAGGAGCAGGTCGACTTGGCTTGGGGTCGGATGTGGATCGATTGAACAGTCCAGTGACGCTGGGCGCCGAAAGCGGTCCTGGTGACCGACCTAGACCGAAAGTTTTGATGTCATCGGGGTGGAATAGACCTCCGCGACGAGTGGAGTTCTTCATCTGGCAGAAATGAGGAACTCCAATGCTTTAACAAACCCACTGTACGCACTTTGAAGTTCGCCACCTTGTTCTCTAGGGTGTCTTCGTCCTCTCCTCCAATGAGATCCGAGTAGTCTTCGAAGATATCCTGTATATCAGGCCCTGGAGGTTTCGCTAACGGTATCGGAGGCTTGGGCACAGGACTCTTATTGGGTCGGATGGTTCTCGTGTTCTCTTCAGAGGAAGATGTAGTGTTGTCGCCCTCCCCTGCTGCCTTCTCCAGCCCTGAAAGCTCAGCATTAGTACATGAACTCCCAGTCAAGCCGTGAGGACACACCCTGCAGTTTAGTCAGCGAGATCCCTTCTTCGAAGTCGTCATCCCAGTTGTCTGTCTGCTCTTCCGGCGGTTGAAGCGAAAATGTGAGTGGTTGAATCTGGATCTTTTCTGAAATGTTCTGCTTAGGAAGAGATCCAGACACCGCACGCCAGGCGCCCAGCGCGGAACCTGACAATGGAGAAGCTCCCAGGTCTCTTGTAGGCGAAACGGGCCGCCCATTCGCGCGCCCAGGGTTCTTGGAAGGCCGAGACGGTGCTGCGATCGTCAACATCTAGCGGGGATCCAGACTTGACAAGACACACATTTGAGCGCCTCATTCCACTCTTGAACTTTCAAGACTGCCTCGTCGTAATTGTAATTACTCAGCGGTCGTCTCTGTCCATCCTGAGCCCCAGGCCTTGCACTACGGCGTCGTTCTGCCGAGTCCTTTCCACCACCCATCCCACGGCGCGCGGCAGCCATCCAAGGATGTCGCAACAGCTTCTTCGCCGATATGCGCAGGTTGCTATCCTTTTGGAAGCAATGATAGAGGAAGTCCTTCACGATCGGGGATGCGCCTTCGGGTATTGGTGGACAATCATCCTGCACGATGCGGAACAGAGCAGGCATCGGATCCAGGGTGTGATATGGCGGATGTCCCTCCAAAAGCTCGATTACTACACATCCGACACTCCAAATATCCGAAGCTGTCGTGGCTCCAGATTGCTCGATCACTTCCGGTGCCATCCAGTAAGGGCTGCCGACAACGGCTCCATCGTTAACTGCCGTCGTGTTGCTGGCCACTCCGAAATCCGCCAGCTTCACGGTGCCGTCCTTGTTCGTCAAGATATTAGCGCCCTTGATGTCACGATGGATAACACCCTGGTCGTGTAGATAAACGAGCCCATCGAGCACTTGCGAGATGTAGACAGCGACCAAGCTTTCTGGAAACTTGCCGAACCGCTTGGAGATGGCGTGCAGCGAACCATTTTCACAGAATCTATGACCGATTTGAGATGAAACGGCTTGGAAAATTCGGTGGAAACGCACTCAAGTATGATGTACAGGTATTCCCGCGTCTTCACAAACCCCTTATACTTGACGATATTGGGATGCTACACGCTGAGAATCAGCCTGATCCGTAATCTTGTTCGAATCACCCACGTTGAGGTTCTTGAGCAAGTCGATTTCGGACTAGAAGGGATAAGGTGGCACACCGAGTAACTGCGGGATATGACGCACCATGATTTGTCCAATCTCGCCCTTCGGGATGTTCGTCAACTGAATCTCCTTAACCGCGACAGTTTCTCCCGTTGCCCAATTTAACGCCCCTGCATCGATGATCAGGAACAGAGGCGTGCTTGCGCGACACCTCACGCACGATAGACCTGCCCAAATGCTCCTTTGCCAAGGGAATCGCCCAGTTGCTATATACTGATTAGCTCGCCCTAGCAAGGGTCGCGAGATGCGGAACACACGTAGTCGTTGAGAGACTTCGGACCATTGGTGGGGCTTGAGCCAGAGTCCTTGCGAGAGGGCGGGCGCAACGGCGTCGACATGGTGGTAGCGAGTCAGAAAATTTGCTTCCGCTGTTTCCACGAATATCAAATTGGTTTCAGAGAGCGTATGGGTGTTTGGTCGTAAATCCTTTGGCAGCCAGAACGCGTCTTAGCAGAGATGTCGCGTCCAGCGCCGGAAGGTGGAAGAGAGAGGCTGTAACCTCCGGACTGTCCTGATGCGAGACACGTGCACAGCCACTGCTGTAATGCATTATGGATTGCTCAATGCGCAAGCAGCGTCTCTCCTCTTTGGCTGGTTGGGTGAACTCAGCGTGAGTTTATGTATTACAAATATACAAATTTCGAAGAACTTTCTGTATTTCATAAATGAACTCGAAGAAGATTAGAGGCTCGCATGAGTGACGTGACTTCGCGTCCTCCCTCTCGTTCGGATATCGCTCACGTTTGTGGGTGCACAGCGCGCCTTAATCCAAGCTCTCGTTAAAGTACGAGTATATAAGACTTGTCCTTATTAAACACCGTAAAGGTATCTTTCGCCCTCTCTATCAGCGGGGGCTGCAGCTCTCATGTGCACGCATTTGGACATAGCGGTTAACCCCCCAGAGAGAGAGCGTTTAGATGGAGCTGGAAGCACAATGTAGAGTCTTCAAGTAGCGGCATGTAGGGCTCGATACCGGACAGATTGACCCAGTGGATGTTGTCAAGACATTAGACAAGCGTCGAGACAGTATCTATCGTTGTTTGCCAATTGATGGCTGGACAAACTCTTCCCGTAGCTCCCGCTCTGCCACCAGGTAGCTTCACTCTGGTCAAGGCTGTTCTTATCGTCAGCACCGGAGGCTTGAGTACTTAGTCCGTTTCTATGTTTGTATGGCCCTCACACAGTCTGCGCGACACCCGGGGGCTCCTTCGTGGGACGATGAAGTTGTACCCGCTTTGCGCAAAAGTACCTTCCATTCTTCCTGTTCTCTACGTTATTTAACGTGTATCACAGGATTGGAAGGCGAGAGCCGAATGCTGTCGAGGCGAATCTCCGCCGCCGTCTCGATATCTTCCATAGAAGACGCCGATATAGCCTACCAGGCGCGACCATCGTACTCCCAGACCTCGTCTTCCGGACGCTCTGAGGCACCACGAATAGCACATTCCGACGTCACAACATCTACTCAGCGCGCTAGGACGTACTCTCAGCCCAAGTTGTCCGAGATTTCTACAGGGAGATTGAGTTCCTCCCGTGACCCCAAGCCGACGCGGATACCAAAGGCTACGAGAGGCCGAGAAGGAAGCATCACAACTGGTGGGGCCAGTAACAACACGTCTCCATACTCGTCGCCCCACGTCCCATCTGAAGGCTTCTCGGACTCACGCGGCAGGGATGACGCTTTGGTCATTCCAGCTGCCCTGGCGAATAAAGCATCTCATGACACGATCCATATTCCACACCATCAAACTTCGGGTCTGCTCAACGAACCGGCACCATTTGGCTCTGGCCCTTCGTCTGCCCACTCGCACGGCATGGAAGACGCGCCGCGACCGTCTGTCGATTCCGAAGAACGACCATTCGAGCATTGGTATCGGGGCGATGTGTCCCGAAATGGAGGTGTGGGCGAGCTGAAGGTCGGAAAGAGGGCGGAAATGTTGGAAATCGCTAATTATGGGCATACACTGAGGCAAAGACAAGCCCTGGCTGCTTCGCGCGAGGCTGAGCTTGCGACACCGCGGCGGCGAAAACGGTCAGAAAGTGCCGCGGACATGCGGCCAGGCAGTGTTTATCTCGACGAGGATCATGCAAACAACGTGGGCCGGGTGCTTGACGAGGGACCCCTCACAGATTTGGACACCGAGATGTCAGATGTGGACGCGACGATGCAGTACGGCCTGTCCGTCGACCATTCTGCCGGCGACCATTCTTATCGCAGCGTAACCCCCACACAACTCCGAACACCCACGAAGCAGACACGAAAGACGCGGATACCATCACCAACACCACCAGCCGTTCAACGGGGAGCAAGCGAACCACCTTCTGTGCCGGCTTCCTCCTCGTTGTCTCAGGCGGGGCGTCAAATCCAGAGCTCGTCGCGAGCCACGACAACTTCGCCTCCGCCGTCGGCAAAGAAACCACGTACAACGGCTACACCGAAACCAAAGCCGAAACCAGCCAAATCCGTGCGATCTAAGACTGTTGACGACTCGAATCGCAGAAGTGTTGCACATTATCCGTCACCTGGAGGTGACGATGAGGAGGATATGGCAGATGCGATCCCGTCTTGGACGCAACCTGTTAAGCCTGCGACTGGACGATGGGATGATGTGAGTGCTTTTGTTACGGGTGACGCGCTGTCGTCTCATAAGCCCAGGTTGTTCTGCCTGTCGTCGCACGTAAGAAAGGGTTGGACGGGCATTATGAGCAGGCGGATGGTAGTCCCAAACCCAAGACACAGGACTCGGCGATTGCACCAGTGCGTTTGCCAACACATTTCAGGATCCCTAGCTCACCCTTCCCAGGCGGCAGGTACCTTTGCCTGGGACCATACCAAGTACCGACCCCCTCGTGACGGCGATATACCATTGGATGAGTTTGGCCGACCATTGGACCCGGAGGCTCCGGATGGCGATACCCTGACTGATGATGCTCAATACCCTCCGAACGAACACGAACGCACCCCAGTTGGACCCAAGCAAACTACCCTCGAACCTCCCCGCAGTCCTGCACCCTTTTCGCATTACCGGGATCTGCCGAACACTGCAAATATGACCGCCGTAGCAGAACCTTTTTCAGCTCCCGCGCAGAACGAACCGAAGAGGCCGCCAGAAGATGAAGATGGAGCTGGCTGTTGCCAGTGTGTTGTTATGTGATGCAGAGTTAGTTATCTTTTCTGTGCTCTTGTTTTCTTTTTGCTTACCGGTCCATCCTACGGAATTTTTGACGCTCGTTTCATTTCCGCACGTATCCCACACACATTCGTTCATTGGATTATGTACCCATAAATACCTACCCTTCGGTTAATTTGCATTAGGTTATGGCGGTTACGCCCGCAACGTCTCGGTCCGATCCTGCGTACAATATGCCTCGGGGATGGCGGGTGACGTTGGTTGCTTACTGAACATCCGTCCCTTCCCGAGGACTGTCGGGGGTGACATTGACTATCCACCGAGTCGATGTTGGCATACCAGCGAGCACAGGCACTTCTTGAGCTTCACACCAAAGAAAATACCCAAGTCACTACCCCCCATGCAGTCGGAGGTCCCTCGACTCTGCCGAGCAGCTTGAAAGTTCATCTGAACTCTGCGCATTCACAAGCGCCCTTTAGTTTCTGGCCCGGCATTCCAAGGGAACTCAGATCAGGGCCATCAACGCATCGGATTAGAGTAGAACGCGGCTGGTTGCATACGGTGCCCAGGCGGTAAAACGGACGGCGAGACAGCGTATTGAACTTCCAGCTTGCTGTCCGTTGCTACAGTGAGTCAACTACAGACTTATATATTGTCAATACAAGTCCAACAGGGTCGGCAGATGTATAAGGAAAGAGTCCGAGTAGAGGCCCGAGTGCCAGTGTGATGAGTAGGTTCCAATGAAGGCCTTGGCGCTGATACTAATGAGACCGAAGGCGGGCGAAAGGCCCAAGTGAGGATCTTGAAAAATCACGTGCAGCATAATATGCTCCTCCTTCAATCTCGATGTCATGTCGTCGTCGCAAATCCAGACTCCTAAACCCTTATGAACACTATGGTCGCCTTTTGGAGCCCAACACTGCTTTGTCCGGCATCTTGTGTGGCCTTCTCATCTCGTCCCGTTGGCGGCCCGCTGTTTCGATCCCCACATGTCACCTGAGCTCCCCTGAAATAATCTCCAAGACCGCATGATCAACTTCTTCCATGAACACACGCCGCACCGAACCGAGCGATCCACGTTTGCCGCTCAAATACACGATCGTTGTCAGGTGGACTGCGAGATAAAACCAGGAGGTAGCGCGGGGCTGAGGAGGAGCGCAGCTGCGTGAAAGAAAATGTCGTTTTCTCGCATCTGCATCTTTCTCGGTCTGTGCCTGTGGACGCCGTCGCTCTTCGCGCTCTCGCCGCAGTTCTTTGCATGCCAGGTCCAAAAGCCCGCGTCACAGTCCCCGCTCTGCGGCTGTCCGACTGGCACGATCTTCGTGTCGGCAAGTGACAAGCGGGCCCAGTTTACCACAATCCAGGCCGCCATAAAATCTCTGTAAGTCTGCGCCTGTGTGCATTGGGGGGAATGATAGTGACACACACTAGGCCTGCTACTGGACAGGCGACAATCCTCATCGGCCAAGGCGTTTACAACGAAATCGTGAATGTGACGCGGACAGCGCCTGTCACTCTGCTTGTAAATCATAAACTTCCAAGTCCGGGTCGCTCGAGGCTTACTCGCATATGTTATGCTACAGGGGCAACTTCCGGCATCCGCTGTGCTGGCGGCCAAGCCTTTTGCCAACGCGTCTTCGCCAGACCTGAATCTGGTCCAAGTGTTCGGTTCCGTGTTCGACAAAACCGGTCAAGACGACGAGACCACAGCGGTCTTAGTGGTCGCCCCGAATCTCGCGTCGTCCCTCATCGGCGCCGGTACCGACGGTGCCCCGCTGCAGCCGAGCTTCGGGAACGTGGACTTCAAAGCGTACAACATCGACTTCCAGAACCGGGCGGTGAGATTGATTGACGTGCCCTGGCACATGCGCAGCCCGTGCTGAAACTATCTGCCAGGCCAATTTCGCGATCGCACAGGCACTTGTGACGGACATCTCCTACTCGAACGCATCTTTCTACGGCTGCACTTTCGCGAGTTACCAGGACACCTGGTACACCGGACGTAACGCCAGCACGTATGTTGTTGATAGTGTCATCTTCGGGCAGACAGATTGTGCGTGCATCAGCCCGTAGCCGGTGGTGATCCATACTTACTGATCGTGCCAGATTTGTTCGGCTTCGGCACCGCGTGAGCAGCCAGCGAACGGTTCTCAAAGCGAAGAGGCTCGACTCATCCCTGTTGCAGCTGGTTCCAGAATGTGATCTTGGCCAACCGGGCCTGCGGAGGTGGAATCGTGGCCTGGAAGGGCAACAACCAGACCTTTGCGCCTGGGAACCGATACGGGGCATACATCGCCTCCTCAACTATTATGCGGGCACGTATCGGGCAGCCATCATCTCTTACTCGCTCTGACCGCAGCGAACAGTCTCCGGATGCGAACGCGACGACTGTCACCAACGGCAAATGCGCCCTCGGTATGTGCCGGACTTCATTCATTCGCATGGCTAAGCCAAGCTAATGCACGCTACAGGCCGGCCCTGGAACGATCATGCGACGACGGTTTATCTGTCGACATTCATGGACGAGAGCATCAATCCTATAGGATTTATACCATTCTCTAGCAGCAGGTATGGCCCGGCGGATATTCGTCTTGCTGACAGCGCGATTACTCATGTGCGACAGGCCGACCATTATGAATACGACTTATTATGCCGAATTCAATTCGACGGGCCCCGGCGGGAACACCAAGTCGCGGGTGGGCATCGAGCACATCCTCACGGCCTCACAGGTCAGCAACTTTACGGTCGACGGGGTGTTCCTGGAGCACCCCAAGTGGATCGATTTCAACTACATCTTCTAGTAGTACTCGAGGACACGTGATAATACTAAATCAAAAAGAGTGGCGAGCTTTAACAGCTGTGTCTATACGTACTGGTTACATGGATAGTTCTGTGTCCAGACATTATTGCGCATAAGGCGTTTTGTCGACAGAGGCTATCCCATCGGAGCCCAACTCGTCCTGCTCGCGAAATTCAGAGCGGATGTAGTCTGCGTCCTTGGCCTTGGTGTCATCATCAACATCCTGCAGCAGGAAAGACGCGGGCTTGGACACTACCCGTGTAGGACTGAATGTTGACGGCGACACGTGGGTCGAGATCTGCGTCTGGACGAAGATCTGGTCCGTTTTTGCGCCGGCGCGGTTTGCCAGCTCCATGTGCTGGCGCTACATAGCAGGGCAAGTCAGAACGAGCTGAGAGCAGAGGTGATGTCACGTGACGTACGCGGGTGCCAGAACGGCCTTGGCGCTCAGACGAGTAGGCGTCCTGGCTTCCCTGCTCGCGCAGACGATACTCGTTGATCTGGTTCAGAGTGAACATCAACGACACGACGTAGGCCTTGCCCAAAGCCATGTTAACGAAGAGATGCCCTACGGCCGGTGCTTAGTCGGCGTCTGCAGGAGGCAAGAACGGAACTTGGCAACGCACAGAGCAACTTGTCCCCGAGGGTCTGGGTCATGATCAGATCCGTCGTGGCGAAGACGGCGGGCGGGATGGCGCCCTCGAAGACCAGGCGCAGCATGCGGTTGATCAGGTTCTTTGTCCGGTCCAGCCCGGAGTTGCGTTTCTGCAGATAGTAGATGGTGCCCCCGGTGATCATCACATCAGCGATGAAGACGCCGACAAGATGGACCTGAGAAAATCGATTAGTCCAAGGCCATGGATCTGTAAATGTCCACAAACCAGCAACCACGTGACCTTGGCCTTGGTCGCATTGGCCAAGATAGACGCAAGCGAGAGAGAAACACCGGCCAGGCCAAGGCAGATGGCGAGCAGAATGGGTATACAGAAGGCCCAGTTGCGCGACAAAAGGAAGAATCTGACCCCGCATCGGTCACTGATCTTGCACGAGGCAGGGAACACACACCTAAGACAGAAAAAGCCTTGGACGGTCGCACCAATGACACCGGTCTACAGTCATATTCGCGTCGGAACGGATCTCTCTCTGTCTATGAATTGAACCGCACCATCAGGGGCGTGCTGACCTGCCACCAAGCCGTGGCGACCAGCGTGCGCGCAACATCGGGGTTAGCATACTAAGACATCATCGCCCGGTGAGATCGGTCCAAGGAGCAGAGAGGAGAGGCGCCGCACATCAATCACATTCTGGACCCAGACGACAGCGATGCCCTGCGCTGTCTTGAGCATAGAGAGCGTCACCACGACCAGTACGAGCCAGTAATAGTACGTCTGCAGGGTCGCCGTCGAGCGTGTCCTTGTCCTGAAGAACGTGTACGTTTGACAGAAAATCACTCCTGGAGATTGATCGGACTCCGAGAACCACTGGAGGATAAGATGGACACGGACCCATCAGGATGCAGTCTAAAAACGCGCCAAGGACCCATGGACCAAGAGAAGTCGTCCGCGTGTCGACAAAGTGCTGGGAAGGAGGGACCAAATGAATGACCGAAGCAGAGCCTGACATGGCGGTTGAAGTGGTGGGGGTCCTCCGATGATGCACGCGTCGTAAGCTTTAAACAGACACGAAGAACCGAGGAGATCAGATAGCGGCATTTGCCAAAAATCAGTAGCACATGAGTACAGATTATGTACAGCAAAGATGGGTCCACCAGCCGAGCTCATCTTTCGAAGCTCGGGAGGACCTCCGGAGGTCTCCTCCTCGTTCATTCATCCCGTACGTCGAGAACAGCATCAACATGTCGCGTGCGGCGAAAAAGTCCAAGACTGCAGTCCTTTCTTGGACTGGGAGAAATTCGGAGACTCAGGGATCCCAGGAACCTAACAGTGATACGCGCTGTACGCTAGTTGAGCTCCCCGGCACCCGTGAGAGAGAGGTTACGGAATGGCGAGAAACAGAGAGTCTGTGAATGTGTGATGGGCTGATCTGCCCAATCACGATCGGTACGCATCCGAATACGGACAAGTTGAACAACTTCTTCCGTTTGCGGATTCTGATAGTGCATGCTCCCATTTCTTTGGCGATGGTTCTCTCGAGATCTCTGTTCGATTTGGGCCGGGCTCGCACACACGGTCCAGCCCATCCCATCCTACAAGTAGGCGTGTCAACATCATGAATCTTCGCCGCTTTCCTCGAGTGCCCCACCTCCCCCGATGTCCTCTACCATCGAAGAGAAAGTCGAAGCGGGCTCGAACAGCGAGTCGAAAGTCGAGTCGCGTGAGTGTCTCCGTGTGTGTCTGCGTGCGCCGCGCATCTCATCGTCCGCCGCCGACAGAGAGCTCCCCACCTAGCCTGCACAAGACGCACGAGAATCCCGACGGCCTCAAGCTCGACCGCCATGGGCTCCCCCTCATCCCCCAGCCGTCATCGGATCCATCGGACCCCCTGAACTGGCCCATGTGGCTGAAGATTGCCATCTTGCTCCAAGTCAGCTTCCTCGCTGGTCTTGGACCGCTGAACCAGGCCGTGATCAATCCCGGTGCGTTTGGCATGTCATTGGGTCTGTCTGTCCCGCCAACTGAATTCGCCTCCAAGCCTACGTTCCGCTCGCGGCGCACTTCCACAAGACCACAGTGGTTGCCAGGCACGTCATTCATTGAACTGTAGCATCCCCGCCGCGCTGACACGCAGCTTGCAGTTACCAGACCACGATCGCCGTACGTTATGTTTGGGTTTGGGGCGTTGTGGAGCTTGTCATGTTAATTTCCGATCGACTAGATCGCGTTTGCCGGTATCGGTTCCTTCCTATGGGTGCCTCTCGCAAACACCTATGGCCGTCGGCCGCTCCTGTTGTTCACTACGCTCCTGTCGGCCGCCTCGTGCCTTGCATCCGGAAAGGCCCAGACATGGAATCAGCTCATCGGGACTCGTGTGCTGAACGGTCTCGGCACCAGCTCGTTCTTCACCCTCGGTGCTGGTGTCGTGTCCGACTGCTTTTTCCTGCACGAGAGGCGCGTTCCGATTATTCTCCGTTGTTTTTGGGGTGCTAAAACAGTCTGTAGGGGTCGTGCGATGGGCATCTTTACCGTGTTCTTGGTGAGCAGATGGTCTCGTGTCATGCGTCAAGTGAATACTGATCGTCTATCAAGACTAACAGCGCCCATGTTGCCCCGATTCCCGGAGGTCTTCTGGCCCAGTATGTCAACTATCGGTGGTGCTACTACCTGGTATGCTTCTCTGCGCGTCTGGGTCTGATGACTGTTTCTGAGTGCCAATGCAGCCCGGTGTCTTGGACATGACACTCTTCGTCCTGATGTTCTTCTGTCTTCCCGAGACGCTCTACCAACGCGGATCGAAGCCCGTCGAGACTTCGCACCCCATCCTGCGCCGGATGAACCCCCTCGGGCACCGCCCCGAGGGCAAGCACCTGAAACTGGCCGACTTCGGGCGCCCGTTCCAGATGCTGATGTATCCCTCCGTGCTACTCACCGCGTTCTACTACGGCGTGACCTTCGCGTTCGCGTCGATCCTGCCCTCCGTCACGTCCGCCACGCTTTTCCGGCTCAAGCACCACTTCACGACGTCGCAGACGGGCTTCGCGCTCGGCTTCGGCACGCTCATCGGCTCGACGCTCGGCGAGCTGGCCGGCGGACTCGTCATCGACCGGACCATGCGCAACAGCCGCAAGAAGGGCGGCGAGGCCGTGCCCGAGGTCCGCCTCAGCGGCATCTGGCCCGGCGTCATCCTCCAGCCGGTCGGGCTCCTGGTCTGGGGCTTCTGCTGGCAATACAAGACCCACTGGCTCGGCCCGACGTTCGGGTTTGCGATTCTGTGCTTTGCCATCCAGATTGTGGCCACTGTGCTGTACTCCTACGTTGCCGATTGTACGTCTGCTTCCAGGGACCTTTGGAGGCTCAATCCGCTGACTTAAGATGCAGGCTATAAGCCCCAGATGCCCGAGACTGCGCAAGTGTACAACTTCACGCGTCAGATCTTTGGGATGACGCTTGGCTTCTGGTCCATGTACGACGCTCGCTTCGTTCTCCTCTGTTCTCGATACTGATGAATCTTGCAGTCCCATGGGTATGAAGATCGGATTCCAGTTCATGGGCCTTACTCTCGCGCTCGTCGGCCTCGTCTTGTTCCTGCCTGTCGTCTACCTGATGTACCACGGTAAAGCCATGCGCGAGAGGCTCGGCCAGCCGAAATTCAACCAGAGCCTGTAATCCTGGACGCGTTCTCTGCTTTCAAGCTTCCAGGGGCACATTACACAGTGCATAGTTTAGATTTTCAGATGACATTACGACGGCACCGTATTTCACGAAAATAATGTATATATGTCTAATAGCAAATGTCCGTGTTTTGTGGATGATGCGCGGGTACTGTAGATGATTGATGAATCAAAATATTCTCGCACGCTGTCTCCGATCTCCTGCCGGTCTGCTCCCACGGAAGCAAAATTTTCGTGGATCTTGGTACAGTGCACACCCAGCTCTGCCATCCGGCCATACACATTCCCCCGGGGCCCAGATCCGTGTGGCCACTGTGCACATGCAGTGCTTACCACGCACCGGAGTCCTGGGCGTCCGTGGGGAGCGGGGATCTACAGAAAGTCGACACTTATTCGAGGGAGGCTTCCAATTATAGCGTGTGAACGTCGGGAGGAGATAGCACATGGTTCGGATGGACGCAATCTCTGGAATCAGACCTCTGCGTGACAGATCCGACATAAAAACAGGGACTCTGCAGACGCGGCGGAAGCAGACAACAGACGCGAACATGCATCCAAACTGTCGCGAGCTTCTTTGTGTCGTAGCCAGGCACAGTTGTGTTGGAATTGAAATTCGCGCTTAGTGAAGCGTGTGCAGCCGAGTCGTCTCTCGTGGAGCAGCGCAGCGCGGCCCCGTTTTTCCATCCGATGGCGCGAGACAGGACAGATGATAGATTGGACCCACGAACGAAGGACTGAAGCGGAAACTAATGAACGCGAACATATTTAGTCTCTCCTCAAGTTAGAGGGCAAGTTCCAAACAAGGAGGCCGAGCTCCCGGCGAGTTGGACGTTCTGACAAGAGTACTGCGTTGTCTTTTTTCCGCTGCACGGGGGGATGAGATGCATGATGGGCACAGGAGTGGGGAGAAGACTCACGTTAGGGTGATGTTGTTGACGTTGATGTCGCTGCATCGGGCTCCGGGGGAACACGAGAGAGTCGCCACGGTCGCGGAACTGCCGGTTCCGCTGATTCTGTGAAAGGAGATAAAATCGCCAGGTGGCCGAGGCCAGGCCACAGAAGATGGCTCACGAGTTGAAGAAGACGTCCTGGATGAACACGTTTGAGGGGTTCTGTGCGCACTGGGAGTACAATTTAAGGGTTCATTCATTATGCGAACTTTAATTGGACTCACAGCAGAAGCACTGCAAAGATCCAGCATCAGTGACTGGTTATTTTGGATGCAGGAGCCAACAGCACGTACCTGGTCATGTAGCATTGGTCGATGACGATCGGATTACCGACGTTGCTCTCGATGAAGTTGCTGAAGGTGATGTTCTTGACGATACCGCTTCCGACACCTGCACCAGCCCAGGCTTTGATTCGTGCTCCATTTTGTGCATTGCTCATGGTGACAGAACTGGAGGGAGAGTTGCGTTAAGTTCAGTTTCTGTCGTCATTGAACATCGGGATGGACAAACTCGGCAATAACATTCTCCACGATGTCGAACATGCCAGCAAATTGTCCGAGGGAGCCGACAGAGATACCGCTGATGGGTCTTCAGTAACAGCATAATCGCAGGCATATGAACGCCGTACTGAGATCCATTGCAGTTGAGATGAGAGACGATCATGTTTGTCGCGTCTTGAGCGGAGCATCAGAGTTCATTCGCAGATCGGAGAAACGAACGGACTAGGCTATATGCACGGCGTGGGCTCCCCTGTCTGCAAGATAATCGAGTAAAGGAGCAGACCCACCTTAAACGAAACACAATCATCTCCATTGTTGATGAACGAGTTTTTTATCGTCACGGTGTCACTCCGATAGATATCCCATCCGTCGGTATTTACCGCACCATTCTTCGAGGTCGAGACGGCGGTGAGGTTGACGTTGTTGAAGGTCACGTTCTTCCCCTCGTTGACGAAATTGAACCATTCCGGGCTATTTATCATCCGGATGTTTTGCACGACGACGTTGGTCGCTTGGAAGATGGTCAAGATGATCGGTCGCGCCAGGGAGGAGGACTGGGCAAATCCATCGTACCAGGCCTGCCGCAACTCAGGCGTTGCGAGAGAGAGAGAGTTTCAGCTGAAAGACGCACCTGGCCAGACCCATCGATAACACCTCCACCATCAACTTGGATGTTGGTCCCACCGAGTAACCAGAAGGTAATCTGAGTTTGGAAGGCGAACGGAAACCCATGCTGTCATCAAAACATTCACGTGACCACGCGTTCTTCTGTCCCACTGCAGTGTTGGCAAGTCTTACTTACCGCTGTCCAGAACGCGAGATTCGGGTTGAATTTGATGGTTCCCTGGACACTCTGGCGGTGGATATGTGAGCTCGCGCTCGAGGAGTTGGATGAGACGGGGTACAAGATGCTTATTGGACAGACCCGTCATGTTCATGGGCGACGAGATGTTGAGCGTCGTCGAGCTTGGGATAGTGACGAGGCTGCAGGACTTCATCGCGCTGAGCAGCTGGGGCGCATCGTCTTTGCCGGTCCCCAGCGCCGTGAGCGTGCACGACTGCGCGAGGGCCGACGGGAGCACAAACAGGAGCGCGACCAGAGAAGAGCAGTGGAAACGCATGCGGAAGTTTCTGTGGGAAGTTGCTCTTTCACTCACCACGCCCGTCTGCATAAAAGGACCCACTCGGGCCGTCCGGTTGTTCAGTCTGGGAGTGGGGGCGAAACCACATGTCTGCACCCGTGACCGCTCGACGGAGGTTTTCTCAGAATAGAGGATGGCTGTGATATCGAATAAGGAAACTGACGACAGTAGGTTGACGCTTACCAAGTCAGTAATTGCCCGGAGGAGTACACGAGACGGTGTCAAGCCTGATTTGAAGGTCCAGTGCAGTGGCGACCTGTGTTGTGGGTATCAACGCATAACTACAATCCTTATTATTAGCGTGGAGATCCCTGCCATGTGCTGCTTCATAAAGTCAGCTGTTCGCAAAAATTGAATCGCTCCTGAGTTCGAGATGCAAACAGTGATACGTAAAGGCGGGTTTCATATATTCAATCAGTTCTTGAGTGCTTCCATGGGATCTGAATGCGAGTTCTGTCAAGAGATCAGGATGTTGGCCCTTGGGCCAACGCATTGACCTTCCTTTTTGGGAAGTCTCGGCTTTTCGCAGCCAACAAACATTTTGAACTCAGACACACTGCAGGGGGGGACTTATTTTTTTCCCGTGGAAAACGCGTGACAATCTAGAAGTCCGATTTTCACTGTTCTGTTTTCAGACAAAATATATATATTGAAAATAGACGTCAATTTACAGCTCGGTTTTACCATGAATAGACATCTATTCCTCCCAAAAAGAGAACTGTAGATAGATCATCTTTTTTTTCAATCGATTCTCACTGGGAATAGACATCGATTTCTGCTGAAAATAGGAACAAAAAAAGATGATCTTTTTTCACTGAAAACAGATTAAAATCACTAGAAGAATATGTTGATTCCAGCCCCAATTTACATTCCTGGCCTTGCAAAATGCTACTGAATGCTACTCAAATCATGTTGGAATCATGCTGCAGGACTTGGAACATGAATTGGGGCCAGAATCAACAGATTCTTCCAGTGGTTTTAATCTGTTTTCAGTGAAAAAAAAAACATCTTTTCTTTGTTTCTATTTCAGTGAAAATCGACCTCTATTCCCAGTGAGAATCGATAAAAAAAAGATGATCTATTTACAGTTCTGTTTTTGGGAGGAATAGATGTCTATCTATTCATGGTAAAAATTAAGCTGTAAATCGAAGTCTATTCTCATTAAATATTTTTCATCTGAAAACAGAACGGTGAAAATCGGACTTCTAGATTGTCACGCGTTTTCCACGGAAAAAAAATAAGTCCCCTCGCAGTGCTTCGAGTTTAACTTGTTAAAAATGATGCCAGTCAACCAAATTTGTGCTACATTATCGCTATGATACAACACAGGGTCTAATTGGATATCACCATACAGCCTCCAAACCCTCCTCTTTGGTGAATCAGGTCCCTCCAAACACTTTGACTTCCTCGAGTGTAAACGAAACACGTCCGTGACAGTTTGGCATTCTTCATTCATCTGAGAATAGTCATGATCGAAGCGCGTCACAAATTTGCTATACATAAGTAAGAGGCCATGATCTTAGTGTATTGATAGCCAGCACAGCCTGAGACAAGACAGATGATAGATTGGACCCACGAACGATGTACAGAAACGGAACCTAATGAATGCGAGCACATGCAGCCACCTTTCTCAAGTCGAGGTGCAAGTTCCGAACAACGAGGCCGAGCTTCCGCCGAGCTGGACGTTCTGGCACGTGTACTGCGTTTTCTTTTTCCCACTGGGCGAGGGCATGAGAGGCGTGATTAGCACAGGGAGGGTGCGGGACTCACGTCAGGGTGATGTTGTTAACGTTGACGTCGCTGCACCGGGCTCCGGGGGAGCACGAGAGAGTCGCTACAGTCGCGGAGCTGCCGGTTCCGCTGATTCTGTGAAAGGGGGTGCAATCAGCATGCGGTCTAGCCCGGGTCACAGAGGATGGCTCACGAGTTGAAGAAGACGTCCTGGATGAACACGTTCGACGGGTTCTTTGTGCACTGGGAGGGCGGTTGGTGGGTCGATCACTTTAATTTATGGGAACTCACGTCAGAAGCGCTGCAGAGACCCGGGTCAGTGACTCGCTATTTCAGACTTGGAAGCCGATAGCACCCACCTGGTCATGTAGCACTGGTCGATGACGATCGGATGATCGACGTTGCTCTCGATGAAGTTGCTGAAGGTGATGTTCTTGACGATACCGCTTCCGACACCTGCGCCAGCCCATGCCTTGATTCGTGCTCCATTTTGCGCATTGCTCATGGTGACGGAACTGGAGGCTGGATTGAGTATATACAGCCATTGGATATCGGGACAGACGAACTCGGCGATGACATTCTCCACGATGTCGAACATGCCAGCAAATTGTCCGAGGGAGCCGACAGAGATACCGCTGATGGGTCTTCAGTAACAGCATAATCGCAGGCATCTGAACGCCGTACTGAGATCCATTGCAGTTGAGATGGGAGACGATCATGTTTGTCGCATCTTGAACGGATGGTCAGCGCATATTCGTGGATTAGGGGACCGGACGGACTGGGCTTGAACGAAACACAGTCATCTCCGTTGTTGATGAACGAGTTCTTGATTGTCACGGTGTCACTCCGGTAGATATCCCATCCATCGGTGTTCTTCGCGGGATTCTTCGAGGTCGATACGGCGGTGAGGTTGACGTTATTGAAGGTCACGTTCTTTCCCTCGTTGACAAAGTTGAACCATTCCGGGCTGTTGATCATGCGGACGTTTTGGATGATGACGTTTGTCGCTTGGAAAAGAGTCAAGATGATCGGGCGCGCCAGCGAAGAGGACTTGGCGAATCCGTCGTACCAGACCTGCCAGAGTTCAGCCCTTGCAGTGTACGTGTCTCATATGAGGAAAGGCGCACCTGGCCGGACCCATCGATAACACCTCCGCCATCAATTTGGATGTTCGTCCCGCCGAGGATCCAGAAGGTAATTTGAGTTTGGAAGGTGAACGGGAACCCATGCTGTCATCAAAACATTCACGTGACCACGCGTTCTTCTACGCGGCGTTGGCAAATCTTACCGCTGTCCAGAACGCGACATTCGGGTTGAATTTGATAGTCCCCTGTAGGTTCTGGCGACGGAGATGTGAGGTTGTGCTCGAGGGGGTCATCTGAGGCGGCGTACAAGATGCCTATTGGACAGGCCCGTCATGTTCAAGGGCGACGAGATATTGAGCGTCGTCGAGCTTGGGACAGTTACGAGAGGGCAAGACTGCATCGCACTGAGGAACTGGGGCGAATCGTCTTTGCCAGCCCCAAGCGCCGTGAGCGTGCACGACTGCGAGAGGGCCGACGGGAGCAGAACCAGGAGCGAGATGAGTGAAGAGGAGTGGAAACGCATGCTAGAGTTGCTGTGGCTTGCACTCCAGTCCACCCAACGCGCCCGCATAAAAGGACCCACGCGGGCCGCCCGGTTGTCCAGTTTGGGCGGGGGCCAAACCACATGCCCCCCCTTCGCACCCGTGATTGCTTGACGGAGGTATTCTCGGAATAAAAGATGGGTGTGACAACCAGCACGGAAACTGACGACGACACGCTCACGGTTCCCGAGTCATCGAGCGCGCGGACGAGGGCACGGGACAGTGTCAACCTGGTGTCAAGGCCCGGTGCGGTGCCAACGTGTGTTGTGGCCGCAGCCACATATGGCCATCTTCGCTTATATATTATTAGGGTGGAGAACCATGCTGTCTCAAGACGGAAGGTGGAGAAGATGCTCGTCCGGGGAGCAATCCGCGGTGAAACTTTGTAGGACAGCCTTGTCACACAAACCTACCTGCACAGGGATGCATGGTATTGTGGTCATGGCGGTCAGCAGCAAGCTGGACGCCGACGAGACTGGGCAGGCACAAGCTATTGTGATGCACCGATCCTTTTGATGAGGAATGGGATCACGAAGAGAGACGCTAATCAGGGGCAATACAAATGAGTCGCTGAGTGCAGCCTCCAACAGGCCTGATGAAGCAGAGGAGTGTCTAAGAACGCGAAAGGGGGAGAAGCGACCGGACTCTGTATGCTGAAAGCGCGGACGCAAGTCCGACGTTCCTGCCGACGACTACTCCCAATACTTACTCACTGTCACTGTCAGACGCTGGCATCAATCGAACAATAACTAGATTTCCATTGCTTGGCTTTGTATCCGAGTGACACATCATCTCTACGTAATGACCCCACACCCTTCACTGATTCTCCACTGTCATGAGCTTTCAAGACATCGAATCCGGCCCTGCTCACCCTGCACGGTCGCAGCCGCCCCTCTCTCCCCAGTCGCAAGAGGATGCCGCGTTTCTTGAATTGCAGTCCTCCTTGGGCCTGCAGGTCTTCAAGATGAACGCCAACGTCCAAGCCATCCTGCGGCATGTTGATCAGCTTGGGACGCCCAAGGACTCGTCGGGCATGCGGAAGAATCTGTGCGTGACTCATGATTCGCGCCTGTACACTGTAGCTCTGATACTTGCGCTTCCTTCGCATCCTGCAGACACGAGCTCACAGAGACCACGCGCGCCATGGTGAAGCGTGCGTCTGAGGATCTCAAGAAACTCTCTGTTCTGCAGATCAAGCTGGTGAGTCAGAACCCTCCCCCGTACAGTGAAATTCCTCCCTCTCCTCCACTCACCCATGTACGCACGAACAGCCGCACCAAAAGACAGCCCTCCAGAAAACCTCGCACGATCTCGAAATGTCGCTCGTCGCGTTCCAGCGCGCTCAGCAAGTCAGCGCAGAACGTCAGAGGACCGTAGTTCAGGGTGTCCGGATGGCCGTCGACGACGCAACGTATGTCCCCTCTCCCCACCCAGAACGTAACGACCAACGGCGCCTGACAGACCGGCGGAACCTGAGACGCCGCAGCAGCGCCAAGCCCTGCTCCTCCAGCAACAGCTCTCACCACACGAACTCGCGTACCAGGAATCCCTCATTCAAGAGCGCGAAGCCGAGATCCGTGAGATTGAGACCGGGATCCACGAGTTGTCGGAGATCTTCCACGACCTCGGCACACTCGTGCAGCAGCAGGGCGGGATGCTTGGTGCGTTGTGCCAGTCTTGTCTCCGCTTGAATTTCCACTGACTACGGCTGCCTGCAGATAACATCGAGTCGAATATCGACTCCGTTTCGATGGACGTGCAGAACGGTGCGGATGAACTACGGACGGCGTCGGACTATCAGCGCAAAGCGGGCCGACGAGCAGCCTGCTTGATGATAATTCTCGTTATTGTCACCGCTGTGGTGCTATTAGCTGTACGTCTCTTATACAAGCTGCTCTACTCGATCTCAACCCCCCCCAGATCTTGTCCTAAGGGGACCGGACTGTACTCATAAATTATGCTTGTATATGTACTTATACTTTGTAACTTTCTCGCGCTCGTTCAGTGCATGTATGATTATAGAGTTACAATTTTATGTTACTTCTTAGTCCTTGTGAGTCCGTTCAACTACTTCTTGATAGCCAAATCGCGCGCGAAATGGAAGAAGTCCACACTCGAGCCATTCACACCGTACTTGTAGATCTAGCAAACACATCGGTCAGCCCCTACACGACGCAAAGCAGCCGAACGAAACTCACAAAATGGGATGCAACCCAACTGGAGAACAACGCGCGCTGGTACGCCTCCGGGAGACGTTTTAGCACGACTTCCAGCCCAATCTTGTCCACGAGTGTCTTGGGAATCGCGCGCCTCAAAACACCCTCCCGACTGGGTCCGTCGTCGAACAGATCTGACCCTTCCAGTTCAGCCTGGAGGTTGTTCAGGGTCGAGCTCAGCTCGTCCGAGATCGCCGTCCGCGTCTTGGCACCACTCAAACGCGCGTGCTCGCGCCAGATGCACTGGAACTCGGCGGCTGCATTCTCGGTAATCTTTTGCTGGACATCCTTGACGTAACTTTGGTAGAATGGACTCGGCTGACCGTTTTTGAAGATCATCAGTTCGACGTATTCGTCCGTAGAGAGCGCCAATCCAGCAAGCACTTCGAGCGATGAACTCGTCACTCCACCTAGTCCCAGACATCATCAGCACCTACAATGACAAACAAACAGCTAGTGGCACTGACCCTTGTTGGTGCTCGAATCCTTGAACAAGATGATCTTCCGCTTCTCCAAGAACATCCGGGCTTGCTGAGTGATGAACAGATTCGCGCCTTCGACAATGTACTTAAAGTGCGGCTTGCCCTCCGTGTCGATCAGAGCCGCCATGTTAGAGATGTTGACAGCTTCTGGGCGTCCGCCGCAGGGAACAAACAGGTCAGCCTTGAACCGCAGGTGGGCACTGTTGCGGAAATCTGTGCCATCAACGACGAGCTCGCCGGAAGGAAGCCGAATGTCGTGCTCGTCCACCTTGACCAAGTATCCCTCGCTGCTCAGTTTGCTTTTGTCGAAGTTGCCCACCGGAACCCGAAGTTTGGCCAGTCGGATGAGCTCTTCACGATTCAATCCAGCAGGGTCCGCCAAGACACCACTGCCGTCAATCACAGCTACAGTTTTGTCGGAACTGAGTAGAATCTCATCTGCCCAGAAGCTCAGATGGAAATGCGAGGAAGGAGAGACCTTGACGCACTGGATCCCAGATCACCATCTGGTCCACCGGTCTGCACCTTGCTGATATCCTTCTCCTTCAAACCAAGCTGCTTGTACAGCCCAAGCACATATTGCCGGATCGACAAAGACGTCATCCCATAACGATCGTGAGGAACTCCGCCCAAAGTCTCTGCGCTTTTGCCGGTAGTGAACGATTTCCACCAAGTCTCCGCTCCACGATCACGTGCGTGGACTTAACTCAAAGATTAGTCCGTCTCCGACGCGATAGTGGACAGCTTACTTGCAGCCCAGTCCATCATGTCTGCTGTTCCCTCTTCGCAAAGAATCAGAAGGACGTTCAGACAGCAGCGCGCGAAAACCCTACCGTCAGGACCGAAGAAGAGCAGCTCCGGCTTGCCGTACAAGTCGATCAGCGGCTCCTTGATTCCAGGAGAGCGGCCGGGGATGAGCAGATCGATGATCGACTATGAGCGGAGGGTCAGATCGGCGACTCGACCGGACAGTGCTCTCAACAAACTCACATCCACATACTTCTCAAAACAGGCCCGAGGAGCAGCACCGAGGCTGTGAACTCATGAGCCGATGAGCTAGTAAAGAACGCGCAAGCTTCTCACGAAGGCAGGATAGTGCCCTTCGCGCCACCCTCTGGAATGTCCTTGTTTTTGAGCGACTGGGTCGATGCCAGTCCGTAGTTCTCGTCAAAGAGCTGACGTTGGTTGATCGAGTAATTTCTGCCGAGAATGGAGTCAGTTGGTTGGAGAACCAGTCACGCAATTCGCACTCTTTGTTTCGAGACATGACGATTCGGATACCGCCGCGAGCGACATCCCGGAATCGTAGATGGAAACCGCGAAACTCGTTACCTGAACCTTTGTCAAACACATGCGAGGACCCTATCCTAGATAGACACTCACCGATAACGAAGAACATCCCGAACGGCTTCCTGGGGTACTCTACCTCGGGCAAGAAGTCTGGTGCAAGCCGGAAAGACAGAGCCACTTTGGTGGGTTGATAAAAGTTGGTCTTGAGAACGTGTCTGAGTGAGAGTCAGATCAGCCGAGCAGTAGCACATGCATGCGCGGAACGCAAACACACTTGTTGAACACCAAGAAACTCTCCAAGACCTGCACGTCTTGCTTGTTTTGCACACTTCGGCGGATCTTGTCGACCAGCTCTTCGTCGCTCAGCGGCTGCACAGTCTGCAAGCGCTGATATGAAAGCGTGGGCATGAGATCGTTCACTCCGTCCGCGGCCGAAGTCGGATAATGCGTCATCGCAAAGTTAACGTAGAGAAGCCGGATCTGTGGATGATAAGCATGGATAAGCATGAGCTCAGCGGCGCGACACGCGAGCTCACCAACTCGGGGTACGCTGCGATAATGTCCGCAATGCTCTCACGCGTGAACGTCTCTTCGCGGAACCGGCGCTTGATGTCGTTCAGTACCTCAGCGTGCGCTGGATCGGACTCGTTCAGGACATTGCGCAGAGAGAGATACGCGGGACCGAGGCGATTGCAAAAGTGCTGTGCGAAGATCCAGCCACAGTCTTAGGGGCCGCCGATGAGCATATGTGCATCCGACGGGAGCTTACACTCACATGCATACGTCGCCTCCTGCACAGCATGGCTTCCCGGGGACTTGGGCAGGAAGAATGGGTTGTCTGGCAGACAGAACAGCAAACTCGCCTCTTTCACGACCTGGAAGATGGAGTGCTCGATGGGAGGGGCACCGTGGCTGCCAGAGAGAGGGTTAAGATACAGTGAGATGATGGTGACTCCGTTCGAGAACTGCTCCACGTATTTGCGCGCCGAGTAGAGGGAATAGAAGTGGTACAGGTTCGACAGCGCCGAGAAAAAGTGGCGCGTCTTGGATTTGCGCGAGTCGTAGGCGATGACCAGCCG